ACTGGGAGCTCCAAATTTGAATCGATTTGCCAATAACGAGATGCCGAAATTACTACGTGGCTTTCGGACACGTCATTTTGAAAAACTCGGCGACAAGCCCCAAATCGACAGGACGCACATACAGTAGTGTCTTGTGCCTGCTGCGTGGAGTTCTTCTGGGTACGAGAGAATTCTCGATGCGACCGTCGTCCAATTCCCACGCATTTTCCCCTCCAATTTTCTCCCACCCGGATGTTCGGGCCGACAACACAATACTCCGAGTAGTGTTCGAACGCTCGATTCTTACAGCTTTGCATCCAGGGTGTTCCTCTATGATGTCACTGGAAACCTCGGTGAGTTTGTGGTGAATGCTGGCCGGACGGATTTTTCCTGTTGCAGCGAGGTGAGCACGGCGACATCAATGGGTTTGTTGGTGCCGCACGTACCTCACGCATGGCGATCTCGTACATAGTCGATCGGAACGGAATGGACAACGCGCTCTACATTTGTCAACGCCGTTTCAGAAAATCTGACATCCCGGGTGCTCGTACCAGGTTGCGCTCGGCGGTGGCGAGTTCCTGGGACAGCGCTAGGACTTGCTTGTTCAATGAATTCAGAAGGGAGTTGGTCTATGCATAGAGTGCTTTGCACATACATCTCGAACCTTCATTCCACGCCTACCTCGTGCAGTCCCGACAGGAACCCCGCCATGACCTCGAGCGACTCGATCTCGGCCTCGTCCATGTTGCCCAAAACAAAGGGCAATTCGATTTGGCCAATCCCATGCGGGACATCATGATTTCCGCCTTGCGATTGGTCAAGAAATATCTGACCAATCATGCATTTTTGCGTCAATTTCTGTTCGCATAAAATAATCTTGTTTTCTTGTCGAGATGCGTAAACTTTGTCCGCACGGCTCGTCTCTCTTGGCATAAAGATGATGCGTCAGCTTGTCGTCCTTTACAGCAAAGACAAATGAGCCGTCTCGAGTGGCGGATCATCGCGGACACGTGCGTTTGGATTGTTCCAATTCGTCGGGGGAGTGAATTGAGGATTCAGTAGCTAGGAATTTAAATGGAATATCAAATGTACTGTTAGCGAAAAACTTTACCTGATAATTCAGGTCCAGTACACCTGCCAATTCAGCACCACCTTGATTGTAGCAATTTGAACGACATTCGATGCATGACCAACTTGTACTCTACGACAGAAACCAATCCTAGTGACCCCGCATGCCTTACAGTGTGCACGTATGTGAAAGCGCGATTTGGGATGGCGATCCTGCGCAAACGATACATCGCTTGAATCTCTCGCGGCAGCGTGTTTCTCGAGCGGGGGTTTCCTACTCAAAGGCGTAGAGAACTGGCAAATCGGAATCATTCATGTCATCCAGCCGAAGGCAACGGCATTGCATCGATCATGGCTGGAGCAAGACGTAGCATCGCAGTATGGACTGGACGTCGTGCTGAATGACCTCTACGACGACTGTCCTTGCTACAACGCTTACACCACGAAGTATTCTATCTTGGGTCGACTCCTCCAATGCAAGACAAGAAGTGCAAGATGTCATTTGCTCAATGTGCTCCTCCCGACATTCTGACAGTGTCTGTGTGGCGTGTGCTTTGCGACACCGAATCGACATCTTCGGGAAGCTTCCCTCTTCTTGCATCGACCGTCTTTCACCAACTCGTCCAAGTCAAGGTGGCATGAGAACCTGCGCCAACGCCCGCTAAAGACGTCCAGGTCCACGTCATTGTTGCGCTCGGCGTCCCGGTCTTCGTGGCCCGAGAGTCACACGTAGGGTGACAATATTGGTCCCACGAATTCAAAAATTTCCCACGTTTCGTTTTACAACGTAACGGCAATTCCAAAATCGGTCGAGACTGCAAAAGGTTGCGTGGTCGTGTTGTGCCGCGCGCGCGGCATGGACTTCCTGCGACCGACCACAGTGTGTGTATTCGTGCAATGGGTATTTCATCTCTATCTTCCCTTTGCACTCGTCATGTTTGTCTGCCGGAGCAACCACTCCGCGATCAAGTACAGACAACCCGGCTTGGCAGCCGTCACCGCGTTTTTCTTTGCAGCATACACCCTCGCGCTCCCGCCAATCGTGTGTTTTGACAACGGCGACGCGATCGACGTGCGCACGCGGATCGTTATCTCCAATGCTCTTCTCCTCGTTGGAGGAGTCTCGTTCATCTTGAGCCAATGCATCATTGTCGTGAAGTTTGCTATCACTGAGGTGTTGTTGGACCCGCGAACTGCAACTGAAGCTCGCGTCCGTCGTGTCCAATCCCTCCGATGGATCCTATATCCTCGAGCACAGATGTGGGTTTGGGTCGCAACAAGCGCTGTTGTGTGCGCCCCCACCGTGCATCTCCTCGTGACCCTACCACACGACTTTACCTCACACGACCTCGCCAATGGACTCCATCCAATCACCCAAACGTTCAATCTCGTGTCGACGTTGGAAGTTGCTGCCATGACGATCCTTTCATGGGGACTCACGCGCAAGATCAGTCGAGTGGTCGACAATTTTGGCCTCCGCAGCACCTACCTGTCCATATCCAAGTACATTGCCGTGTGCTTAGTTGGGTATGGCATGACGTTGCTCCTGCCGCATCTGGGGGTCGCCGTCTTTCTCGACGAGTTCTATGCAAGTGCGATGATTTCCATGCATGGCGGTCAAGCGGTGTGTTTCATGCTGATCACCATGCCGCTTCGACAATCGTTCTTGACTGCTGAAACCCATCGCGAGATGCGCCTCCGTCGACGCCGGCTCCAAACGGACGTCGATGAGCTTGACTACAAAGTGTTTTACCGATACTTGTCGACGACAGATGGATACAAGGCAGTGTTGACATTTTGTCGGATGGAACTCGCTCCAGAGCTGCTCTTGGCATGGCATGAAGTGGAACGATTCAAGCTCGGGGAGGCAACAGTGGATCACATTTACGACAAAGTTTTGGAGCCACACAGCGAACTGTTTCAAGTTGATTTGGCCGACGACGTCCGCATCATGTATGCCCAATTGCGCAATGCCGTTTGCACTTCTACCTCTCGCAACGCCAAGGCGGGGACGGTTCACAGGTGGAAAAATAAAGTTGATGTCCTCTTTCAACCCGTCGTCGTTGCTGCGGCTCGTGCCAGTGTCTCAAGACATGCATCCGTTACAGGCTCACCGGACCTAATGTCAAGTTCATCAGCACGTCCGAAGAAATGCGACTCAACATTCTTTCATCCACTCAGCGCAGAGCTACTTCGCCTGTTGTACCTGCATGTTCTTCCTCGGTTTGAGGAATTCCCCCAGAGTTACGACTGGATCGTCTTTCGCAACACTGAAAAGGCCATGGTCTCGTTGGACGCGGTCAACAATATGGTGCGGAAAACCATTGTCGCCACTCGACACGTTGTTTCCATGACGCCAAACATTGACGACATTCCCCGCACGGGAAGAATGCTAACAAAACCTCAAGAGGAACTGCAGTAGCACCGCAATCCCTACACGTCATCCACCGCCGAGAGTGTGAACGATGCTGCCAAGCCACACAACTGACACACCAAGGTCAAGGAGCGCGCAAGTTGTGTCATGGAGAACCTTCAATGGTTCACACCGCCTGCAGCGGTGGGAAGCCGCGCAGGTCGATCAAAGCTGTCGAGCTGCCCAAACAGAAATTACGAAAATGACGAAATTTCCCCGCGCTTTTTTGGATCGCGGCTGTGTGGTTTTCCAATCGAACCAATCAACGCCATCAATTCTCGACCGAGTTTTAAAACTAAAGGAAACTTCATGTGGATTTAAAATATCTCCGAATTTGTAAGAATCCAAGTATCGAAACCCCCGTTGGTTTTTTATTTCGTTCAACAGTGTTCGAAAACCAGTTGCCACCTTGCGAGATTTTCTCCCAAGCGGGACACACGCGGCAGCTAAGTTGAACCGACGATGCTGCGCCTGTGCGAAGAATGCCGGCAAGTTGTGATGGAGGGAGACCCCGCAGAGTGGCTTTGCTCGTCGTGCGGTGGCATGTTTCATGGAACATGTGTCCGCAACAAGCGTCGAACACAACCGTGGAAATGCTCGGGATGCCAAGGCAATAACCAAGAGAAAGGACTGCTGGTGACCGAGGCTGTAAACAAACTTAACGAAGCTGGCGACGATGCAGATGATGAATGGTGGGCTGAAATGGAAAGCGCATCTCACCCTCTTGAAGAAGTTCTGCCCAAGGATACAACTGATGAGGTACGAGGACACAACCCGTTTCATTCAAACCATGATTGCACCTCTCCTGTAGTCCAATCGCACATCATCCGCGGCCTCAAGTAGAACTCGTCGAATAGGTCGATCCAAGGTCCGTCAATGTGTTTCGTTTCGTTGGGGACATTCCGACTAACGTCGACGCCATAGTGTGAAAACAGTTCAGATCTTGCCCTACAGGACGCAATGCTGCGAATCCAAACGAACGTCTTGTGTACTTGTTGTGGATTGATCAGCATCCCAGAGGTCCACGTGCTGTTGTGCACTGTGTGTCAGTCGACGTCTGCACATTCTCTTTGCATGAAGAGCCATTTCCGCGACAAATGGTCATGCCCAAATTGTTTCGGCGGCGGACAACGACGAGCCAAAGCCTCCCAAAACAATCCCGCACCGCACATTATCAAGAAGCTCACCAAGCCGCTGGCAGAAAGTACTGTCGTGTTGTGCGACAACTGCCAAGGAGAGTTCTCGATGAGGCATCTGAAAATGTCGACGTTGCCCAAAGGCGATTGGTTCTGCAAGCATTGCGACGAGTCACACAGTTCGTCAGGGAACGAAGATGACGATGCTTCCACGCGTGCAAGACCTGCCACGTTGCGGTCGACACAACGGTCCGCATCGAAACGTGGTCGCACCGAAGTGTCGCCTCCATCAGTGGAAGGGAAACGCTCGAAAGTGGACCGAAAGAAATCAAGCAACAGTACCTCGCGGCGCACCAATATTGCCTTGTGCTTGCATTGCGGCATGAAACCCTCCAACGACTCGTCCTGCAAGGAATGTCGCCGAGTCTCAAAAGGGCACAAAGCGCTGAAACGAGATCGCGGGCCTCTCCGCGTCGTCATCCCCGAACCGATGCCGGCGGCCACGGACGTGGCAGTTCCGACCATGTCGTCTGCGACGGTGGACTTGTGGGCGATGCACGAGCTGGTTGGACGTGTTGTCTTAGTTCACATGGCCATGTCCAACGGACAATGGTTGAGTGGTCGCGTGGGCTTCTTTGACCCCCACACGCTCCTCCACCGTGTGCAGTTCTTTGACGACACAGATCAGTGGCTTCCATTGCACGAGATGGCGTATTGCTTCAGCCAGCACATCAACGTATTCGTCAGGTTGTACGATGTCGACAACGACAAAGGGTGGTGGCCTGCGCAGCTCATGAGCTTGAGTGGTGTCGCCGCCCAACACCTGCAAGGCGGCAACAAGAAGCTCGTGTATTTATACGGAGCGAACAACCTGTGTGCTTGGGTGTCGATGTCGGGCGTACGGAGTTTTGACGTGTTTGAAGTGGAAGCGAGCCAGCTGACGAACGCCATGTGGGTTGATGCTGTCGACGACGCCAAGGAAGAGGTGCATCTCGCGCGCGAAACAGTCGTCGATGCGAAGGAAACCCTCCGACGGGACATTCAGAAACGGCTTCACGGAAAGAAATGGGTCGGCAAGAAGGTGGAAGTGATGAACTTTTCCGAGCACTCAATGACCCACGGCACAATCACCCAATTCAACCCCGCGACACAAGAGTATTGCCTCGAATCCGAGCGGAGCTCCAGGTGGTTTATTGTGAACGACGACGTGCACATTTCGCTACTGGTTGATTGCTCGTACGCGGAACTGTCCATGCAATGGTTTTCGGATCCAGACGCAGTGCTTCACGAAGTCGAAGCACCCCAACAGGTGGAGAAATCAACGCCCGATGTTGAGGCAGACGCTACGCGCTGTGTCAAGTGTCTTTTCCCGCTGGCTGGGGAAGTGCTCCTGCCGTGTGCAAAGTGTGCACAACTCTTTCATCAGCCGTGTGTGGATTGCCCCCAGGACGCGTACCCACTCGTGGATCCCATGGACGGAGCTCTCCTAATCGACGACATTGGTCCTGCGTTTGTATGTCCGTCGTGCCTGGTATGCGATGGCTGCGAAGGTGTCACAACGAGTGACAAGTGGCATCGATGGAAACTCCCTCTTGGCCCCGTCACGCTGTGTACGGCCTGCCACGAGCAATACGTGGCTCAGATGTTTTGTCCTGTTTGCCATCGCGTGTACGAGGACGGGATGGCGTTCTGTTGCGATGTTATGCAGTGCACCACATGCGATTTGTGGGTCCATTCCACATGCGAACCTGACCCAGATCCGTTGTACCATGGTGACGACCCCCAGGTAGTGTTTGAAAAGGCGGACGACAACGCTACCACCTCGATTACAACCGCAAATCCTTCGACCACTGAACAACCGGACGCTGCCCCCCTTATCGCGCCAAGCTCTGGTGTTGAGATCGAGGACCTCTCAGACAAACAGCGACGACGTGCACAAGACGACAAGGCTGCGCGGGCGCTGATGTTTCCGTCGACGTACGACCCACGCATTCTGTCGAAATACGAATGCTTTACGTGTCGCCGCATCCGTTGCTTCCGCCTCCTAAAAGCGTTGGTTGCTGAAGACAAGCTTGGACTGTTTCGAGAGCCTGTGACTGTCGACATCGCGCCGACATATTTTGATGTGATCAAGTCGCCGATGGATCTGCGCACGATGGAAGACAACTTGAAGGACCAACGCTACGTCCATGCATTGTGTGCAGATTTCCGCGACCATTTCGAACTCATGTGCTTGAATGCCGTCACGTTCAACTCGAAAGAGCATCATTTTGCGATTTGGCGAGAAGCGTGGCGGTTTTACAACGCTGGCTTACGCTTGATGCGGCAAAACATGCCGAGCGTCGCGCTTGTGACTGGAACATATGCGGAAAACATGATTGCTGCTGCCAAACGCCAACTTCCTAACAACAGTGTGCTGGCCAACAAGGAAGAGCCGAAGAAGGACGTTGTGATGATTCCAGACGACTCGATCGTCGAGTCCAAGCAACCAGCCACAGCCGATAGCACGACCAACGACCTCATCAAAGCTGAGCCCAGTCTACCACAAACCTCCGCCGCTGTCGTTACCGAGGACGTTGTGAAAAGCACGATCGAAAAAGTCACTGAAACAACGTTCATCGTGCCGACGGAGCTCGGGACCGTGCCCAAGCCGTACTCTTGCATGTCGAGTGTCGTAGTGACCCAGTCCAAGATGCAAGCACACGAAACGGCGTGGATCGACATGTGCGTCGTATGCTGCAGCTCAGGGCAACCTCAGTCCATGATCTTCTGCGTCGATTGCGGCGAAGTTTTCCACACGTTTTGCTTACAGCCAGCACTCGACATATTGGAACACACCAAACACAACGACAAAATACTCGAGTACTGGCGGTGTCCGAACTGCAAGATCTGCGAGTTCTGCGGACGATGCAACCAAGAAGACGAAGCGAAGTTGCTCGTGTGCGACGTATGGTGTTGAGGTGCAAATGCGACGGACTCATACTTGGAATTGTAGGTGTGCGAACGAGGCTTCCACACGTTCTGTTTGAAACCCAGACTCCGCGAAGTCCCGTCGGGAGGGTTTGTTTGTGGCAGTTGCGTGCAGTGCGAAACGTGCAGCGTCACCCAAGAAATCACAGCGTGGAGTCCCAATCCTTCATCGTGTCTGACGTGCTTGGGAATCAAGGTGGACGAGTTGAGTAAGAAGAAGCCGGCCAAGCGATCGACCGACTGCTGCCCGGTGTGCACAAAAAAGTGGATCGAAAAGGAACCGTTGATTCAGTGCGACGGGTGTGAACTCTGGGTGCACCCTGTGTGCGACTCGATCACAGACGAGTCGCTCGAGGTGCTGGTCGAAGACCCAACGAGTGAATACTATTGCCCCGTGTGTCGGCAAAAGCAACGTCAGCATTTGAACGTGTACAAGAAGGCGTGGGATCTGCAAATGACCATTGCACAGATCCAAAATACACGGCAAGACATTGTCGAGACGTGGCGGGCCAAGCAAGTAAGCGAAAGAACGACCCGGCAGTGGGAATTTTGGCGAGACCGGTGTCCGGTCTATCTGTACACAATGCGCCTCGGTACGAATGAGCGAATGCAGTGGTGTTCCTCCAGTTTTGAGAAATTGTGATGATGTAGGCGAGGAGTGCCTGAAATCGCTGGCAGGTCGTCGTGTGTCATTCACCTTGACCAACAGCCAAGGGGGACTTATCAATGCGGCGCTGATCCCTGCGGGAATACGTCGCCGTGCATGTCGGTACATGCGGTTCAAGCGATACGCCAGGGGACCCAAGGCCGCGTTGCGTCGTCAAAACCGAAAAAAAGGCAACTTTTTCTCGTGGGAAGGCGTCAAAGCCCATGAGAGTGCAATTGCGAACGTCGTATCGGAAGCCGCGTCGGCCGCGTCGTTCTTGGCGTGCTGTGCATGGCTGTACGGGACAAAGAAGCTGAGTCATTTCGCCGCAAATCTCCTTCGTTCGGGTGGGGAGCCCATTCCCGACGCGCTCTGGAATGCTTTGATCGACAAGAATGCACTGTCCATTGACGACGAAGTCAAGTTTCTCGTTTCCGAGTACAACAAACGAGCCAAAGCCCGCGACGCAGCCGAAACTGCTGGTTCACCAGACACTGCCAGTGCGCCTGGTACACCAACGCCGAGTTCGGATGTCCAGGCACCAGCCGAACCAAGCTCCTCCTTGCCGCCCACATCACCAGAAAAGGAACCCGCAGTCGAGGAAGTCGTGCTGCCGATCAACCAAGTCCACTTGACCTTTGTCAAACCGCTGCAAGGATGGGAGTTGTGGCCAGACCATGTCAATCATCTCGGTGCGTTTGAGGACCATCGAGTATGTGGGTTCTGCCGCGGGTGTGGCGATAGCTCTGTCTGTGGTCGACTCATTTTCGCCGATTATGATCAATGGGTCCATGTCAATTGCGCGTTTTGGTCCCACGAAGTCTTTGAAGACGCATATGGCACCCTCATCATGTGCCAGAAAGCTCGATTTCGAGGCCGCACGACGCGATGCTCCGTGTGCAACATTAACGGCGCGACGGTGGGCTGCCATGGGTTGCGGTGTCCACTCAACTTTCACTTTTCGTGCGCGCAAGGCCAGGTGGATTTTACCTTGGAGAAGCAATCGTTTTGCAACCTGAACGATCACTGGATGGCCCACATCCGCAAAAAGAACGAGCGGCGACGGAAAAAGGAAGACGAGCTCGAAGCCAAGCGAAAGGCCAAGCTTGCCACCGCAATCGCCGGTGCGGCTCGAATCGACGACGATATGGACAATCCTGAAAACGCTGTGGTCGAAAAACTCGAGAGTCCAGAGGTCGACGAAGTCCACCAGTGCGTGGAGGAATTGGTGTCCACGATCTGCTCGGAGGCGATCGACGCCCGCCTCGAACCTCTGCGGTTCTTAATGTGTGATCCCATCACTGACAGGAAAACATCCAAGACCCAGATGACCAAAGGCACGTGCTACCGAATCGGCGCATTGTGCGTTCAGAACCTGGGTGCAATTGAAGTGGGCAACCATCATTTCCACACACGGTCAGCGATTTACCCCGTGGGGTATCGCAGCACGCGCATCTTTTGGAGCGCGACTCGGATCGAACACAGAGCGTTGTACGAGTGTGAGATATTCAGCGAAACAAATAAAATGGCAGTCAAGCGACCTATCTTCAAGATTACACCTTGCGACGACTTGGAAAACCCCATCTTTGGCGTCACCCCCAACGGTACGCCACAGCGGAACGTTTTCCTTCTCTGAGCAAGCCATTGTAGACGCCGTCGACAAGTTGCGCGGCCGTGTCCTCGCGCTGTACAGTTCCCATCGTGCATTCAAGGCAGGGTGGAATCCGCTAGAGAATCGGACGTCGTGGTACTCGTTCGGGTTGGTTGGCGAACACTTTTTTGGCGTGTCGATTCCCGCGGTCGCAGCTGCCATTGAAAGTTTGCCGTATGCGCCGACAACCGCGCTGCAAGACAGCAAGAATCCGTACCCGTATGTGTTTTGCCACAATTTGCCGACCCCCGCGATGTTTGAGGACGCCAAGCACGACGTCAAGCGCCATCGGGTCGCGAACGAACATGCAAAACACTCGTCAGGGTGTGCGCGCACCGATGGGTATTCCTGGCACAAACTCAAAGGCAAGCCAGACTTGTCCAAGAAGCGCAAGGTGAACGTGTCCAAGCAAGCCAGCACCGACGACTCAAACGCAAAACCGATCGTGGCGAACGGGATGGAAAACTTGCCGATTCCAATGCAGTACCGCGATCTGCGGCGCCGGCCATTCTGCGAACGACTCGAAGTGCGCAAGTCCAAGATCCATGGGTACGGTCTGTTTGTGAAAGAGGCCATTGCGGAGGGCAAAATGATTGTCGAGTACCAAGGCCAAGCGATTCGACAAAAGGTGGCCGACATGCGTGAAAAGCGGTACGTAACCATGCGATAAATCAACATGCCGATGGTGACACACGTCTAGATACGAAGAGATGGGCATTGGGAGCTGCTACATGTTTCGCCTGGACAAAGACATTATTGTCGACGCCACCCGGACAGGGAATCTCGCGCGCTTTATCAACCACTCGTGCGATGTAAGTTGATACACTGATCGATGTTGTGCTTCCATCATTCATGCGTGGTGGGCCGAATGGTAGCCCAAGGCGAACGCCCGGATCATCAGCATCGACGGCAACGAGAAAAAGATTATCATTTTTGCCAAGGTGGCGCTCCAACCCGGCGACGAAGTCACGTACGACTACAAGTTTCCCATCGAAGATGAAGCGTTGCGATGCGACTGTGGGGCACCAAACTGTATCGGCCGCATGAATTGAGCTCGTGTTACGTTGCAAAAGGAACCCATCGACACACGTACCCGCCATTGCATGTTATGTGCCTAGTGGGTGTGTATATTTGGCGACTGTCTGCAGCATGTGCACGCGCTGTTCATCCTACGAGATGGTGTGATTCAATGGCGTGTGTGGAACGAAGAGCTGCACGCACTTCGACTGGGTGGGTGTCGCAGTGGTTGGAGAAGTAGTCGCACACGCCTTTGAGCTCCTTCAAAATCAAGTTCTTTTGCAGCTCGAACGCGACTTGGTCTTTGGCGAGCTGGGCGCGGTCCGCTTCAAGCTTTTCGACGCGGTGGTGCATGGCTGCTTCCTTGAGCTGAAGGTTCTCGTCCTGCTGCACTAGCGTCGTCAGGAGCTTGTAGTTGAGCGCTTCGATCTCGCGGATCTCGTGTTGCTGCGTCGCTTGGACATGGTTTGCGATTTCTTGTTCGATCTGCACTTGCTTGAGCGCTTCCTCGAGCCGCGTGTCGATGGACGTGACCTGGAGCCGCAGCATTGCATTCGCATGTACTTGTGTCTCCACTTGCTTCTGCGACCGCCATCAGCACGAGCGCATGGCCAGGTCGTGTACCTGAGATTGTCGAAGGCGTGATTCCACCAACACGAGCCGACTCAGCAAGTCTTCCATCGCCATTTCGTGCCGCTCTTCTGCGCGCTTCTTGGCGACAGCGTCGCGTTTTCTAGCGACCCGCTCATGCCTCGCTTTGCTGGATTCAGCGGAGAGGCGCTCTACAACGCAATCGTCAGGAATGGATGATGGATGTCGATCGAGAAGTAGCGTTACCTTGCCATCGCACGCTTGCAGCGAAATTGTCCTCCATGGCCACTACACCAGCACGACGTGAGCCAGAGCATTTCCGCGCACGATGCGCCTACTTTGAACGCGATTCTCTTCGTTGCGTTGCTGGTGCCGCAGCGCTTCGGCAGTCGTTTCTGTCGATCCCTTGAGCTTTGACACAGCGGCAAAGGAACGTACGTTGAATATGCATGACTTCGCGTCGGCACTTGTGGGCGATGTCGTCGTGTAAGTGGCGCTTCCACTCGGCCAAGTCGCGATCCCACCGCGACACCATCTCGCCGACGGTGTCTAGGTCCGTCGGCAGTGTCTGGACGCCAAGTCGTGCATACCCTGTCGTCGAACACACGAATGCGTCGACGCGGTTGCATGCGTGCATAAGGTTGTCTTTGAGCTGAGCCATGCCGTCCAATTTGAACTTGATCTGGTCGATTAACGTGTGCACGTGTGGGTCTGTCGTCGACGCCGCACTGGTTTCACAACACGCGAGTGACGAGATGGATGCGATCGATGGAACAGAGTACCTGTCGTTGGTGGAGCAATGTTCGCTCGAAACATTGAGCGATGACGTGTCATCTTGCTTGACGAATGTTGTCGGACTGCTGCATGCGGAAAGTTGATTGTCTTCGGGAACATGGTCGCTCATGGTGGAGCCCACCGACACATCGCCATCGTCCATGTCGCTGGCGCAAGATGACTCCAAGTACTCGTCTTGCAGCCACATCGACGTTCGCGTTTTGGGGTGTCCTGAGTGTGACGTCCTGGACGGAGGCGTTTTGGCAGGTCGGTGTTCGCTGTACCCCACAACCGATTGACTTTGGCGAACCTTGCGCACGCTCATGATGGCTTCCTGGAGATTTTGTGCAGCCTTTTTCACGCTTGCATTCGCGGCGTCGCGCTCCATCTACCTAGACGGACAAAGTACACCGAGTGCCGCCGCTTCTGGATCTTGCGACCTTCCAAATTGGATGAAGTTTGTGACCATGGGCCAAACGAGGCGCTTTTGTCCCAACTGAGTTTGCCCCAATGACCTTGGTTTGAAAATATCATGTACATCGTCGGGAAGCGAAGGTAGGACGGTCGCCGTGACGTCGTTTGTCAGCGAACCGCCTCCCTGCGGCAATAAGCTTGCTCAAGGCAATGTATTTCTATCGAATGTCAATGTACTTGCTACGGCATCCCAGGTAGTTCTCACGTCCGACAAGGGCGGAAGCCGAGTGAAGTCAATGTGTGCGCGAACTTCGTTCAAGTGACCCGAGAATAACGTGCAAATCTGAATACAACAACGACATTCCATCGTGAAATACAAATTTCAAGTTGAATTTTGAGTCGAGTCACGCAAACATGTCACTGGACCGAACGTCTGATATCCCAAGATTGGAGGACGTTTCCACGGGCGATCCACTTCGAAATTGGCGCTGGCATGGACGATCTGTGGACGGCATACGAGGCGTGGGCGAGTCCCGTGGGAGACAGTATTCTGTCATTCATGGACCCGTCTGGCGGGTACAAGCAGTCTGCGATTGCATCGTGGCCGTTGGGAGACTTCAGCACAGCTCTTGCCGTCGCGTTCGGGTACCTTGCGTTCGTCGTGGTTGGCACTGCAATCATGAAGGCGGGTGTGCCTGCGATCAACATCACAGCGTTGCAGTTCGTGTACAACCCTGTCCAAGTCCTCGTGTGCTCGTACATGTGTCTGGAAGCGGGCATCCAAGCCTATCGCAACGTACGACCGCCTCGTCTCCACGACTGCTTCCACCGACCTCACTGTGACTGTTGTAGCACTACACGTTCATGCCATGCAACCCGTACAACAAAGCGAACCCGGTGATGGGAAACGTTCTGTGGCTTTTCTACGCGTCCAAGTCGCTCGACTTCATGGACACGGTGTTCATCATTTTGGGCAAGAAGTGGAAGCAGCTCTCCGTCTTGCACGTGTACCACCACTTGACTGTGTGGATTGTGTATTGGCTGCTCTTCCGCGTCATGTACGACGGCGAGATTTACATGACGATCTTGCTCAACGGCGCGATCCACACGATCATGTACATGTACTACTTTGTCAGCGCGCACACCAAGACGATCTGGTGGAAGCAGTACTTAACCGTGCTCCAGCTGCTCCAGTTCGTCACCATGAACGTCCAAGGGTTCCTCGTCCTGTACAAGTCATGCCCGACCGTCCCGTTGAACGTGTCGATTGCGTACATGGTGTACGTGCAGTCGCTGTTTTGGCTCTTTGTCTACTTCTTCATCACGTCGTACTGTGGAGCGGGGCGGACGCGCCACCCCGCCGCCATCGAGAAGAAGGCCGTGTAAACACTCGATCATCCATGCTGTCATAGATTTGTTTGTACACGTTGCATTCGCTCGCGCCGCATGACGAAGAACGAGTTCTGCCACCTAAAACGACGACGACGGCACGAGGGTATGCATTGGTACGACAGCCATGCCGCGCGCGATGTCATGGAACGTCTACGTAAGCCATCCGTCGCCGCCAGGACTCGCGGGGGCGGCCGACGATCGTGCCTTGGACGATGCATGATGCTGCGGGTGCAGCGGCGTCTGGCACAAACGGCATGCCGACGCAGTCCGCTTGTTTCGGAACGCGCACACCGAGCACTGCAGCGCCACTTCAAACTCGTCTGGGTGAGATGTACTGCGGGACGTTGGATGCTTGGCCGCGCATATCTCGCATGCCGTGTTCGACAGGCTCTGCGTGCGAAAGCACACGGGGCAGGTCCACGTGTCCCGGCTCGAGAGCGCCGCCGACGGCGTTTGCAGCGGCGGACGGGCCGATCCCTGTGTGCCACACGATGCGTCATGAGGACGGTCAGACGAATCGAGCACAGGCACCTGCGCTGGGCTGAGATCTTTTGTCTTGAACTGACAGATCGCGTTGTACATGTCGTTGAAGCGGCGCTTGTCTTCTGCGGACGCGCCATGCTGGAGCCAGGATTCGACGGCGGTCGGCGTGATGGCCCCTGCTCGAGGCGATGGCTCGGAAGGGAAGGGCAGTTGGAGCGGGGCTACTTTGCGATGGCCGTAAGATGACGACGGCGGACCGCCGCCGTCGACGTGCGGTAGCTGCAGCCCCATGACGTGGCAAAACTGGACGTAATCGATGCCGTCGCTAAACCGGGCCGCAAACTGGGACGCAAGCTTCGTGTACACGTCGGGGGAGAGGAAAATGCCGCCGTGGCGCATGGCCGCGTGGAATCCGTCGAGACTGATGAACCCGCACCCTTTGACGTCGTACTGGCGAAACGCGGTCACGATCGGCGCGACGTCGATCGAGCGCAATGCGTCGGCAAAGATCGCGCGCAGTTCGCTTTCGACGACGTGGCTCGGGTACACGGCGTTGTAGGCAGGAGGGGATGGCGCTGTGTATGCTACTGGGAGCGCATGCACGGCGGCATGCGGCAAGGGCGACGACGTCAATGGGATGTGGGGATGAGACGAAGGGTGCCGCATCGACGGTGACGAGCGATGGTGGCGCGGGCTCGTCGCCACGATAGACGATGCCGACATGGCGCCATACGTCTCAAGGAGGGCAAAGAACGACTTGTACGGACATGATGAAGGCGACTGGAGCGCCTGCTGGATCGTAGCCATGTCTGATGGAGCGAGACAGCAGTCTATGAGCCGCAGCACTGTCGCAAACTCGGCCCACGATATCGTGCCGCTTCCCCCAACGTCGCACCGCTCCAAGAGCTCCCGACCGTTGATGTTGCGTTGAGCAGCTTGTAAGAAGGCGTCGTAGATCTTGGCCACGACGGGTTTGAGTGCTGTCGAGTGGGAGCTCCCGCTGCTTTGATGGGACGCTCCAGGGGGACTTTCCCTTGTGGCAGCAACGCCCGAGTACCGCTCCAGCGCATCACGCATCGCCGTCACAAACGTGGACGGGTCGACGCGGTGGCGCTGATTCACCCGTCGGCAGGCCGTGGCGACCGCCTCCAATTCCGACTTTTTCCACGGCAGCAATACCTTGTCTCGCAGCACGACCATGAACTGCTTTGGGCGCGAGCATGCTCGAGGTGGCAGCCATTCGTCGAGATGGCGTGAGACTTTGGCGCATTTCGACGCGGACCAGTTGGCTTTCTGAAGCAGCCGTTCCAGCAGAGCTGGCAAGTTGGTCGAGTTGGCCATCGAGTCGCGACGGCTTTTGTCATCGTCGCTGCTGCTGCTGCTGCTGTTCCCATCGTTGGAAACGTTAGCGTCGCTGAGGTCGTCGAGGTCGGGATCGTTGTCATGGTCGTCGTCGTCCCAGTCGGGTCGCCGGACGTCCATGGCATGCGCTGTCTCGAGGTCCCGGAGGAAGAGCGGGTACTTGACCATTCCCGTTTCTCGGACAATGTACTGCATCTCGAGGAACGACACGTCGACGCGCGCGACGTCGTGGGCGGCGGCTTTCGTCGGCATTTCCGCGGCGAGCACCGTGTCGAGGAATTTGTCGAGAATGCGCCGAAATTTCTTCCACGGCAGCACACTCGCGTCGTGGCGGGCCTTGTGCTTTTCAAAGTACTTGGCAAAGGCAAACCCGCCATGGCGCGGCAGTTTGCGATTCAAGTCGGCCACGCGAAGAAGCTGCTTCCCAAGGAGGGTGACGTTGCTGCGTCAACCATGAGCCCGACGGGATCGAGTCACGGTCGTACCCGTTGGGGTGCTGGAGCGCCAGGATGTTGTCCTTGCTGGGGGATTTCGTCGTGGGTTTCGCAGGGCTGGCCGGAGCGCTGCCTCCTGTTGACTTGATGGGGCTGGACGGCGCCGATGGGAGCCCCGTGCCGGGAGCGGTCGGGGGCGAGGCGTCGACGGGAATGGCTGCCTTGGACGTGTCGACTTTGGATTGCAACATCGAGTCGGCGTGATTGGCAAAGTGAAAGAATTCCGTGTAGTCGATCGCGCGGTCCCCATTGACGTCGAAAAAGTGAACGATCGACGCTTTTTCGGCCGCCGTGAGGCCTTTCGACAGCCCCATTTGGTCGAGCACAACGAGAAACTCGTCCGTCGAGATGGATCCGTCGTGGTTAGCGTCGAAATCTACACAAGTCGGACGACGTCCCGAACGAATGAACGGCTACAAATGCACCAGCCCACCGTACCCAAAAACAACTTGTGGAAGCGCGACGCGTCCTTGTCGTTCGACACGAGCTGCTGGATGCGGTCTTGCAAATGTGCAACGACAGCATCGAGCTTCCCGGCCGGATCCGGCGACGCCAACGCGGTCGGCCCGCGCGCGCTATACTCGCCAAACTTGACCACATCGAACTTGCCCATGTCCGTTTGGAATGCGCGGTGGAGGACGACCAGTTCCTACGACCGCATCGGTCGCCCATCGATGGATCGATGGGGACGGTCGTACCTCGGGCGAGAACGGGTACCGCACACCTGCCGCCCACAGCACTTGCTTCAAATCCGCGGGCATGACCCCTTTCTCAAACGCTGCCAACGCGCGCTCGTAGTCGAATGCAGCGCCGCCGCCGCTCTTGGCCACTTCGTCCGCAGCTCTCGTCATCTCGTTGAATGCGTCCGCGAGCATCCTTTGCGTCTCTTTGTCGAGATCGGTACGTTTCGTTGGCTCGGTCGTCATGGCCGACACGTACAAGTCGCAGAACGAGCCATACGGCACGTCGTCCGAGTTGTCGCAGAGCAGCTCGACCAAGTATGGTCGGTCCGTTTTGGAAGCGCGGGGCAGCGCAATGTCGAGCGTGTTGAAGATTTGCTCAAACTTGGTGGCCGAGACGGTCCCAGTGCCCTCTTTGTCTGCCATCGAACACATGCGCTTGATCATGTTGGCAAAGGACACGACCCCGTACGGCGGCAGCTGCACAAACGCGTCTTTGATGGCCGAGATGACGTGCGGATGGTCGCCCGCCGCGCTGTCCCCGTGGTCGGTCGTGACGAACCGACAAAACTCATTAAAGTCGATGCCGCCCGTGCCGTCGACGTCAAAGCGGCGGACGATGCTCTTCATCTCCTACGCGGCAGCACGACCATCGATGGAGCGTCCGTCGCTCGCCGCACGCACCTGTTCGTTGAGGTACTTGCCGATTCCCATCTCCCGCATGCCCGTCTCAAAGTCGGCGAGACGAATCGACTGCGCCCGTTCCTTGTCGAGCACGTTGAACGGCACAGTGTAGTCGTACTTGCCGTCGAGCGTCCTCGCTTGCCGCTTGAGCTCGGCAACAAGGAGGCCGACCCCTTTGGCAAACGGGGGACTGTCGAACGGCGTCACAAACCCGTGCCGCATGCTGCGCCGCTCGGAACAGTCGCGCAAACTCGCGAGGAATCGATCCAGGATCACGAGACCATCTCCTACACATATCCATCTCGTGGTTGAACGCCGTCATGGCAGGACCTACCGCCGGAATCCGCTCCCGTGTGCTGAACCAAGTACACAAAGTCCTAATTGCAAACGAATGATGTGGTCGCTCCAGCAGACGAATCGATCAGGCCGCCATGACGACGCCATGATAAGGAGCGGATGTGGCATACCTTTATGTCGATGGACGGGACGCTCTTGTCCACTGCCATCGCGTTAAAGTCCTGGTGCAGCGTCGCCAGCGGCAACTTGCCATGGCCGAGTTTGTTGAGCTGGTTGAACACGGCATCGGCCGAGTTGTTGTCCGGCATCTTCCCCACCACTTTCCGCGCCGACGCGACCAGGTTTGTGCTACATGGACGGCATGAGGCGTGCGCCACACGATGCTACAGAAATGGATGGCCAGGATGCAGCGGCGTACATTTTCTTGGGGTTGTGGTTGACGAACGCGTGGTACGCATTGCGCGAAATTTCACCGACTTTGGCCGCGGTGGGGGCCATGAGCACGCAAAGACTCCGCATTTCCGCCGGGTCGAGCCGCCAGTTTTTCTGCCGCAGAATCTGCCCACGGGATGCGCGTGAAGAGGACACGCCGCACAGGCATGGCTTTCTACCTTATCGATCATGGGGACACGGAGGACATCTCCTTGTGACTTGACGAGGCGCCACGACGCGGACGAGTCGATGTTGCCATCCTTCGCGAGCTTCTTGTTCTGGTGCTCGATGGCCCAGCCTAGCCACCCCCGAATGAAGCCACCCACCGCGCCGTGCTTGCCGTACCCTGGAACGCCGCGGCTGCTTCAGCCACGCGCGCCGCTTGCCGCGAATGGATATCGCACACGCCCGTGACAAACTTGAGAAAGTCGGCGTAGTCGACAACGTTGTCTTGGTTCACGTCGAACCGATGGATGATTTTGAGCAATTCCTAGCCATCGACGACGCTTCAAGCCGTTGCGACCACCACTCTAGACGTACGTCCGGCGCGACCAGAATCTGCGCCGCCGCGAGCATCCGCAAAAAGTCGTGCCGGCTCAGGATGCCGTCGCCCGCCGCATTGTGCGACTTGAAGATAGACCGGTAATTGGACGATCCCTTGGTCATGCTCCTCTGGAGGGCTTCCGTCGCGCCGTCGCTGACGCCACATCCATGACACCATGACCTCCATCGATGACCCACGTACATTTCAGTGCCAGTCATCTCGACAAATCGCACGAACGCGTCGAAGTCCACACGCTTGACCGCCATCACATCGACCCGCTTCCACACTTCTGCGTACAGCTACACGGGCGACACCAACCGGTCGCTGAGTGCCACCCGCGCCAGAGCCATCGACCACGTACGCGGACGTCGATTTTGCAACCGAGCGCGACAAGCCCGATCTTGAGTTTGTTGGCGCTCAGGAGCTTGCGGTTCTTCTTGTCCAGGCTTTCAAACAACTTGAGAAAGTTGAGGACGCCGTCGGCGTCGGCCGGGCATCGCCGACGCAGCGTCTGTCGGATTTGATTCTCGAGCTCGTCGACGCGCGACCACGTGGCGGTCGACATGGCGGTCGGGGACACTGGCGGATTGAATGCCACCACGTCATGGGCCTCGTTCATATACCTGCCCATGCATCGTTGGTCGTGCGCGCTCGCTTGGATGTCGAGACGTACCGAACCCAGAGGAACACGCCGCGGCGACCAGTCGTCCACCGTGCAGTCAACTTGTTTGTGTCATCCAGCGTGCCGTCGATCTGCTTGTACCCGCGGCATGGCGGCATCCAGAGCGTCGCCGACTTGGTATCGGCAGTGTGGCCTACACGCGCTCCGTCAACGTCGTCCACCGTTCGGCCATGGCGGCGCATGGAACGCCGCGATCGGCCACATCCATCGCTCGAGGACAAGCCGTCATGCATACCAGACGTGATAAAGATGTCGCCGAGCTCCTGCGCCTGGAACGTCCGCGCTTGCGCGTGCTTGAGCCACACGTACTTCTTTGCAAACGGTTTGTTGCCATTCATACAGACAAACCCCTGGGCCACGAGCGCGGTGTCCATGTTGGTGGCCGAGTACTGAATCGCTTCGATCGCGGGCTGGCCGGTGTCCCGTCGGGCGCGCTTGTACCAAAAGTGCAGCACCCCGTGCCCTTCGTAGATGTTTTTGGGGTACAAAATGTACCCTGCCCGCTTGAGCTCGGCGGCTTCGTGGTCGTTGGTCGAGTACTACAATCGCGGCGGCAGTCAGTCGGTACGACGTCGTCGTGATCGCGGCGGCACCTTCAAGTCGACGATGCCATCGGGGTCCTTGAGCTCGACCAGCTTTTGTGCGCGATCCACGTCTTTGTAAAAGTGTTCAAAGTCGGCCGGCTTGACGATGCCGTCGCCGTCGTAGTCGATCAAGTCCATCATGATCTCGATTTCCTGGCTCCAGGGTCAGACAACGTACGAGAGGTCGACTACCCCAATCGTGAGCACGACGTCAAACTCCCTCGTGATCGCCGCGCCAAACAAGTCGACGGCCATTTCCGACTCGTTTGTGCCTTGGACGGTCATGCGGCGGTACGTGTCGAGGAGCTCGTTGTCCGTGAGCTTCATCCGGCGCAGCGATTTCCAGTACTTGCAGAGGAGGATGAGTCTATCGCGAGCAGTTGAGGCTGGCGAGGTCACATCGACGGTGACACGTACAGCTGCATCCGATCGAGGAGGCAAAACTCGACAAAGTCGATGTGGGTCATGGTGGATTTCGTCGCGCTGTGGACGATGCGCTGGAACAGCACCGCAGTGTCTTCCGGCGCGACCAAGCACTCGAACGCCGGGTCGCTCGCCATGAGCTTTCGAAATTGATGCTCGTCCAGGACCACGTCGTCGTCGGTACGCGGCTTCTTCTGTCCCGACTTCTTCGCCGCGTCAGCGACACCCTCCTCTTGGCTGAATCGTCGCATGAGATCCTTCAGGTAGTAGTAGATTCCATTGTGCCCTTTGATCGACGCTGCCTTTTCTCGAAAGATCTGGCGCGCGCGGTGGCCGAGCACATCGTCCGCAAACTTGCACAGCATGTACGCGCCGACCTCTTTGCCGTCGACTTTGAGGTTTGCCAGCAACGGGTGGTTGTCGACGTCGATCACGTCGACCTGCTTCAGGGGCTCTGCCGCGATTTTCTTGGTTTGGTTCGGCGGCACGTCGGTCTTGGTGTGGTGCTTTTGCCGGTCGGCTGCTTCGATTTCGCTCTTGGTCAGGTTGGCCGCCACCGTTTGAGAAGCACCCTCGAACGACACTGTCTTGGACAGCGCTGGTTTCGCTGCGCTTTGGCTCATGACAGCAGACGATTGCGTGCGCGGCCCTTCACACGTCGTCAACTCTTTCGTGGCACCGAGCGAATGTAACGACCCCAGCGGTTTCGACTGCCCACAATCGCCGCCGTCCAGCACGGTCCACACGGCGACGTTGCCGCCAGGCCCGCCTAGCGATTCGACGTCCAGAGCGACGGAGTTGGCGACGTTAGGTAGGTGCATCTCTGCATCGACGGAGGTAGGCCGGTTATACAGAATGCTGGAACGCCATGGCATGCGCCGTGTAGGCCGTGCCGAAATGATCGACACATCCCAGCACGCCCGATGGAAACCTCAACGTATGCGGCTGGGAGTTCATCGACGGCCGTACGTCGAGGCGGCACGACCACGGTGGCACTGTCAGCAGTAAACGATGATGAAGCTCCTGTCCTAATAACCCCGTTTCATCTTGCGTCGGCATACCAAGCGTGAGCCTCGCCGTCGGTTCTACTCGTGTCTGTGGCAAACACTATGCCAGTCACCGACGCGTCCACGACCCGTTCGTCTCCCGCGATCTTGTGTCTGGATCATGATCCGTCTTCTTCATCAGCGCCAGAACCGTCAGCAGATGCGAATGCGGCGGGGGCGTCCATAGAGACGAGGTCTCGACTTTGCAAGTCGCGTCGCTGCCATGGACGTTGTCCTCACGCCCATCTTGCGTCGTCGCGGCGGCGGCGACAACCTCACGAGCCCACCGCTCGGCCGAAACGCCTGTAACCGTCATCGTCGCCTACCCCGACCGCTTGGCCACATGCTGATGTCGGCGCGCGACGTGGCCGACGCCCACGTGCTTCTATCCAACTCGAATGCAGTGGTTCACGTGGCAACGTCGCGGCCGAGAGGGCACACATCGTCCATGGTCGACCTATACTGCCTCCTCTTCAACGCACAGGTGCATGCACCGCGCGTCCGTCGCAAATTTGTGACAGCGCGGTTGTAGGGCCAGTTGATCGAGCACGTATCGCACAGCCCAGCATCCAACGACGGCGCGATCACGCAGGAACCGCGGCATCAGCACGGCCACGATCAAAAGTTCGTCGTCGCGCTGCACCGCGTCAACTACGGCATCGATGTCATCGGTACGCCCCCGCGCGCCACATCGTTGAGGTGGGACATGCCCCTAGGCTTTATCCTGTCCCACAGCGAAGACACGATCTCGGACCAGTCCCGTCCGCTTGACGAGTGCGCGGTTCAGTGCACCCTCCACAGCTCCAACGTGGATGCTATCTTGTCGCACGGCCAAGGCGACGTCCTGTGCGAGCATGCACACTCGCCGCACGACGCGGCCTCCGGTGGGCTTTTTCGGAACGCCATCATGGTGTGCAAACTCTACCGCGACACCCGCCAGCGCAGCCAGTGGATCTTCCACCCGATCTGCGAAGGCATGACGTGCGCCAGCCACTGCATCGTCGGGCTCACGCGCTGCGCGCAGCTCCACTTGGTCGACATCATCCCGGACATTGACATTCCAAATGTCACGTCGCTCCGGTCGATCCAGGGCATCTGCTCGGCACTAACGAGCGGCGAGTTTCTCGCGTTTGAAAACCAGTTTCCCGCTGGCGGGTACAACAAACACGCGTTTGCCCGGTGTTTAGGCGAAGGCATGGTGCGGGCGCGGCCGGAGCTCCGGTCCGAGAAGCACGTGGCCGCGCTGCTCGCGCTGCTGTACGAAATGTTTGACCAGATCGGTGGGTGGGACTCGATCGTCGTCGCAGCGTGACTCGTGATGCGTCGGCAGACATCAATGGCGACGGACACGTCGACTGGGAAGAGTTTACTTCGTTCTGCATTGCGCTTGGCATGATTTCGACCAAGCAGTCGCAGGTCGTGCAGGGAAAAGGCGTCGAGTACTCGTACAAGCAGCATCCGTGCCATGGCAAGTACGTGTGTCGGCGGCGCGGCGCGCATGTCGTGACGATGGCGCAGGACGTTTCCGTATCACATCACACGGATCAAGAGCTTTGACGCGATTCGAAAAGTCGCCGTGCTCGAGCACATGTCGCCCAACATTTCGGTCACGTGGCCAACGTGTGCCCGAGCTGGCTCACGCGGCGATGTAGATGTTCGACTCAGACGGCCACTTTCTTCACGATATGACGTCGATCGCCAAGACGAGCGTGATGAAGGACGGCGGCGTGTACGTGATCGATGTCGATCACGTCCCGGCCAAGAATTGCTTGGTCGTGTCGAGCTCGGACCGCACGATCACGGTGTGGGGCATCGTGAATGCCGTCAAGGGCCAGTACATCCAGAGCGGCAAGATCGTCGTCCATGACATGATGATGGTTGTCAAGTGGTGCCCGATGCTCAAGCTGTGCATGACGTCGAGCACGAAGTCGACGGCGCTGTGGAACGTCGACACGTGTAATGGGCCATCGTTTTGTAATCGCAGCAGCTGCCAACGTGATGTCTAGGTAAGGTCGAAGCGCGCCTGGCGCACCATGCGGACCTGGTCACGGACATTGTCGAGATCCCAGCCGCGCGACTCTTTGCAACGTGCTCTTTTGACCACAACGTGGCTGTGTGGGAAGCGGATCGGATGAAGGTCCTGTTTGAATTGACGGGGCATACACAGGTCCGTGCGATGCACGCGGCGCACGTGACTGGGGGGACATGGGCAGGCTGTCATGCACGTCGATGCCAACGGCAACGTCCTCGTGACGTGCGGGTTCGAACACCACGCACGGGTGTGGAGCATTGCGACTCGCAAACACTTGGTAGTCGCACGAAAAATCGATGGTCGTCGTGACGCTGTGCGAGGCGGTAGGTGATGCTGACCGGCCACCACTGCGCGCTCCTCGACGTCAAGTTGATTCGGCATCACGCGGCCAAACTCGACTGCGTTACGGGCGACATGTCGGGCCATTTCAAGATCTGGGACATCTCGAGATGCATCGTGGACGCGTCGCGGGATGCTGGTGCGGCCTCCGTCATCGTCGCGAATGTAAACGTGGGCGGTCCTAGCGGTCGTCTTGCACACGTACACCGTCCACGTGGTGGGGTCCATGGCTCCTGTCTTTCACTCGTTTGCGGTCGTTCCCGATCGAAAACGACCCACGGAACTTGTCGAGGTGTGGGCAGGTGCGTCGTCGTCGTCTCTCCGGTCGCGTTCGTCACACATGGCGCGCGCAGGCAACTTTCAAGTGGTGCGGCTTGTGCCCGAGATGGTCGCATCGGTCCACAGCCCACTGCAGTACGTCTTGTACAACCAGGTGTCGCACACGTTTACCGCATCGATTGCCGGCCGCATCACGGTGTGGAGCGGCAAAAGCGGCACCATCATCCACGAACCGATCGCGATCACGGCGGCCGACGTGTGCGGCCTCTGCTTTGACCTACCTCGCCAACGCAAGCTGTTTGTCGCGACCAGTGTACGCAAAATGGGTCTGGACACGTCACGAGCGATGATTCCAGGACGGCTGCGTGAGCATGTATAACCCCATCACGGGGGCTCTCATGGACGTAAGGCGTCGCCGCCGTCATCGCGCGATGATGGACCTCACGGAGCTTGCGTGTGGGGTAGTCGGCTCAACTCCACGACGGCGAGATCTTGACGCTTCTCTACTGCGAGCGAACAAATGTACGAGTGTGCGAGCGGTGGTGTCGGCATGCTTGGAGGACGTGTGCCGCCGCACGTGTACAACGAGCGCTGGTCTTGTCATGGTCGTGGCTCCTGTAGTGCCTCATCACGAACGGCGCGGACGACTCGCTGTCGATTTGCAGCGACGTCCAAGGACAAGGCCAGCTGGATCCGATGCGAACGATCGACAACGTTCATCGGTACGGTGGCATGTCCCGCGCCAGGCCTGAACAAACGATCGGCAGCGTGCCCATGTCGTCGTGCGCGTACTCGAGCGAGCACGGGCTGATTGCGACGGGCGATACGAACGGGCACATCCGCGTCCACGATTTTCAAAGGCTGTCGCTGATATTTCGGTGCGAAGGGCACAAGGGGGAAGTGACGTGCCTGTCGTTCCATCGGCAGTGCTGCGTGCTGTTCGCGGGCGACGCGGCCGGAGATATCCTCGTGTGGCAGGTCCTGAACGTGACGTCTGTGTCCAAGTGCCTCATGCGCCTCTCGTACACGTCGGCGGCGCCGACGTCCCTCCCCACGTTTGTGACGGACCACGCGTTGCCTCCGGCCGTCTCGCCCTGCGGCATCAGCTCGATCTGTGTTACGGAAGATTCGGCGCACTCGTTCGCGTCGATCGTGGCCGCGGACGATGTCGGCCATGTCCACTGCTGGTCGCTCCGGTCGATCCGCCAGCACACGCGCGGCGTGATGAAAATCCATTTTGACCCGTTGCCAGAAACGATGATCGCGTACGCTCGCGGCGGGTACAACCCGAACCTGCGCATCAGCCGCCGCCAGAGTGTGATGGCGCCATCCGCCGCCGAGCACAGTCGGGAGCCGCGGCAAAAATACCACCGCGGTCGCACGTCGAGTCCGCGCGTGAGCGACGCCATGTCGTGGAAAGCGCACGATTCCAAGATCTTGCAGGTCCATCCGCTGCAGTTTCCTGGGTACGAGCACACCACCAACGCATGATGACGCTCGAGAACATGTCGCTGCATGACGGGGTCGTGCATGATGTTCGTGGCATGTGCGCTGTCAAGGGATCGACTTGGTCACGGCCACTCGTGTGTGTGTGTGTAGCTTCTTCTACTCGTACGACGACGGCGGCGTGCGGCTGTGGGACACCGAGGGCGGGTGCCTCGGCACCCTGCAGCGGCGATTTGAAGAAGCCGAGTCGCAGCCGATGCAGTGGCAGTACCGATCGTCCGTTCTCTTGGTCGACAACTCGACCACGATCAAGCAGCACGCGGTGGACATCCTCAAGGCCGTCGCCGACGACGGCGAGTACGTCGGGTGCGTTCGAGCAGGGCGGCCATCATGTCGTGGATGTGTTTCTCGTGTAGCCCGGCGGACAGTTTGAATGCAGACGACGCCGCGGCGCTGGAAACGCAAGACGTCACAGGGTACTTGAACGAGCATGCGTCGCGCACGCCGCGAACGATGCGGCGGCACCAAAGCCTGGCCAACGCAATGGAGAAGGTCAAGGCGGTCAAGATCGAGGACCCCGGGCTCGGCGCCGTGCTGGACGGACTCCGCATCAAAGCCGAGCACGACCGCGCGTTTTCGAGTACGTCCGGCAACGATAATGACGCACGACCGACCGCACGATGCGCAGGGCTGTCGGTCAAGGCAGGCATCCAGGACAACATGTTCACCCAGGACGAAGCATACATGTTGGAGAGCGTCGGGCGAGATGCGCTGCAGCGGCGCAACTACGAGACAATTTTGTTTCCGCCGCTCTTGCTCACGACCGCGCAGATCAAGAAAGCGTACGCGAAAGCGTTTTCGTCGCCGCCGTGCAAGGACGACGCGCCGAGCGGCGTCGACGACTTGCCGATGCTGCGAACGTGCGACAACTTTGCTGTCGAAGTGGCGGCGCGGCGATTGAAGCAGTCGACGGGCCCGCAGGCGTCGCGGCATCAGCTGTCGATCGAGCCGTCGGCGTTTTTGAAGCTGCATTTGAAGACTGACACGCCGACGAAGAAGAAACCCAAGCGCCGGGCGGAATCCAAGAAGCCGCCGCATGCAGCGCAACACGCGATCGCGATGGAAACGTTTGTGGCAAAGACTCCGGACAAGGCCGTCGGGGTGCTGCCACGGCTGTCGTCCAGGTCGTTCGGGATGCAAAAGAGCGCGTCCATGCCGGCGCTGCATGTTCAGGCGGAGGCGAGTCGCCAGGACGCTGACGACGACGACGATGGCAGCTGGAGAGATCATGTGCCCGCGGACACGAACGGCTGTGATGGCGGCGGCATGCAGACGTCCCGCCAGGATGCTCATGTCGAAATCCGCCCAGAAGTCAAGCAGAATATCCTGCGCAAGATGACGTTGTGCGAGAGCATGCGGCATGAATCGCGCGTGAAAAAGCCAGCCGTGAGCCGCATGAAGATGGAGGCGAAGAGGCGGCCGCCCATCGATCCAGTCGAGTGGGCCAAGGCCGGGAAAAACCCATTCGGGCCACACTACTCGGTCCGCGAGGTGCTCGAGTTCGGAGGTGAGCGCAAGGACAGTGAGAGCGATGGACGAGAACGTGTTTGCGCGTTAGAAACCTTGCTCCGCTTCGACAAGGACCTATCTGGCGACATCGACACGGATGAATGGATGAAGATCATGACGGCGTTCATGCCGAAAGCGCACGACGCGGACGTAGCTGTGGCGAAGGAGCTGTTTGCCACGGTGGACGCCAACGAAGACGGACTCATCTCACTCAACGAGCTGCTGCACATCGTGGTATGTGCGCTTGTGCACATTGACGCCAGCGATGAGCTCATGGGAGTGCGTCTCGTCTAGTTTCTGCAAGCGACGAGGGAGCAACTCTTGCTCATGGAAGAGCTCATTCGACGAACGTCTCGCGGCAACGAGCCCGACGACTCTCCAACAGGTCCACCACCTGCTCTTGTGGATCCACCCTCCGACGAAGACGTTGAACCGGAGTAACATCAATGTGGGATCGACGTGTCGACAAATGGGGCTGTGATGGATTGGAAAGAGCTGAGTTCAACGCACACAGAGACACTTGCAGACGAACTCTTCGATTGCGCGTGAGTGCTGCACCATGCGCAGGAGCATTGCCGGCATCGACCGACGGCGTCGTCGACGCGGGCCGCTGGCGGTGGTAGCCGCAGTTGACGTGTCGTTAATTTTATGTCGATATTTTATATCGACGTCTCTTCCATACAAAGAAGAAGATTCCAAATTACAGCAACATCGAAATATTTTAATTGCATGCGATGGATTTGAATCACTAGCCCATTTTGCAATTTCGAGTCGTGGGGTAACATGGGAGCAGTTGAGTCGACATCGACGCAATTGTTCTCGCACCCGATCCCGCACAGCGAGCTTCCTGGGTACGGGCCAGTGCATGTGAGCCCTGATGCGCTCCCTCTCGCAGACCACATCTTGACGCAGTGGGAGAACTTCAAGCGTGGACTGTCGATCTCGGCGGACTCCAACTACCTCGGCACACGTTCTCGCGATGCGACCGGCAAGGCTGGGGCGTACACGTGGATTACGTACAACCAGACGCTCAAGCGCGCCGAGCGTATTGCGACGGGTTTCCAAAAGCGCCTGCACGTCCGTCGCCAGGAAATGGTTGGCGTGATGAGCAAAAACCGCGCAGAGTGGGTGCTCACGGAAATTGCATGCAACCGCATGAGCTACGTTCTCGTCCCTCTCTACGACACCCTCGGTCCCAAAGCGATCCCTTACATTGTCAACCATTCTGGCATGCGGGTGCTCGTGGCCGCAGGGGAGTTGATTCCGAGCATTCTGGACGTCAAGCACGAGTGCCCGACTCTCGAGTTCCTTGTTTCCATGGATGTGGTATGCCGTCGCCATGCGGTGGGCGCGGTGTGTTGTTTACACGTGCGCATGTTGGTATGTAGGTCACGCCGCGGCAGCGTGCGGACGCGGAAGCGGCAGGAGTGTCGTTGATCACGTTGGACGACATCGAGGCAACTCCAGACGCGACGGGTAAGTGTCCCTTGCATGAGGATGCTGCATTCTCGTCCAGTCGCTGCTTGTTTGCTGTGACGGCTTGGTAGTCCCGGAAGACCCGCCGCTTCCGTCGGACTATGCAACGATTTGCTACACATCGGGGACGACGGGTGACCCGAAGGGCGCGATCTTGACCCATCGCAACCTCTCGACTGCAACCGAGATCGTGACGCATCGAGTGATTTCGCATCCGCATTACGTTCACATGTCGTACCTTCCGCTGGCTCACGTGTTTGAGCGCGTGAACGCGGCCAACATTACGCGCGCCGGCGCGTCCATGGGGTTTTACCAAGGCGACATTCTCCATCTCATGGACGACATGGCCGAGCTCAAGCCGCACATGTAAGGCATTCCTTCTATAGCTTTCGTCGTGCGCCGCGACGGTCGGCTTCCCCGTACTGTTGCGACCAGCGACCTGATCGAGTCGACGGTCGTAGCTTTGTGTCAGTGCCGCGCCTCTTCAATCGCGTGTACGACAAGATCATGCAGGGCGTGATGGCGGCAGGCGGTCTGAAGAAGCTCCTGTTTGACTACGCGTATGCAGCCAAGAAACAGGCGCTCGACGACGGCACGAACGTGCATGCGCTGTGGGATGCGCTCGTCTTCGCCAAGATTCGCAACGTGCTGGGCGGCCGCGTCGAGTTTATCGTGTCAGGGTCGGCACCGTTGGCGGCCAACGTCAAGGAGTTTTTGAAGATTGCGTTTTCATGCCGCGTCGAAGAGGGGTACGGCGCGCGCAGTGGCCATGGCGAGTAGTGGTTGGTCATGATGGCTTGCACGACGTAGCTATGGCCTTACCGAGACGGCGGCGGCCGCGACGCTGTCGATCCCGGACATCCCGGTCGGCGCCCACGTCGGGATGCCGCTCCCGAACGTCCAAATTCGGCTGGCCGACGTCCCAGACATGAATTATACGAGCGCGGACGTGCCACGTCCGCGCGGTGAGATATGCATCCGTGGCAGCAACGTCTTTGCTGGGTACGTCTGAAAAGTCGACGGCGGCACTTGCGCCGTCATGCGACCCTTTTCGAGGAAGCGGTCGCCATGCGGTTGGCGCGCAGTGTTGCCGATGGTCAGTGTGTGCTTTGCCTAGGTACTACAAGGACCCGGAAAAGACGGCCGAGTGCCTCGGGCAAGATGGGTGGTTCTCGACGGGCGACATTGGCGCGTGGAATGCCGACGGCACACTCAGCATCATCGACCGCAAGAAGAACATCTTCAAGCTCGCGCAGGGCGAGTACGTCGCGGCCGAGAAGATTGAAAACGTGTATGCCAAGAGCCCGTTTGTCGCGCAAATGTTCCTTTACGGCGACCCGTACCAAAGTTACTTGGTCGCGATCGTTGTGCCCGACCCCGACATTGTGCAAACGTGGGCCACCGAGCGCAACATTCCCGACGGCCACAACATGACGAACATGGCGCAGCGCGCCGATTTGAAAGCAGCCATCTTGGCCTCGCTGGCGGACGTCGCGAAAGAAGCCAAGCTGAACGGGTTCGAATGTGCCAAGGACATTTACATCCATCCCGACCCGTTCTCAGTCGACAACGACTTGATCACCCCCACATTCAAGCTCAAGCGTCCCCAACTCAAGGCGTACTTTCACCGACAAATCGATGCCATGTATGCCGGCCTCCATTAGACGGTCCCGCAGTCGGGAAGCGCTACTACCTCGTGGACCCAGCGCTCTCGCTAATGCATCCACATGCGTCGCGTTGCTTTCCTCAGTCGTCCTATCGTTGTGTGGCCCTCGGGCACATGCATATCTCGTTAGCCAAGAATCGCGTCAGGACAAACATAGACGTCGACAACTCGGTAGCGTCCCCCATGATCACGGGCTTCATGGCACTGTGCATATGCGCCGTCCCCACTGCCCTCTCCTCATGGGACCTGGACCGCGATGGCGCGTGCGCGCCGACCCCTCGCGTTAAAATCCAAGCTTTTTATCCAATCCGTATCGATTCTCTCGTTGGAATCTCTAGGATTGGCTAAAATTCGGTTGCGAGAAGATCACTGTGACCTTTTGTTGACAAGACACAGATCTTGTGTCGAGAGCACAACGCCATGGGCGCGGCCGAGTCGACGAACCGCATGTTCTCGCACGAGATTCCCTTTAGCGACGCCCCTGGGTATGGCCCCATCCGCACGGCACCTGGCAGCCTTCCCGTCGCAGACCACACCACGACGCTGTGGGAGAACTTCAACGTCGGGCTCGCTCACAGTCGAAACAATCCGTACCTCGGCACGCGGACTCGAAGTGCGAGCGGCAAGGCGGGGTCGTACCACTGGATCTCATACAACCAAGCGCACGAACGCGCCGAACGTATCGCGACTGGTTTCCACCACGTGGTCAAGGTTCGTCGACAGGACATGGTCGGCCTCTTCAGCAAGAACCGCGCGGAGTGGATCTTGACTGAAATCGCATGCAACCGCATGAGCTACGTCGTCGTGCCGCTTTACGACACGCTGGGTCCGAAAGTCATTCCGTTCATTCTGAACCACACAAACATGCGCGTGCTTGTGTGCTCGGGAGATCTCGTGGCTACGGTGCTCCAGGCCAAAGCCGAATGCCCTGCCTTGGAGTTCGTCGTGAGCATGGATGATTCGGTAACCAAGTCGCCGTGTCGCTTCATCGGTCAACGCATGCATTGTAGATCACGGCACGACAACGTAGCGACGCCGAGAGCAAAGGGATCGTCCTGCTCACTCTCCACGAGCTCGAGGATGTGCCAGACCCAACCGGTACTGCAACGTCCCCTGGCATATCGTGCATGGACTCACGGAACATTGTCCAGTTCCTCCGTCCCCGCCGCTGCCGTCGGATGTGTCGACGATCTGCTACACGTCGGGCACGACGGGCGACCCGAAAGGCGCGGTCTTGACCCATCGCAACTTCACGACGGCGGCGCTCATGCTGATGGACCGGATCGACTGCAGCAGCTACATGGTTCACATTTCGTACCTTCCGCTTCCCCACGTCATGGAGCGTTGTGTGACGACGATTATTGCGCGGTTGGGGGCGAGCATGGGCTTTTACCAAGGCGACGTCGTCCATTTGATGGACGACATGGCGGAACTCCAGCCGCACTTGTACGTCGTCCTAGCCATCCCGACGCCATGCCTCACGCGGTGTAGGTTCGTATCGGTGCCGCGGCTCTTCAATCGCGTGTACGATAAGATTGTCCAGGGCGTGCGCGTCGCGGGCGGCGTCAAGAAATGCATGTTTGACTACGCGTACGAGGTCAAGCGCCAGGGCATCGCGGACGGCGGCGCGACGACGCATGCGCTCTGGGACGCCCTCGTATTCTCCAAGATCCGGGCGGTGCTCGGAGGTCGCGTCGAAGTGATCGTGTCGGGGTCGGCGCCGCTCTCGCCAAACGTCAAGGAGTTTTTAAAGATTGCGTTTTCGTGCCGCGTCGAAGAGGGGTATGCTGCTCCCGTGTGATTGTGCCATGGATCGTTGCATGGATCGCGTGCGCTTTGTCCATGGCCGAGCAGCCACTCGACCGTCTCGTCCATGGCTCTGCTGTAGGTATGGTCTCACGGAAACGGGCGCAGCCACGACGCTGTCATGTGCAGATATTCCGACGGGGCCGCACGTTGGCATTCCCCTGGCAAACGTGCAAGTCCGCCTGGCGGACGTCCCCGACATGAACTACACGAGCGCGGACCTGCCGCGTCCGCGCGGTGAGATCTGCATCCGCGGCAACAACGTGTTTGTCGGGTACTGGCGCATGCGCCGACGGTACTTGTTCACCGCCGATTTGCCTAGGTACTTCAAGGAACCTGGCAAGACGGCCGACGTGCTGTCGGAAGATGGATGGTTCTCGACGGGCGACATTGGCGCGTGGAATGCCGACGGCACACTGAGCATCATCGACCGCAAGAAGAACATCTTCAAGCTCGCGCAGGGCGAGTACGTCGCGGCCGAGAAGATTGAAAACGTGTATGCCAAGAGCCCGTTTGTCGCGCAAATCTTCGTCTACGGCGATTCGTACCAAAGTTACTTGGTCGCGATCGTCGTACCCGATCCGGAGGTTGTCCAGACGTGGGCCGCGGCCAAGGGTTTGTCGGATGCATGCAACCTCAACGCGATGGCGGCGCGATTGGATTTGAAGGGTGCGATCCTGGCGTCGATGGCCGACATGGCCAAAACTGCCAAGCTGAACGGGTTTGAATGCGCCAAGGACATTTACATCCATCCTGACCCGTTCTCGGTCGACAACGACCTCGTCACGCCGACATTCAAGCTCAAGCGCCCGCAACTCAAGGCGTTCTTTCAGCGCCAAATCGACGCCATGTACACCAGTGGCCCCAACTAGAATGGCTCGCCACGAACAAATGCATCTCCATGAATCGTGTGGTTCATCATCTACTCTGGCCTCCATGCCGCTGTGCTGCTGTGGGATGCTGCGATTTCGAGACCTGCCTTATTGACCCATCATCCACACGGAAATCGAGAGTTGGTTAAAATGAAAAATCGGCCGGGACTGACGTCGACTCCGCGGGAGGATTCGAGCTGTGGTCTGTCGGTGCCGGGAACGCGGAAACGTCCCACGCAGACGTCCCGACGCTCGCTTGAAAGTCGGCAAAGTTGGCAAACGAGTTGGTGGCGTCCGCGACATTGGCTGGCTCGGTCGCAAATGTCGCTGTGAACGGTCCGTTGTCCGAGAAAAAACTCGGCAAGAACGGATCGGTCGCCACTCGACGGTCCGAGGTCGACAAGGTAAAGTCGCCAAAGATGTCGTCGTTGGTGGAGGTCGTTGCGGCCGGCGGCACGGATGGCTTGGGAGCGTCGAACACAGGAAACACAAAGTCTGTGTCGGCCGCGACGACAGTCGTCGCGAATGCGTCGGGCGTCAAGGACAGTGTCGGCGCGGCCGCGGGGCGCATGGGGAACGCACCCAACTCAGTCCAATCGTCCAAGCGATCCGTTGCCGGGACGTGCATGTCAACCGCGGTTGTGGAGCGCATCGGCGCTGTAGTTTGCTGGTCCGTTGATGGAATGGTGCTGGTCGGGGAAGTCGGACTACGGTCGTCGAATGGCGCGTCGTCTTTGGGCAGGCCAAAGAGACAGCCACGTCCTGCCGCCGCGGCGTCAGCATCTTCGTGTGTAGACGCGGCGCCAGAGAGCTCGGATTCGTCCTCCGGTGCATCTGGAGCTTCGTGGACGGTCGAAGGGGTCTCCGAGGAGGCAACGTCTCGATGGTCCGATCGTGGAATCACGTCAGTCGGACGAAGCACGGCATTGTCCGTGTCGAGATCGTTCCCAAATGCAGCACCGACGTCGTCAAGTCGAGTCGACGTGCTTCCAATTCCACCAAAGGACGGCGCGGCGAAGGCATCGCTGAACGAGACGGCGGCGTCGGCGCCGCTGGATCCGTCGACGTCACCAAATACAGTTGAGAAACCAACAGCATCCAGCGGGCTATTGCATGCTTGGCCAGAGCCAAGCGGTCGGTCACTCGTCTCGGCATGGGCTCTGCCGTTCGCCACGTCGTTGTCGCTGGCAGGGTGCGGCACCTCTTGCGAGTCTGGTGTCGTCGATTCGCCAAATTCAAACACGTCGGTGGATGGGTCGTGTGCTGGCAACAATCCGAACGGCTCGGGGGACGCCGACGAGGTAGTCAAGTCGCCGAATCCAGCGCCGACGTCGTCGTTGGTTGCGGTCGACGATGAAGGTGCACAGGACGACATCGCGCCGTCAACGCAAAACGCACCAAATCCGTCCGAGATGGAGGTCGTGCCAGCAAAGGCCGGTGCGTCAAAGCCATCCGACGCCGTGGCCGCCGAGGTGTCATGGACGCCAAACGCAGCAAAAGAGGCTTCAAACTTGCCAAAGTCTGCGGTGAATGCATCGGTCTGCACGACGCTGTCAAAGGACGTTGAAAAGGTGGGGATCGACGCCTGGTCCACGTCGAACGACGTCTCGAACGAGTCTTGCTCGGTCGGCGGGTGGAACGATGGAGCGTCGTCGAATGCTGGGAACGACGTGTCGCCGCTGAAATCGCCAAAATCGGACGACGATGCGTCCGTGAGAGACGGGATACCGGGAGCGGCTGTCGTTGCTGCAAACGAGGCAAAGCTATCTTGAGATGGTGCCGACAACGCGGTGTCAGCGTCGAACGCGCCAAACGCCGCCACGGGCTGTGGCTCGACTGGCTTCGGTGCAAACTCGTCGGCGAATGACGACGACTGGCTCCTGCCCGTGGCGGACAACGACGGCGGCGGCACGGACGCCATCATGGACGGTCTCCGCGACAGCGACACGTTGTCCGATGTGGCGCTGGTCGATCGCTTCAAGGCTGTGGATGAGCGAGTGGTCGGGATCACGGCGATCTTTTCAGCGAGTGTGGTTTCGGGGGACGCCACGATGTACTTTTCCGTGACGCTCAGGTCCATTTCGTTCATCGCATCGAACGCATTGAATGTGGACGTTGTAGCAGCAGCAAATGCATCTAAAATGACGGCTGGAGCTGCTGGTTTCGCCATGCTCTGGAACGAGACAAACTGGTCTGGCTTGGCACTTGAACTTCCTCCTGTGCCTGCAGACCCGTCAAACGCAAACGAGGCGTGGGTGGATGGAGTTGGCGAGAAGAGGCTTGCCCCGTCGGCCGCGACAAATGTGGGGGCGGCGCTCGCGATCGGCGGCGGCGGATTCGGGGAGAACGGGTCCCCATCGACTGTCCATTCAAACGACTGGGCGGGAGCACGCTTGGCGGCTACATGCGGAAAGCACAGCGCACGTGGGGTGAACGGAGGCTGCCTTGTATTAACGAATATTACCGTTGTCAAACGAAGCGTCGAAACTAGTCGAGAAGCCAAATCCACTCGAAGTGACCGACTTGTCCACGTCGACGTGCAAATTTGAGTTGTGGTGGTGTGGCTGGTTCTTGGGCTGGCATCGCAACGCGGCTTCCTTTTGCTCCACGAGCCGTGCCGACTGCTGCTTGAGGTTTGTCAGCGTCTGGAGCAGCGTGTGCACGGGGACAACGGGGGCTGTTTTGTCCTGTTGCTGTAGCACAAGTAGCTCCTGCGTAACTTGTGCAATATACCGCAGCAAGACGGCCTCAAGCTCGGAAAGGCTCGCGCTGTCGCCTGGCGCTTGCCGAGCGGAAGGGGGTAGCGCATACCCCAGCGCTTCCACAGCATTCAAATGCACTTCCAGTGGCGTCAAAGAAGCTGCTGGCACATGCGCGACAGCGCCAACGAGTTGCTTCTGCGCCCCCAGCTATACAAACCACGCACGATATGGTCAGCCTTCTTGCTCCAAAACAAGCGCAGCGTTCCATGGCCCATATACGGCATACAAAGATTGAATAACAATTTTCATCCAGGAGTCATGTACATGATGCAAATCATGCCAGATAACATGCGCAAAGCCACTTAGATCGAACCTGTAACTCGAGCATGGCGGCAGCATTCTGTCCTGTCGCGACTTGGTCAAGCTTGATGGGAGGCAGGGCCAGCGTCGGGAAGAGCTCCATGGGGATCGTTGTTGGGATTTGTGCCATGCCGCGACGAGTTTTGCACACGATCAAGTGCATTGCGATCGTGAATGTCGCCACTTGCAGTCCGGTGTTCATGCCAGAGTCTACCAAGCGGTAGATTTCTTGCAGTTCCTGTGGATCAATCAGTCGGTGGTGACATGCATGGGAGCCGTACGGAGAGGGGCATGCCTGACTTTTGAAAGAGCTCCATCGCGGCGGTGGCGGTGATTGTACCGTCGACGTCGCCGCCAACAGCATCTCGGAAGAGCGTCTTGTACTTGTATTCGTCGGTTGCTGCCATGACAAAGTCCTTTGAATTGGCGCCGTCAATGTGAAGGACAGGTAGTGGAAGCGCGTGGGAGTTGCCCAACGCGGCAAGGCGATCCAGGTCAAGCGTATCCCCACATTGGGCCAACGCAATTAATCCGAGCGCGACGTTGAACTCGTCTTGGTTCAAATACGGCTGCATGTTGGTGCTGGCCAATGACCACACCTAAGTTGTGTATGCGTGGGTACCGTGCTCAATGGACGAGCATTGCAATCCACACCGAACCTGCTTGAGGATTGTAGCCGGCAGACCACTCGTGGTGAAGAATTCGACGGCTGTTTTGCCTTCCACCTTGCCGGTTTTGTCGACATCTGCCAGTTGAAACATACGAGTGTAGAATGCTTCCTCCTCCTTGCCCTTCTTCCACATGACGCTGCCTGGAATCGCCATCGAGCGTCGCGCGGCGGCACGCAATGGATTCAAAGCAAAGATCAAGTCACCTCCCCAGACGCAAGCGGTATCCGGATAAAAGATCGTCGGATGCAATTGGTGTTGGTTCAAAATCCTTAATTCGTGTACTATACACTAAAAGACGTATTGACCTTACACTAATTCCATGCGACAACGTCCCACAACGACCAGTGTGTGGCCGGCGCCATGAGCAAGCAAGCACGCATGGCAGCACCTCAACAGCGCAGGTCAAAGCAGGGAGAAGCGTTAGCGAGAGATTATTGTTTGTCTGTGTGTTGGAGGAGTTTTCGCCGGCCGCGGCGGTGGCCGTTCCGATCGCTGTCTGCGTCCTTCTTGCCAACGTAGTATGCACTCGCCTTGTGAACTTTGTACCCAAAGACTCGGGGAACGTACACTTGCGCCGGGGGCGACGGCACGAGGGCCAGGTGCGTCATAAGGAACAAGTGCGGGAACGTCGTGCCAAAGTACGCGCCGTCGGTGTCTACACACAGAGAACGGTGTCGTCAACTCCCTGTGTCGTGCGTGGAAACCTTACTGCCTTGGCGCTGGGACTTGGGGAAAAAGATGTCGCGGCACCGAGGGCAAAATATGTTGACTGTCGTGTGGCGCGGGATGTCCGACTGCCCGACGGGAAGCACGGGTTGGCCTTGGCAGTACACGCGATGGCACCGTCCGAAGTCGACGTTTTGGTATTTCTCGAGCATCGCCGCCATTCCCTTGGACGTGAGAATGTACCGCGCGTGAATGAGCCCATAGAGCATCTCGGCAGCGGACTCGACGATTTCTTGCTGACCTTCCGAGAGTGCTTCATCGTGGGGAGTCTCGACATCGAGGATCATGTCCATCGCGTAGTCGTAAAACGGCACGATGCCATTCAGCCCCGTCAGGTTGAAGTCGTCGACGATGTAGTCCTCGTCGATCTCGCAGAAGAATTCGTTGCCACGAAGCGAGCAGAACCACGAAATCCAGCTGAGTTCTTCTTCCTCCTCCTCCTCCTCTTCGTCGCTTTCCTCGCTCTCGACTTCGCTCGACTCATCGTCCTCTTCCGACATCTCGTCGCCATGGGCGACAAGATCGTGGGGGTCTTGCTCCTCCAAAGTCAGTTCTCCATGCCGTGGGGTCTCATTGAGCGATTCGTTAGCATCGGAAATGGATAGCGACGACAACGTGGGAACGTTTGATGCTTCAGCGTGCAAGTCCATTTCTGAAAGTCAAGGGGATGTACGTAGGTGTCGGTGGATGCAAAGGAATCTGGGTGGAAACACGTTCGTTACAGTGGACATGATGGATGCAGTTCCATGCGGTCGTACCCTTCGTGGAACGAATGCCGCGATGTCTCCGTGGGAAGGGATGAAGGCCGCGCGGACGGACGGCGGAGGTGCTGACGCCGCCGCTACCCAACCAAGTGACTGCTTGCAACGGCGACCATGCGAGACAGCGATTGGCCAAAAATCTCCCATTTATTCGTTCCATTCCCAGCAATGGACAAGTGGCGCCACGTCGACGACATGAAGATGTCGCCGCGAGATGCGAGATGCGAGCGGCAGCGCGTCGTCCAATGTGGATGCATTGGTTGCTCTAGACGTCCAAGCAGATAATCTCGACCATCGTGTCATAGGTCGCGAGTCGAACGGGTGACTATGTCGTGATCACGTCTGCTTCACACCAGTCATGTCACTGCGCGTAATGTTCGTCGGTGGGCGACCTCGTCCGCCATCGCGGTCTCGTCAAGGGAGATCCGCATCTGACAATTTGCCCCGAACGAAGAACGAGGACGTGATCGCGCAGAGGTTCTACGAGTCATGACGACGTTGTTGAGGCAGCTCAAAGCGAGTGTCTGCAAGTCGGGCCACGATTACCTCGGCTACCATGGAAATCAAATGTGCATCGGGCACGACAAACCATATGCGTCATGCCCATCACAAGCTCCTCGTCTGCATAGCGTTTGTTCGCCGTGGAGAAGAGCGAATGGCGGCGCCATCGCACTGAATTCCCGACATCAATAGATATCTTTGTATGTTTCGTGGGCTTTGCTGCTACCGTTGACCTGCTCTATTCCTCCGTGAACCCCGTGATTTCTGTGTTGATGACAACGGTCAGAATGTCCTGCAGCTGCTCCTTGGACTTGTAGAGAGGGAGGTCGATGCGGTTGAAGCACGTGTGCGCGCGGGGGTACGCTGTGTCGGTGAACGGGATGGCCTGGAGCGAGAACGGGCAGAGCTGGCCGTCGTAGCTGACGAGAGCTTTGAAACCCTGCACCGGTGTCCGCGAACTGCCCGTGGCAAACTGGAGGAGGCGGGCCTTGTCTTCGCTCGACATGGCAGCGACCACATCCCAAAACCACTCGAGGACAGGCGAGTGGACCAGATCTGGCGAGCACACCGAGTTGGCCCTCCAGTCGGCGACGTTGATGTCGGGGACACCGCACAGGACAAGTTCAAGTTCTTGGTAGTCGAACACCATGAGCATCTCCTGGGGTATTACCTCAAATAGCCCCGTGAGCAAGTGGTGGAGCTGCGCCGAACACCGATCCAACATGAGGTAGCGCAGCGTCAGTGCCAGGTACTCGGCCTTGTTTTCGTCCGTCACGGGGATGTTCCGGCCATTCGGCTTGAGATCGACTTCGACGGTCTTGTTGCCCTGGCACAACTCGGTGCAGCTAAACGTCAAATCAAGACACTCGACGTTGTCGTTTTCGTCCAGCCACTGCAGGCCGCTGTACTTTTGAGGATCGAGGTATTGGATGTCATGGAACGAGATGGGAACCCCCAGGATGTGCTTTAGGAGCGGCAGGCAAGGCCGCGCGGTGAGGAGGTGGCCGCTGAGAAGCGCGCGGCCAAGGAGTCGGCCCGTGGCCTTGAAGTACAGGAGGTGGTCCTTTGTCACGTCAGCAGAGTGCGGATCGATATAGAACGCGCCAACGTCCTTGTGGCACGCTTGAAAGAGCCCAAGCGAGTCGTCGAACAGTTCCTCGGTCAAGATGGTGAACCATTCACGCTCGAGGCCACCGGCGTCCAGCCCCGACTCGCCGATGAATTCGATACGTAGCGGCATGTAAATGTGCTGCCGCTGCATCCCGAGCACTTGTTCAAACGATTCGACGAGGACATTCGACCGATGAACTTTGATCTTTAGCCGGCCGTCCTTCCACGTCTTCATGAGCCCGTGCGTTTGGTCGACAAACCATGCATACTTCTCCGGAAACGGCATCGCGGCCACCACATGCAGCACTTCCAAGTCGGCTTCGTGGATCGCGCTCCCGTCAAACGAAAGCAACGCGTCAGCTCGCGATGTTGGTGCAAACGTGAGGCGCATTTCCCCTCCGTCGTACACAGATGATGGAACGACTCGAGCAACAAAGCCCTCGGCTGACGTCGCAGATGACGACGACTTGTGGCTGCTTCGGGTCCAGTACCCTCTGCCTTCCGCATCGACTTCACGGACCCATTCTTTGCGCTTCCTATGCGCAAGCATGAGACATCCATGGTCTCTGAATATTCCATGAAGTTGACAGTACCGAGCGGCGTCTTGGCGGGCATTCAAGCGACGGATCTTAAACGCTTTGTTGCGATCGACGAAGGAGAGTCGTGCGTTTGCAGGCAAGCTCACAGATTCGCGGCGACGGGAAGGATGGCTCGTCAGACCCGTGATCGAGTTGCGATCGGATGCAGGATGGTGCCCAGCGAGAGCCGGCGACGTTCCAAGCAGCGTCGCCGTCAGCGAAAAGCCTGGACATACGAGTGACACATCGCTACATCGAACAAAGGTGATGCAGGTACCTCGCTCCGTGCCACACAACACGCACTCTGGCTTTGATACGTTGTTGCAAAAGTCACAGATATCGCACTTCCACTGGTCTTCCTTTGGAATGCTACGGTGCCAAGGTCCTCGCTCGTGAAAAAGGTACCCGAGGGAAAGATGGCGCAGAGGAACTTACCCTCGTTCCAGGTCATGTCGTCCGTACGGCGTACCAGATTGATTCCCGAGCAGATTCCTGTGGAGATGGAGTGAGAGTTGTTTGCGGTCGACGCCGCGGCGTGTCATTCACCGTTGAATCATGTTGCAGCGCATGCGTTGCTGACCTCGGAACTGTTTCCTCGCCACATGCAGCACCATCAACGCCGTAATAACCACGCCGAGCACTGTGCAGTACCAAGCCCAGTACACTGACGGCTGAATATACATGTTTCCCGGCAGATTGCGTCAATGGGGCTGGCGCCGGCGGTCGCTGCGGAGGGCGACTTTCTTGGATTCTTTCATTGGTCAAAAAAAGTGTCGTTGTGTCGTCGAGTTTGGCTTGTTGTTCGAATTTTATCCAATCAAAATATTTTGCCAAAATATAGCCAATCGCATCCCTTTAAAATTCTCGAATTGGTCAGAAATCGTACAACAATCTGCGCTTTCATTGGCTGGCGAAAACTTTCAAAAAGATTTCCGTGCGTTTTGATTGGCCCGACTTCGCGATTGTCGTCTTTTGCACGTCGGCTTGAGCGCTCGGTCGGTAGACACGCCATGATGCCATCGCCGCGTAATCCGTCGCCAGCACGACCATGTCTCGCATGTCTCGATCGTTACTGATCGAGACGTGCGAGACATCGTCGTGCATGAGCAAGGCGGCGTTGAGGGGGGTCATCATGACGTGTGTGCGTTTAAGGCTGGATTCGATGTCAAAGTTAAAATCCAACGGAAACTATTGAAGTAAACTCAACGTGAGAATGGCTGCATCATCTTGTCAGCTTTGCATTCCCAATTTGTCGTGGTAAGAGGTACGGTTGTGCCGCACAACTTACTGAGGCGCTACCCACTCGTTGACACGGCTCGTCTGCGGCCATCGTGCGCGCCACGCCACGTGATGTTTTTTATTTTGGAATTATGGAGACAGAATTGTCAAAACGTTTGGAATATTCTGTGGATAAATTCGAAAATCGAATTGGGAACGTTGGCTCACGCCGCGCGGTCTTGATGGACTGGCTAACGACGACGGTGTCGATGACCCCATTGCTGACGCCTCAGGACGAGAGTGGAAGATGCACATTGCTCAGTGGACCATTCGAGAGCTGTGTACAAGTTGCGCTTGGAATGATCGCGATGTCAGTGCTTGTCGTGAAACGGTGGGCAGAAATCCCAAGGCGGCCACTGGGAGTACGTCGACTCGTTGAGCCTTCTGACGTGCCGTGACCGAATGACGCAGGTGTGGCTCTTTGACGCTTCCAAACAAGCGATCGGAGCAGGGGTGGCACACGCAGCCAACATTGCTATTGCGATCGCATTGGTCGGGTATACCGACACTGGCACGACTGACGAATGTGCCATGTACTTTGTCAACTTTTCACTGGACACGAGCCTCGGCGTTGTGTTCAACTGGATGCTCCTGACGCTCGTGACAACTGCGGCAGTACGTTCATAGTGACTTCCACGTTGACCAGCAACCAAAACTGCGCTAGAAACGAATGCGGTGGACGGCATTGCAAACTCCAGGCGACTACGGCGATCCCGTTCGAGTCCGGTGACGCAACGTGGACGCGCTACTGCATCACTCAACGCGTGTGTCATAGGGTGTGGCTGCTTCAGCTGTTGTCCTGGCTCGGGGTCATCTTAACCGCCAAGTTGCTCATCGGCCGCGGCATTGTGTACTTTCAAGCGGGCTTGGTAGCGTATGCAGCGTGGGTGTTTGCTCCACTGGAAGGCCATCCTCGCGTCGAGTTGATCGTGGTCATGGTGGCGTGTCCTTGCCTCATGAATGCGCTGCAATTTTGGGTAAAGCGCCCCTGATGTGTCAAACAATTTCACGTCCACCTCGGGTTGACTGCCGCAGGTTCAAGACAGCTTTCTCAAGAAAAAAACCAAGTACGACTTGCTGCCGCGGACCGACAAAGGCCATGGCAAGCATCATGCAGGATACCACGAGTACGACGTGTCCGACGCTCCGCCAAGCCCTCCACCCTACTCGCTCCAATCCGCCTCGCTCCACCATCATCCGCACCACCCGTCTCGGTAGCTTCCTTTCGGTCTCGCTCGATGACGCGAAACATGACCATGGGCTAGATCGCTGGTGGCAGCATATTTAGTTTTTTTTTTAAATGGTTAGATCCAAGTATGTTCGGCCGTACGAGTGCATCGGGTCATCCTCAATCACAGGATACGCTGGCGTCAACGCGTCTTGGCTGTACATGTAAAGCGAGTTGTAAATTTTCCAGTACACTTCGCGAACACGGCGGGCAGGATGGAATAGCCCTTGGAGGCAGAACTGCAGGATGACATGAGCGCCGAGGGCGACGCGGCACCCTTCGATCGCGTCGAAGACGGCGCCGATCACGTGCGGGGACGTCTCAAAGATGTTGGGCCAAACAAAGTTCAACAGGTGAATGACAGCGTCTTCGCAGCCGAGGCCAGCGACACCGAGGGCCAAGTGCTTGACGGTGGTGGCGGCTGTCTGCCGATGGACCAAGTCACGATCCATGAGCGCATCTTGGAGCAGCGGGGTCACTGCATAAATGTAGTCTTTGCCCATTTCGCCAATGTACTCAAACATGAACGAAAACGCCTTGAGGACTCCGTTTTGCACGTTCATTTCGGGGACGCGGTACTCGTTCATGAGTGCCGGAATCACCGTGTACGGTGAGCACGTTTCGGCGACAATGGCGATGGCGACAGTGGTGCACACGCGGTTCTGTCGTTCTTGGACTTTGAGGTTGTTGAGAAGTGTGTGCAGAACGTCTTGGGGGCCAATCGCCTTGGCAATGTATCCAAACGTGTTGACGGCCGCACGTCGGATGCCCTTCTTGTGGGCTTTCAGCATTTCGAGGAGCTCAAAACAGATGCGCATCCACTCGCGGGCACTCACGAGCTCCGCACCGCGATCGGCAATGCGCCCGACGAGGTCGATGCAGTTTTCTTGCACCTTTTCATGTCGGTTCTTCAAAATCGGCGTCAACCGCGGCAGCAAATCCTTGATCGGGGGCGTCATTTTGGTCATCCCAATCACGTTCACAATTGCCTTGAGCGCGCCGAGGATGCTACCGAGCACTTCGGGGTACTCTTCGCCGAGGTATTCGTACAACACAACGCCCATGTGGCCCATGAGCTGTTCCTGGTCGCACGTCTTCATCACGACAGCGATGCGACCGATGAGGTCGGCAGCCTGCATGCGCACTTTCGCAGGCTTGTTGTTGAGGCGCCACTTGATCGTCCCGCAGATCTGGGGCAAATAGTTGTTGGCGCGAAGACCCAGCGCATTCACGACCACACCAAACCCGTTCAGGAGCGCGGTCGTGTCGTCCGATGTTTGTTCCTGGAACGCGTACAACATCCCGTCAATCAACTTCTCTTCGAGCTCCGTGTTGATATCGGTGACGCCAAGGTTCTGCACAATATTATCGATCGCTTCCATCACCATTCGCCGGTACGGCTCGGACTCGTCCTTGAGATCGTCGGCGACGCGCCCGATGATTTCAGCGGCGCCAACACTGTTGGCAAGCTCCACGGTGGTTTCGACCAACTGTTTGTAGTTGCGTCGGTCCAGCGCCATCCGCCGGACCCAAAAGTGGCGGAAAAAGTCGGGCAAAATGTGCGACTGCACGTACGACGGCGTCACGCCGTCCGTGCTCGCGCACTGCTTGACGACTTTAAGCACGATCTTCTTCATTTCTTCGTCTGGACTTTGGAACTCGCGAATGAGAATCACCATGGCCTCGCGCGTGTAGTAATTGGCGCAGTTGCCATCCATCAGCGGAATGATAAACCCAATCGCTTTCAGGAACGCAGCGAGACCTTTGCCGCGGTGCTGGCGGATCCCTTTCCACAACGGGCGAATGACCGAGTCGAACGACTCAATACCGTACGGGTGCGCGGCTTCCGCGAGTGACGCGAGCGACAGCGCCGTGATCGTGCGCACTTTTTGCTGCTCGTCCACGAGGCCGTGGCCGACGCATTCGACGAGGTGTTTCAGGTGCGGCAAGACTGCACAACCCATAAGAATTGCGACTTGCTGGACGATCTTGATGCCCGTGTGTCGCGCTTCCCACGACTTACGGGATGTACACACGGCTTTCAGAAATGGGAGGAGAGCCGGAATCCCGAGCGCCGACGCCACGACGGCAAACGCACGGGCTGTCGTGTTGCGCACATACTCGTCCGAATTATCAATATCTGGTCGCATCGTTGAGATCATCGTAGCGAGACCCGCGGCCTTGCTCAAATTCGAAATGATCTCACGGCCTTCGACGCGGGCATAGTAGTCTTCGTCGATCAAGAGCGGTTCGATCACGACAAGGATCTTATGCACGAACGGCCGCACCAGGTCGTCCAGTTTGTACAGAATGCGGTCAATCACCTTGACGAGCAAGTGGCGCTCTTGGTCTTCCAGCGTCGGCGCCATGAGCAGCGGGAGAATCTGGTTGAACAGCGGGCCCGCGCCCAACTCGCGCGCTTTTTCCGTCAACTGACGCAGCGACTGTTTGCGTTGGGGGGGCGTGCCATTTTTGATCTTGAGCAGCATGCGCATAATCTTTCGTTCCTTGACTGTTTCAGGGTCAAGAGACTCGTCGTCGACTTCTTCCATGAGTTTCCCAAAGTATTGGTAGTCTTCTGGCTTGATGTATGGCATGTCCCCACCCGCCGGCGTTTCCCCGCCGGGAGGAAGGCCGTAGTCCGCGATGGAAGGCGTCTGGGCCATTTGGAACCCGGGAGTTTGGCCCATAGGGGTCGGAGTCGCCATGAGCTTTCTGGAAGGCGTGCGGATCGGCATGTAGGACGCTGGAGGGTCCAAGATCTTGTACCCGTTCGTGGGAAACATCGAGTCGAGCTCCTCATCGCTGAGAGGGCGGTTCCGCTCCTCAATCTCGCGCTCCCATCGTAGCCGCTGGACGACTTCGGGCATCACCTGAGCCGCCAATGCACTTCCGCCTGGCGTCATGAGCACCGACCCACCGGGAGTCCGGTCCTCCATGAGCGGCGTCTCGTCCCAGCGGGAACGCTTTCGGCCGGGCGTCGGGGTCGCGTCGAACGAAGAGGTCGACGAAATGCCTTGTGGCGTGGCATCCCATTTCTTTTCAGCCCCGGCTGGAGCTGGGGTTTCATCCCACCGGTTCTTCTTCGGGGTGGGCATGTCTGATGCAACTGGGGTGGCATCCCACTGCGATGTCGACGATGCTTTCTTGTCCGCATTGTCTTGATCCCATTCAGAGGACTCCTCTTCTGTCGTAGCTCCGCCTTCGGACGCATTGCTCCCTGCATCGTCCCATCGTCGTTTCTTCTTCTTCGTGGGGGCTGTGGCGGCGGCAATCTCTGCCGCCTGTTCCTCTTTTTGTTTGCGAATCTTTCGAATCACTTCCTCGCGCTCGGCATCGAGCTTTTGATTGTGCATGATCTTACGAAAGCTCGACGCATTGTCGTCGTCACCGGAAGCCCGTTGAAACGCATCCTGACGTGTCGGGGACAACGTCTGATGCAAACGGCGCCTCTGATAGTCGCTTTCTCGCTCGGAGATGACACTGTTCACCAAGCCTGTGCCGTTCGCTTCACGGTAGGCTTTATCTGCAAACGGGTCGTAGTTGTCGTCAATGAGGCCGTCCGACGCGCGACCTTTGTTGGATCTTCCGGACGGTCCGTCTCCCCCATTCGCCGTATCCTCATCGTCCAGCGTACGCGAGTACCCAGCGTACTTGTCATCGCTGGCAGCGTCGTAGATATCGGAATCAAAGTGTTTCCCCGCAGAAGTCAACGAGATCTTGTCTCCATCTCCGCCTTGCTTGGACGTCATGCCTCGATCGTTCCTTCCTTCGCTTGTGGCCGCGAACGCTCTGGGACTGGCCAGAGAAGAATTCGACAATTTTTAGCCAATCCAATTTGAATGCTGAGGCCCCTTTCCTTCGATCTTCGGTTGAACTTCGAAGCAAGTGCGATTGGCCCATCGCATCATTCGACACGACGGCAGCATCATGTTCATCAACGTCCCGGAAGATGAGGCGGCGATCGAGGCGCTGCTACGGGATCGAACCAGCGCTGCTGCATTCGTACACGAGAACCTGCGTGATGATGGCAGTTTGGAGAACGGCCAAGCCTTTTCGCTACATATCCGTGATAGAGCCAAAGATGTCGATCGACATGCTGCAACCCAATTTGCACAATCCGACCGCGTCCTTGGCCTGGCGTGCATGACGTGGTGGGCTTTGCAGTCATGTTCCAGCTTATCTGTACCACTTGGATTGGCGCTGACGCGCAAACGCGATATGCTGCAAGAGGACTCGGAAATGGACATGTTTTCCTTTGGCGACGACAAACTCTATGCCGTCGCTCCAGCCACCTCCATCGACGCCTTCGTGCGTGCTACGGCAGAGCCCAATACCGAACACTCAGACGGCAAGAAGCCTCAAGTGTTGCAGGCATCTACGGACGACGTTTACTTTGGGCAATGCACTACCGCTCCAGTTGTTGGCCATCTCACGGGCAGCTTGCCGCTCTCTCCTCTCGATGTCCTGAACGACGACGCCCGGAGCAAATGGTTCCTTATACCACTTGACGTCACGTCTAGCGCGCTTTCCCATGTGGACTTTGCCGCCGACGTGTACGTAGTGTCCGTGGACGTCATCGAGGCGGCGATTGTGGCAGTCGCATTGGTGTTGGCAGGACACCCCAGCGTCCATCTGTGCCGCTTTGGCTTAGCGAACTCGTTGGCCCTTCTTCCAGGCCACCTCACGTCCGGCATGTTTGTCCCATCCGATGCAGTGCGCGCGAATGAAGATGGCGCGTTCGACATCTCGAGCGGCGCAGACCACAAGGCCGACTCTGTCGCCAGGGAAACAGTTAAGGATAATTGGAACGCCGCCTTGGTACAAGCAGATTACGACGCAAAGGCCAGCGCAGACGACGACGTCGTGGTGCTCCCGCACGCTTACCAATCGGACTTCTTCACAATGCCGTCCCCCCTGTCGAAAGAACAGTTCTTGGCCGTGGCGGAAGTTATCTACCAGTACGCGTCGCTGTGCCTCGCGCCGTTTGGCGTGCTGTGCCCGAACCCGCACGTGGTCAACACGACGATGCTCGAAGCGAAGCTCAAAGGCGCGCCGATCCTTCAAGAAGTCGTGGAAACCATATCGGACCTCGTGTACGACATGTTTGACCTGAACGAAAGCACAATGGCGATGAGTTCTCAAAAATGGCTCCACGATTCCCGCGACGCGGACTGTGTAGCTCAAATGCAGCGCATCCAGGACCTACCGCAAACGCTGATGAAGCCCCCGCCGGTCGTCGATGTGTCCGACGCGCCCGTCGACGCCGCGGCCGTCCTTGCGGTCGTTGAATCGATTCGAGCCAGTGTTCACCGCACGCTACAAGCCAAAGTGCCTTGGGCTCTCACCGCTGTTCCTCCAGTCGAAGGACTTGCGACGCCAAAGCCTCCTCAGCCGATTGCTCAACTGAGTTGGTATCCCTGCGTGGCGTACCAGTTGGGCTACAAATTCACGCCGACCAAGTCGTCGCGCACGAAACAGAGCTCCCTCCAGGTCAAAGCGAAGACCCAAGCCGTGTTTGAAGGTGTCCAAGAAGCCCTGAAGGTCCACGAGTGTCCGAAACTGAACGCCATCCAGTTGCAAGCGGTCGTGGACTGCGTCAAAGCAGCCACCGCTGAGCCGCTGGAGCAAGTACTGATGTCGACGTTCGCATCCCATCACGTCGTCAACGATGATGTCACCATGGACGAGGCCAAGACCACGGACGATGGTGCAATAGCAGCGTTTGCCGCCAAGATTCGCGCTGGGGACTACAGCGTCCGTCGACGGGACGACGCGGAGGCCGTCCGACGATACACGGAGGCGCTCAACTGCGTCCCTGTGCACCATTCGAGCGCCGTGGAGGCGCTGACGAAGCGGGCCAAGTGTTTTATTCGGTCGGACAAAGTGGACCTGGCCCTCGCAGATGCCACGTTGGCGCTGGACCTGTCGCCATATTCGGCCGACGCGTATGCATGCAAAGGCGAGATTGACGAACGGCAGAAGGAGTTTGAAAAGGTTCGTAACAAGTACCGTCGCAACCCATCGACTTGATTGAGCGGCGTGGGGTGTTGTAGGCGCTGCAGCATCATGTGCTGGCTTTCATCCTAGGCGGTTCCCGCGTGATCGAGCAAGCCGAAGTCATCGAACGAGTGTCGAAACTCGTCGGAAGAGAGCAAGCCAAGGGCATCTGGGCCACCATGGTCAAACGCCACGAGCTCCCGTCGGGGTGGCTTGTCGACAGCTATTTCTTGTCGTTTAGCCGCGATGCCGACGCGGGTGTCAGCACGCTCTACGTGACGATGCCGAAAGCCACGGCCGTCGACGACGATGTTGTCGTGCTGAGCGACGACCGCTTTGATGATCTCTTTGTCCAAGCCGTCGACCACAAACGGTCGAAGCGGTACACCGCCGCCCAGACGTTGTTTGCCAAGTTGGCTGCGTACGTGTTGAGTTGCCGAGCCACGGACGAGCCGGAGAACCCCGATGCCGTCGCTGACGACGACGTTGTTGCATCGGCACCGTCCAAGAAACTGTACAAAACCAAGCTTGATCGTCACGTTGTTGCTCTCAACTTCCACGCGACGTTCTTGTACATTGCTGGCGATGTCGAGAGTGCTTTGGACGTGATCGATCACGCGCTGGCGCTGGACAGCGAACATCTCAACTCGGTGATCAAGAAAGCAGGGTTCCTCTGCGAATTGGGCGAGTTCGGACAAGCCGACGAGTGGTTCCAGCACGCCGCTGCCATGGACGAGAACAGCGGTGACGTGTACTTGCACCGTGGCCAAATGGAGCTCATCTTGGGCGATTACGCGGCGGCGGTGTCGTCGCTCCGTAAGTCCATGACACGTTGCGACTCGTTAGCAGTCACGCACATCTCGTACGGGATGGCGCTGTACAAGGCCGGGTCCGTCTACCAGAGCTTGGACGTGTTCAAAACGGCGCTCGAACTCTTTCCCACGTCACATGAAGTTCGATTGTTCTACGGCGACGTCCTCTCCGACCGTGCAGACTACGGCCAAGCCATGGAGCATTTGAGAAAAGCCGTCGAGTTCTCGCCGGAATGCCCGCTGCCGTGGCTAAACGCTGGGCGCATCTTCGTCGCCACGAACGACGGCAACCACGCCATCACCCACTTCGAGCAAGCCCTCCAGGTGGACCCGCGGTGCAGTGCCACGCACCTGGACTTGGCCCAAGTGTACTTTGCTCAAGGGAAGGTCGATAGCGCGATGGCGCATTTTGACCTGGCCACGACGACGTGCCGCTTCCTGCCAGAAGTCGAAGACGCGTGTGCGTGTCGTAGCGTCGCGATGATGCAACTCAAGGCGACCACGATCCTCGGCGTCGAGTTGCGGCACATGCTCAAAACACAAAAGTAGCCTCGTTCACGAAACCAGCATAACACACTTCAGCCATCTATTCCTACACCTGGCCCCACTACGCATGCGGCGGCGGCGAGTCATGCCAACAGCGCGAAGGCAGAGAGCGGGGCCGCGGCAAGTTGGTAAAGGTCGGCCCTAAGTGCGGCCGAAATGGGATGTAAAATAGGATCATAAAAAATATATTCTTGGCAAGGTCAAGGATGCTTACAAGTTTCTCCTCACTAACCAGCAATAAAATAATAGCGTCCTAATTAGGTTTGCCGTATGTATTAGCAGTACACGTCATTCACAGTCTTGTTTGAAGGAGTGAACGAAGAGCGGCGACGGGATGTGGAGTGCACTGTTTGGGTCGGACGAGAGCACGACTCCGCAGCAAGATGGTGACGAAAGTCACCAGGATAAGGTGTATGGGGCTGGAGAAGAGCCTGATGCCATGTCGATGCTTCTTGGGCGTTTGACTCATCTCCTGGAACGACTTGGGGAGGCCGAATACTCCAAGAAGAAATGGGAGGAGCAAGCACGCAAGTTCGAAGCTGCCAACGTGCAACTGAAGTACGAGTTGGAGTACAGCAGCGATGCGCAGCTCCGAGAACGCATCGACGACCTCACCGCCATGAACGAAGCGCTGAAAGACGTCAAGATGGCATTGGAAAAGGACATCGAGGCGAAAGACGCAGTACTTCGCACGCACGAAGAGGACATCGCAAGACTAAACGATGCACTTCAAGCAGGGTCCCTCGTAAAGGAGGAACTCGATAACCAGTTGGAGCAGTTGAAGGTCTCGAGCGCACAAGATTTGGAGCGGTTGAGTGGTAGCATGGAACGACAAACTCAACACGTGGCCCAGTTAGAATCTCAGTATGACCAGCTAGCTCAAGAGCGCGAACAGCAGGTGCAATCGTTCCACGCGACCGAACAGGACCTTCGCGGAACTATCGACGCCCTTCAACTAGACCTCGCCCGCCGCGATGAGGAAGGCATAGTCACGCTCAAGAGGTTTCATCAGTCGGAAGAGCGCTTCAGCGCCGAGTTAGCTGATCAAAAGCGCATTGAAGAGAGCTTGAGAGCATCCGTTGCCTTGTTGGAAAGCCAAGTTGCTGCTGAAAAGTCCAACGTCATCGCTGCCGAACACAGCGCGCAGAAGATACGAGCCGAGTTGGTGACGAAATCGGCGCTCGAGTCCCAATCTCAGTGGAAGGAAGACTCGCTGCGGGCACTCACTGTCCAGGTCAAGACCGTGCAAAGGGAGCTCTCGGATGCGTTGGAGCTGAATCTTCGACTGTGCGATCGCAACGAAGCCCTGGAGCGTGAGAAGCATGAAGCTGTGTCGTCATTGGAGCGAAACCAAGCTGCATCGGCGGCGTTATCGCACCAGCTCCACGTCGTCCAGACGGAGTATCAGAGCCACATGAACGCGGCCGACGCAGCGCTGGCGCAGGAGAGAGCCGTTGTTGACGCCAAGACTCGTGAAATTGAAGTGCTCCAGTATTCTATCCAAGACTACGAGCGTTCGATTGCAGAAGCGACTGCCAACGTGGACTGCTTGCGCGAGGAGATTGAAACGTTGCATGGCCGAACAGCGCAATTGACGTCGGAGGTTCAAGCGGTCGAGCACGCGTGGACTGCCAAGTATGACGAGTTGCTCCAAGACTGGACAGACACCAAGCAACTTGCTGCAGAACGCGAACAACAAGCGGTGGATGCGGAAGACGCTAAAGACGCGCTCCTCGAGCAAGTGCATGCGTTGAATCAAGCACTGAACGATGCCCAACGTAATGCGGCGACTCAAGACGAGATTGCTCAGCAGCAAGCGGAATTATTTCACGAACGCGAGCAATATCAAGCAAACGCTGCAGTGGCTCGTGCCGAGGTGGAGCACCTGCAGCAATCGGTGGCCAAGTTGCAGGAGAGTGTGGCGGCGTGGGAGCAGCAGGCCAACGAGTCGAGCGCGCAAGTAGAGTTGCTTCAGCAAGACAACCGCCAGTTGAACGAGTTGCTCGCGGGCACGGAACAAGTGAAAGCGCAGTTGCAGTCGACGCAGGGTGCATTGGAAGCTTCGGAAGCCAAGGCACAGTCGTACGCATCGCAACTGGATACGCTGGAGCAGCGTGTGGTCAATGTGACAGCCGAGAAAAACGAGCTCGAAGCGTTGCAGGATCAGTTGGAACAGCAGGTGGCCACAACTGAAGCCAAGCTGGCCCACGTCGAGCAATCGATCGAAGCCCTGCGCACGCAGCATGAGGCGGACATGGTGGCGCTAACACATCGCTTGGAGTCTGAAAACAAAACCACAGTGGAGAACTTGATGAGACAAGTGCAGAATTCGCAAGAGTTTGCGACCGAATGCGAGGCCACGAGCTTGGAATGGGAAGAAAAGTGCGACTTGTTGATGGCCGACTTGACGGCGGTGCAAGAACGCCTGGAGCAAGCGGAGCAGGCCATCACGACCGCGGAGAAGGCGAAGACCTCGAGTGATGAAGTTTTGGCGTCCCAGGAAGCGTCGAAGCGCGAGGTGGAAGCCGAGCTTGAGAATGCGCGCATCCGGGTCAGTACCCTGGAAAGCTCGCTGACCGAACACAAAGAACATGTCGATACATTGACGCAACAACTCGACCATGCCAACAGCTCGTTGGGCGAGTTGACGTCGGCGCTGCAGCAAGTGAAGGACGAGCTCGCGGCCGCGACCCATCACGCCCATGAGAAGCAAGCGGGGCTTGAAAAGGCGTGGAAAGACTCGCAAGACATGTTGGATATCGTGCAGTCCCAGCGCATCGAGCTGGAATCGTCGCTCGCGTCTGCTCACGCTCGCATTGAGCACCTGGAAACCTCTGTCCATCAAGACTCGTCCACGGTGTCCCACCTTGCAGCAGAGAACAGTGCGCTCCAGGCAGCGGTCGCTGCCGAGAAGAATGCGCTCGCGCAGCTGAAGGCCGCGCACGACTCCATGTTGCAACAAGTGCAGACAACGGCGACGCAAATTGAGGCGAGAGATGCGCAGGTCGCGGCGTTGACGGCGCAATTGGAAGCGCAGGCTGCCGAGTTTGAACGCGCCAAGGACGAGCTGCGTCAGGAACTGGCGCAAACCAAGACGATGCTCGGCAACGTCCATGCGTCGGCCGAGATGGCGTCGCAAAACTTGGAAGATCACATCCGAGAACTACAAGAGCAAATGCATTCGCACAACAACAAGTTCGAAGGGGAAACGGAGGAACTGCTCGAGGAAATTTCGAGCCTCAATGGCCAGATCTCGGAACTCCAGGTCCAGAACAACGTGCTGAGCGCCCGCGCCCACCGGTTGGCGCGAGACTTGTCGCAGTACGTCAAGCTTCCCGCCGACGACATGGCGTTGGTGCTGAACCCGAATACCCCCAACTTGTGGGAGTTGCTCGCAAACGGGATGGAGCAACTCAAGTCGGACTTGGAAATCGCCAGCACGTACGCGGCCAACTTGGACCAAATGGACTCGTTCGGGGACGGCCACCAAGACAACTTTAACTTTGGCGGGACGAGTCAGGAGATTGTATTTATTGACCATCCGACGACTTCGCCGAGCGGCCTCGCAGCCTCTCAACACGCCGACGGCGTCGCGGCGTGGATTCAGTGAGCATGATGGAGGACCAAGCCGAGTCGAACCAAAGCAATGTAGAAAGAGCTTGGTTAATGTACAGATTTCACTGAAGAGTCAAGAACGCACATGGATGCGGACGGAGACACCATCGAGTACTCAGAACGAGTTGCTTGGCACCGCGTCTGGGTATGGGTGTCCTCACAGCGACCTAGTCGCGGCTGACGTCGGCGACGATGTCGTTGCTGTCAACGGTGTCGGAGTCGCTTTGAATGCTTTCCAAGTCATCGTGGACGATCTCGTCATCGTCGCTGTCGGTGCTTTCGACGCCGTCTGCATCATGATCGCTATCGTGGTTGCCATTGTCCGAAGCATCGGACAGCAAGGAGCTGCGACACAGTGGGCATTCAAACCTGCACCGCGTGAGACCTCCATGACATTCTAACCCGGTCGAGGTACTTGTGGGCGAAGCGTGCCATCCGTTTGAAGCACGCCGTGTGAAGGAGATGGCCGCACCCGAGGATCGAAGGGCTTTCTCGCGAGTTGAACATGTCCTGTCGAAGCGGACCATGGAGTGCCACCACGACGGGACATCCCTACCTCCAAGCAAATGCAGCATTCCTAAGGCACGGTCGAGTGAGGTCAAGCACGTCGGGATCGATATACCTTGAGCATGGCTTCGCTTACGCACTTGTGGCTTGATTGAGTGCTGATGGGGAAGCATCCGACACACCTGTCGCTGCATGTTTCATGCTGTCAGCATGCGCCACGAATGACGGGATGTCCACCAGTGAAAGTAGTTGGCGCGGCCACCGACTCTACGACGCCAGTCGAGTTGAGCAAAGCGAACGGCGGCTATGTCACCTGCAGATGCCGCATTGGTCGCAGTGGAAAATGCCTTTCTCCAAGCCTTGATGGTCGAACAAGTTGCACACTGCCGCGTACTCCAGGATCAGTCGCATCTGCATACATAGTTGGATCACGCACCACGGCAAAAGTACTGGCCCAGGACATGCTTGCACTTTTCGCACGTTTGTTGAGGCTAATCCGAGCGCAATGTTGGGCCATCATTAGCGTGGCGGGGGTACCTGTTGTTCGCAGCGACACTTGCGGCAGCGAACTCTCGTCACGGCATGCCGATCCATCTTGTGCTGCATCCAAGAAACGTTCACTGAGATTGCTACGTAGTGTGGAGGGCCAATTCACGGCCAACACAGAACACCCAGCAAGGGGTCTGCATCCATGCCTACCTCTTTGTCCTCGTCGTGGCAGACGCGGCACGGAAACCATTCCCCACAGCAATTCGCCAAGAGGTGGCATCCTGCGCACAGCACACGTCAACGTGATGCACTTGGCCCAGCTGGTGCGCCGACGCATCTCACCTCGCTCGTAGTGGCCGCAGCTCATCGGGGGTGGCAGGGAGTGAACTCGTTGATGGCGCCTTAACGTACAAAATTAGTAGCCCCCCCCCCTCCATTTTGCATTTTTGGACCCCCACCCCCCCGGAGCATGAATTTGGATTTTCGTCCAGCAAAAAACCGCCAAAATGGAGTTCGAATGGGGCGGCGGCAGCAGTCCGTTCGACGACGTCGACAAGCAGCAGCACAATGGCCATGACGACGACGCTTCGCTACTTGCCAACCACACACATGCTTACGACGATTCAGACGATGATGCGTGGGAAGATGTCAGTAACAACGGCAAGAGTGTGCATCCCAACGACGACACTGGCGTCTTCTCCGACGACAGCGATCACGTTCACGAGACTTCGAGTGACTTGCAAGTGGAAAAGCTTCCAGAGGACTGGGATGCATTGAACGCTGCATTGAACGCCCAGGTGGCGGCTGAAGGAGACGGGAACAAGACCAAGTCGAAAGTGAAGCGGCTGACCAAGACGGAAAAGAGCGAGTTGATGGTCCAGCGGCAAGCGCATCTCGTGTGTCTTCTAGCTCGTGAGGTACAGGTGAATGCCGCGATTAACGACGTGACCCTTCAAAGTCTCGTGCGATCGATCGTCCCCGCCCACGTCGACGTGAATGTGGCGGCTTCCAATCAAGCGCGCCATGGCGTAGTGTATGTGGTGCAGACACTCATGCGGTGGTTTCGACTCACCTTCCGACGACTGCCATATACCGATATCGGCGACGAAGGCGTCGACTTTGACGTCACTGCGGCGTCCCTTCTCCGAGTGTTCTTCAATCGGGGCGGCTACGAACACGAGATGGTGCCGCTCTTCACAGCGCTCTGTAGATCTTATGGCATTCCGACGCGGCACACGAGTTGCCTGGATACACCGCATGTCGTGAAGCGAAATGCGCCATTTGACCCGCATTTTGGGATTCCCATCGACGGTCTCGCCGCATGCACCGACGAGAACGGCAACGAAGGCGAAGCCACGAGGAAGTTGACGGACCGACGCAGCCTTCGCTCGTGGTGCGAAGTGTATTCGGATGCGAGCGCAATCCTTCCGCTCTCGCATGAGAAGAAGGCGCCAATGTCGTCGTCGTGGGTGCACGTCGACGTAATCCGAAGCCTCGTGAACCAGCCGTTCGAAGTCGGTCGATTGCGCGGCCGCGGCGCCGTGATGCCGCACATCGTCAGCATCGACGACGAAGGGCGAATTGTCGACGTCAGTCGACTGTATGCGATCGATTGGGCTCGCACACAACCACTGCGATGCCACGAGGCGTGGTGGGCGAGGCAGCTACGGGTCGGTTCAACGAATGCCAATCCAATTGACGTTGAAGCGCCCAATTTGCCGCTGCCGACGAGTGTCCAGGGGTTCAAAAATCACGCGCAGTATTGCTTGGAGCAGCACTTGGGAATGTATGAGTGGATTCGACCGCGGAAGCCCGTAGGGTTGTTCAAGGGCATGCCGGTGTTTGAACGGTCTGCGGTGCACACGCTGCAGTCGGCGCACCGATGGCTCCGGCAGGGACGCGTGGTGGTGGCGGCGGAACAACCGTGCAAGTTGGTGGCGAAGCGGCAGCACGCGCCGCCGACCCAGACGTCCATGTATGCGAACCCAGTGCCGTTTTCGGTGGCCACGGCGGCCGTCCCGCCGGCTGGCGATGAAAAAGAGGCGGAGCAGCTCCCCTTGTTTGGCCTTTGGCAGACAGAAAAGTTTGCTGCGGCACCGGTGGTCGATGGAATCGTGCCCAAGAACGAACACGGGAACATTGAGATCTGGAGCGAAGCGCATCTCCCGGCAGGCAGCGTGCACATTCGTCTTCCCCGCGCCAAAGTGGTCGCAATGCAGCTCGGAGTCGACTTTGCGCCTGCCATGGTCGGGTGGGAGGCCCGGAACGGCCGCAACGTGCCCGTGTTTGACGGTATCGTAGTCTGTGAAAATGCCGCCAGCATGATTGAGGACGCCCACGCGGTGCTGGAACACAGCCTTGTGGAGAAGGCCGTCGCCAAGCATCGCAAAGAAATCGCGAAACGATGGGCAGTGTTTGCGAAAAAGTTGCTGCTGCGAAAGCGCCTGCGTGAAGAGTACGGGTGATGTCGTGTTGCGGCGACGAAATGTATAGTCTTTCATGAAGTCGAAGTTCTAACGTGCAGTGAATGACAATGCCATAAATGTCTCGACGACTGCTAGCATGCGATGTTTCCACGTGGGAATGCAACGTGTGGCGGTTGGTGTGGCTGGACTGCCGATGGTGGCCAACAAGATCCACGTGGTGTCCACTTCCAAGGAGAACCCGTGCCAGTGGCACATTGGAGGCAGCCCATGCTTGTACATGCAATGGAGTCCCTGGGGAAGGGAAGATCGCGCAGCTCATCCATGATCCATGCAGCAATGGCGCCATCTTGAGACAACTCGCCGTGTTGTGTGGTGGAGTCGTTACGCCAAGGAAAACTTTTCATAATGAATACCTGTCCATTTTGGTATGAAGAATGTCACGTACGTGAGTGCAGTTGGGTTCTGAAAACGTTTGATCCTCGATAACCTGCAATATAGAATAGTACAGAGGAAAAAGCGCATATCCGGATGCGTCGTGTTCCAGCTTGAGCACTCGAATTCTCGGCAGCCAGCATGTCCAACCCATCTCAGCTCCCCCGGCGAATCGTCAAGGAGACGCAGCGCCTTCTCGCCGAACCAGGTAGATAGATCGTGGCCGTGGAACCTCTGTGATGCCCTCTCATGTGTGTCGTATGCCACTGCCATGTAGTACCTGGCATCAGCGCGACGCCGTACGAAGACAACTTGCGATACTTCCAAGTCGTGATTGCCGGGCCGCAGTCGTCGCCGTATGAGCACGGGATTTTCAAACTGGAACTTTTCTTGCCCGCGGACTACCCGATGGCACCGCCGAAAGTCCGCTTCCTCACACGCATTTACCACCCCAACATTGACAAACTCGGCCGCATCTGCCTGGATATCCTCAAGGACAAGTGGTCGCCGGCCCTCCAAATCCGCACCGTCTTGTTGAGTATCCAGGCATTGCTGTCCGCCCCGAACCCGGACGATCCGCTCGCCAACGACGTCGCGGACCACTGGAAAACAGACGAGCCCGCCGCGTTGCGAACGGCCACGGAATGGACGCGTCGCTTTGCGTAGACGGCAGCCCCACCCAACGTCATGGTCTCTTCCGTCGAAGAGTAGGGACAGCATTGCATATCGTCGTCTTTCCCATCCAATATGAACCCCGTTCTCGATTCGCTCCCTTTGCTCGGCGCCCCACACACACGAAGCTTTTTCATTTCACTCGGGCTTAAGCCAATTGGTAGTCCTGCGGCGAATAGTACTCGGTCAAGAGGCGGTAGATGTACGATGGCTGGTACGCGCCCGTATTCGTGATGAAAATCGTGACGAACTCGGGCGGGACGTAGTCGTTGACCGGGTTCAGCACGTCAATCTACGAGTTGCTCGGATGAGTTGCTGCCGGCATCGCAGCACGTTGCTCGAGCTCTTACGTTGTGCAGCGTGTCGTCGTAGTTGTAGATATGCGCAGGGGACACAAGTTCGTTGAGCATGTCGACGTCGTGCGGGAAGAGGGGGCAGAGCTACATGGGACGCGCCGGTGATTGCCACCCGCGAACACGAAGGAGTGCTACCTTGAAGAGGCCTGCGACACACACCACCGGGACGCAAAACTTTTTGGCGGCCAGCGCGATGTTCTGAATGCCCGATTCCGCAATGAGCCCGCCGTTGGCCACGACGGCCACCGCTGGAATCACGACCTGGACACACACACGTCATGGAACGAGATCGGTGGCAAGAGCGCCGCGGAAAGATCGTGCCTTATTCACGCGCGCCATCAAGGCAAAAACGGCGCTGTCGGGGATCAGCGTTGTGTCAATGCCGCTCTCGGCCAAGCGATGCGCAGAACCTTGGCCGTGCAATAGCGGTGCCGACTCGACCACGATCACTTTGAACTGCCGCTTCTTCGCGGCGGCCTTGAGGAATTCCTCCACGGATGTAGACATGCCGTACGTCAAGATCACCTCGCTGCGAGAAGGCATGTCGTCAGAGGCGAAGAAGGACATGGCGATGGAGCGTACTTGGCGTGGATGTATTCCATCGCTTGCTCGGCGATGCTCACGTGCAAGTTTTCGATTTCGTCGACGAGTTCGCTGACACCCTCCATGATCGACTGCTTGAGCTCCTTGATTGGCGTCGTGTAGTCGGCCTCTGTCCCAGGGGTGAGGATCGTTCCAAGGGACGGCTGCGACAACGTCTGGCTCGATAGCGTCTTCATCGCGTTGAGGTATTCCTCGCGGATGATGAACAGCACGCGCCGGATGACGTTGCCAATCGCCAACTCCTGTGGAATAGCCTTGATCAAGACGCGGCCCAAGAGCCGAATGTTGTCCATCAACTGCCGGGCGTGCGTCCATCGCACTGTGCCGAGAATGGCGCGCACGAGCTCGGTGGTTTTGCGAGACGTCTCATACGAGCCCGTGATCTGGCGGCGCTTGAGACCCACGAGGAGATTGCTCAGCTGCGTGCTGATCTTTGGCCAAGGCGCCAACCACTGCTTCAGCGCCACTTCCTCCATCGGTGTTTTGTGTTGTACGTGGGGATGGCATACTACTAGTAGTAATACTAGATGCGACAACGCAGATATTTGAACCAGCGGCAACCGTGAGAATCATCCCATGGCGATGCACGAAACCACGGCCCGAGCCGGCATCACGCTGTACCCCGACGAGGGCAATGATCCAACCATTGAGTTCATTCAGCCTGATGGCACGGAGATTCCTACCGAGTGCGGGGACTTATACCATGTTTCACGAGGACTGAGCATGCCACGATGTGTAGGGAGCTGTCGGAGGCGCAGCGATTCGCGAATATTGTGACGCAGCTGGAGAAGAGACGGCAAAAAAGCAAACAAGCTGCGTCTGGCGGTGGAGGAGCATTGAAGAGGGTGAAGCGAGAAGGCGATGCGCCGACAACGGACGACGACGACGAGATGTCGATCGGGACGAGTGCCGAGGCAGAATTCGAGACTGCAATCGACCCACGAGCTCACTACCGCCCGATGGTGGCCGAGTTGCAGGCGTCCGTAGTGGAATTGTATCAACTCGTGAACACGGTTGATCTGGTTCGTCCCAGCAAGGCGCCGACCAAGGAACCACGCTTCCTGGAAGAAGTTCATTGCTTGCGAGACGACTCGCACCTGAAAGTCACAAAGGAGGACTTGGCATATCTCCTCACGTCCAAGTCGAGCCAAGTGAACGACGCCGCCGACATTTTGTTGAACGGATCCAAGTCGCTTCAGGCTGGGATCACAAAGGAGCGCGTGTTCTTCACGGGTGTGCGCAAGGTACACACTTGCACGACGCGTCATGCAATCGCGTTGTCATGGTGCGATCGAGTAGCTGTTGGGCAAATGGAAAATCTGCGCACCAATGCACGGCACAATTCCCAAGCCTTTTCGAGCGGGCGAGGGCCTCGCCGTCGACTGCAGCTATGTCAGTGGTGCGGCCATCCTTCCCGTTCTTCTACCACATTTCTAACACGTCACCACAGCGGGATCGACGTTTACGCCTCAAGCAATGCCGATCAGCTCCATTGCGTACTCAGAGGTATGACGTCGGTTGCCGACCAACGATGAACGTGTCAAGTAGCTCAGCCGCACGAGCGACGGGATGGTGTGTGTAAAGGAGCCAGAATTCTACCTGCGCCGAACAGTCAAGGTGCTTCCATGGTTCCTCATCCATGCATTCGATTGACATGTGGCGCAGCTGAAGGTCGAAAACGTCGCGGTAGGGTCGATCGGGTCGTATGTCCTCCCGAGAAAGCAGTCCAAGCCCACGTACGTGCTCAGCATGATCCTTGTCCGACTTGATGGCGCTAGGGACGACTCGAAATTTGATGGGTTTGGCGACGAAGCCACCACCACCATCGATGACGACAACGAAGTGCTCCTCGCGGACATTCAGCATTCGATCTTTTGTGAAGAGGCTTTCCACACCATTATGCAAGAAGTGGGTGCGTTCCGCGTCGAGTGGACCCAACATGTCCCGCGTAGGCGCTGCTGCCGTCCGCGAGATGGGTCGACTCTGCGCATCATTTGGCCAACTACCTGGACGACCGAACGACGGCGGCCGGCGTGAGCACGAATGCGCCCGTGTCCGTGCTGTGCATCAAGGATGACGAAGTGCGCGTTCGCATTGACGAGCACCACATCCTGACGGTCAGTCTTGTGGATTCCGACGACAACGATGGTGCCGCCGATGCCATCCAGGACGCGACGCTGCAAGAATCGTGCAAGTATGCATTGGCTCTGATGCAGCACGAACTGCGCAATTTTCACAGCGTGTGCAAAAACTATCATCGCAACTCCGCGCTCGACACGTCCAAGCCATCCAACCAGCCGCCGCCGACTCCGCGGGTCCTCCAGGCCCTTGTGACCGTGCTGTCCCACAACCTGCTCACGGCCAGTTTGATGGCGTTCCTCGACACCTTGAGCGCCAAGCTCGCATGTCCCACGGGCTCTTCAGCCCACAACGTCGTGCGGCTTTTGGAGGACTGCACGTGCCAGCCGCTTTGTGACACGGTCCGCGGCATCTTTGTCCTGGCGCGGTGGAAAATTTGCCAGCGCGTGGCAAGTCTGTCGTCGGTCGATCTGCACATTGGCAAGAACTTTGTAACAGGTACATGCATGAATCGTCAAACATGCTCGACGGCTGTGTAGAAATCACCGTGCGCGGCACCCGCATCCATTACGTCGACCTCTCGCTCAACCAGCGCGAAGTGTGTGGCGTCGATGGGTTCCGCGTCTTGGTGTGCTCGCTGCTGTCCAAGCACGTTGCCGAGTGCTTGTACCAGGACGCGCTGGCGCTCGGATTGAAGAAGGCATCGATCGACAACGATCACATGACGGTGCGCATTCTGGCGCCAGGCGAGTGGGACGGTTCGTTTGTCGGCGAAGGCAAGGTGCCCGATGAAGCCACAGTCGGGTGCATGTACGCTGCACAACTCGGTTTGAACTGCGACTGACGAAACAAATCCTGTTGGTAGAACGCTGCAACCGACCGTGTCGCCGACCGGCCACGTCAACTTGGCCTGCTTTGTGCAAGCAATCGACGTCGCACCCGTCGAGGCGCACATCATTTCCGACTCTGAACACACCACCGCGATCGACTGGATGAGTCTGCCAGGCCCAAGCGATGCCGCTCGCCTCCTCTGGCTTCTTCGGAGCGTTGGGGTCGTGCCGGACGTGCTCAAGTAATTCCTCTTCTCGACTAGGACAGCTCGACCATGCGGCTAAACTAGCTTCGTCCCAAACACTGCATTAACAAGTTGATGGTGAGCAGCTACTCTTCTTCGACACCGAGCCGCTCCGCCTTGGCGAGCTCGATCGCGCCTTTGATCATGTTGATGGATCGCACGCGATCTTGCCTGAGCACACTGAACGAGATGATCCCGACGAGCAGGCCCTTTCGATCGACCGCCGCGCCGCCGGAGAACCCATTGTCGAGTTGGGCGGCGGTGCGCAGCATGGCTTTGGGGACCTCGACGCCTTGGAATCCCTGGGAGTCGGTGCCCGAGCAAATCGCGTGGTGCACTGTGATTGTATTGTGGCCGCTGCTGGGATATCCAAACATCCACATTTCGTCGCCGGGCTCGACATTGTTTGAGTTTCCGATGGGCACTGCCGGCAACTTGACCACCAAGTTGGACGACTCGAGCTGGCGGACCGTCCAAGTGCTTGCGATGCTGCGCTCCGTGACGTCTCCGATGTACAGCCCGCACGGTGGGTCCGATACGACTTCGACGTCAATCCAAAGCAGCGCATAGTCGAGTTCTTCATGGCAGCATTGGGGGAGCGCAGTCGCGCGGTACTTCCATGCGGGTGGCTCGCTCGCCGACATGGTCGGTGCGATCAGGATCATGAACGAGTCAGGGTCGGTGATGCAGTCGAACTCAAATTGTTCGCTCACGAGACAGTGTCGGGCGGTCGCGACCAGGCCTCGTTCATGGAGAATGATGCCTGACCCGACGTTGAGCAGCTGGCCATCGATCGTGAGGACTGCGATGCGCACCGTCGACTGCTGCACGCGGCGCACGAGGGATGCCTTGTACTGCTTTACGAGTCGTCGCCGCGTTTCAATCTTTTCGGTCGGCGTAAGAATCGGACCGTCGGCGTATGAGTCGTTGGGCACGTTTTCCCTGTCGTCAGGGTCATCGTTGGCCAACAGCGCGACGGCATTCATAAGCTTTATGCGAGGTCCGGCCGGGATGCCGAGGTCACGCAAATGCCCGGCGTTCATCATGCACAGCGCTTCGATGTCGATCTCTTCCTGCTCAAATAGCGGCGTGTACTTTCCAAGGCCGAGGGACGTCAAGAGGTCCGCCATGGCGGCAAACGATTTCTTCTTTTCTGCCGTGAGTTGTGCCGTGCGCTGCGCAATCCACCGCATTTCGAACTTTTTTTTCCACGGCAGGCTCTCAAACTCGATGCCGTGGATGTGTCGCTGGAATGTCGCGTCAGGGGACTCCGCTGTGGGAAACGTATGAGCATAAAGCGGCCGCCACAGCATGTCAAGCGATGCGCGCTTGTACCAGTGGCGGCAGCACATGGACACAATGCACAGGTCGGCAAAGTTCAGGTAACTCAACATGCCGGCAAAGACGCCGCGCGGTACGAACGCCTTGAAGAACGAGTTCGCTGGAGGAGCTTGGCCGACTTGTAGCACCTTTGGAAAGCACAAGTCGCACACCCGAGACTTGTGCGTTTGACCGTTGAGCGCCACGCGATGGTTCGAGCAACTTTTGCAGAACGACCATCCGCAGTTGCGACATCGATGGCTCCGCTTCCACACGGAAAACTTTTCTCCGCACTGATAGCACGTGTCTCGGGATTGAAAGGTTGCCCACCTTTCGTCGGACGACGTTGTGGAGCTGCACGTGTTCTGCGAGCCAAAGTACTCTTCGTTGCATGAGTACGACGATGTCACCGACCCAATCGACAATTGTCGGTTCCTCGTCGGGGGCATGGATTTCCAGTCAGCCATGTCGTCCTGAGGGTGCACGGCCAGAGAGATGTCGTCTGATACGTTCAAACGAGGGCAGATCCGACGGCAGGAATCGCTCGGGCTGTCGCGGCTCTTGCGGTCGCCTGCGTCAAGTCAAATGAACTGGCAAATTTTCACACCTTCCTGGAGTTAGTACTACTAGTAGTATCCCCTCCTTCTTCCTAGTACCTGCAACTGCAATGCAGCTCGGACAAGATACTATTAGTAATACTAACCGTTCCATGCCTCCGCTCGATACACGGTCATGGCCGTGTTCATGCGGCGCGATCCTGGGGCCACTCTCTTTCTGGTGTGTCGCAAGTCATGGGATGCGCCTCCAGCAGTAGCTTGGCATCGCGTGCGTCTGCACGCTGGGCTTGCCCATGGTCGTGTGGCTGCATGGGTGTTTTGCTGAGCGCACACATCCCCGAATTGCATTGACCCGGCCGCCACCGAAGGTATATCTGTATGGACTGGATGCTTCATCATCACGAATCGGTTGGTGTGCCTCGAGCGTCAGGTCCACAATCGCAGGTGAATGCAATGCAGTTGCTCGATGGCATGTCATGTTGAACGCACGATCTTCCTACGGCGTGTTGTGGTGCGAACGGTGTTCACTGTACAATGCGGCGACGTTCGGCCTCGTCAAAGTAGGTCGAAATGACTTCAAACGGATGCGACATGGTCGCTGCCACAAACATGTCGACCTTCTTGTGGTTCTGGGTCTGCGTCACACTGAGGAGCACGGCCTCGTCCAGTTCCTCGCTTTCATCGATCGTTTCATGGACGACGACGCCGGACTCGCTGAAAACTTGCCCATGGAACGCCGAGTTGAGCGCTTGCGTCTTGGACTCCAAGTTGGACACGTACGCTTGCAGCTGCGCGTTGAGTGCGACTTGCGTGTTGAGAAGATGCTGCGTCTCGCTGAGTTGGGTTTGGAGCTCTTGCTGCGACTTTTGAACAGACTTGGCCCACGCGTTCTGACATCACTCGATGAGGTGCGACGACCGAAAGGATTGAGCTGCACCTGGGTGCACACCGCCTCCCGACTGTCGAGCGACCGCAGGTAGAACGCCGGCCAGATGCTCAACGTGCTGTTGTGCCATCGAAACCGCAGCACCCGCGGCGATTGCATCGACAAGTCGTCGTCCTTTGGCACGATATAAAATGGATTCGAAATGTCCGACAAGTTGCCACCGATGCGCATCCACACAGATGGGCACCGCGCATGCGTTCGGGCTTTCTACAGGCACGATGGGCAGGATGGTAGAGGAGGAGTGGCGGACCTGGCGCTGCTCGTCGCAGTCAAAGAGGAAAGTCCCGCTGCGCCGCGAGTACACTTCATCCAACAGCGCAATCAAGTACCTACATCCGACACCACATCATGAGCCACAGCGTGGGCGCGCGCGGACGGACGCTTCGTTGAATTCGAACGAACACGGCGCTTGCTGGGTCATCTGCCAGACGGCGTCAATAAACTGGACAAACACAGGCGAGCTCTGATCGTCGTCCCAGTACCCCTTCTTCCCGTGGGCCTTCATGCCGCAGCGAGCCTCGAAGCGGTGGCCAAATGCGAGCCACTCTTGCTGGATCAATACGGCAAACCCTTGGATCGTGCGAAAGTACGGATCGCAGCACACTTTAACGAGCGACGTGAGTTGAGCCGTCCGGTCCCACCCGTCCGAGCAGTGCACGAGCAGCGATGCCTTTTCATCGACCATTTTATCCACACACGTCGTGGCGGCAACTAGAATCGACCGAACGTGCTCGAGCCATCTCGTCCCCTGCCACGACGTCACGTCTGGAACGAATGGGAAATATTTACCTCGAGACAAGACAGCCAGTTGGACTTTTCGCTGCCGCGGATCTCGCCCTTGATGAGATCGTACAGTCGACGGATCGAATCCCGCATCGAATGGATGTTTTCAATGTTCATGAACAGGAGCGGCACATTGTTGTAGTACTCTGCTCTACAACCACCCGTAACAAAACACAGCCATGGGGTGTGCTTACGTACATTTCAAAGCCAGCACCGAGGGCAACATTTCCATACGCACTCGACTGATTGCACCGGATGAGACGATCCCGGCCACACTGGACGCACCTGATGGCGGCAATCAATGATGTAGAGGCCCCCGACGGCGTGATTTTGCAAAATCTTGACGTATTGCTCGTCGGACGCACACCGCCTTCTCCGCAGCCCCACGAGCGGCTGCGAACACCGAGCGAGCAGCGTATCGGTCTCTCGGTGGCGATATGTGATTGCTGGAATGCGGCCCCTCGCTCGAAAGTGCGCGATGGATTTGAGATCTGCATCCGAGACGTGCTGCGGAACGATCAAGAGCATGGGGTAGGTCGCGCAGAGGCGGAACGAGTGGTTGAGGCGAGTGATGCGAAAACCCGCCGACGACGCTGCGTTGTGACGTGACGGATGCTTCATGCCCAGGCGCACGCTCTCTGCAACTTCGAGATCGCTCCACGGGTTACCAGTGCCTTCGTCTGACGGTTCATGGACTTTAGCAAAAGCAATCGGCGCTGTTTGATGCGTCGACTCGAGCCGATCCACGAGGCGGTTGTGCATGTTTCTGCGAACAAGAACCCAATGATGAGAAGACTTGACGTCATGCGAGTCAGTGTAGACTGAACAACGCACATGGACGCCGCCGTCATGCGCAGTTGAAAGCGATAGATCTCAAAATTCTTGCACGCCACCTCCATCGTGTTGGTCACATCGTCGCCTTCCTTCTCGGGCTGGACGTTCATTCCCAGCGTATACCCAACGGTACTGACGATCGCGCTGGACGATCGTGCATCTTGCACCATGATGTCGGCGATGTTGCACAGAGCAATGTCAACAATGCGCGGGAGGTCTTGCTACTCGATGGAATACCTTGGAAACGGGAGGATGTGTGTTGTCTTACCGGATGAGGTACGAACAGCAACCTGTACGTCGTCAGGCATAGATAGCCGCGTTCATACACGTTTTGGTTGGAGATCTGCATCGCGTGGACCTTGCATTCGATGGTTTCGCCATGGAGCAGGTTGTCGGGTCGCAAAGATACACTTTCGGGTGCAATGATCTACCGTCGACTGGTTGAGACGTACGAGAAGCGGGATCCGCACACCTCACGGGCAGCTTCCGATGTTTCTACAGCAGTCCATGAATCGTCTTCGTGCGACATGCTGCCGTCGATGTGGGCGTGACACGTTGCCGACGATCCCGTTCGTTGACGACTTGTTGGGAAGGTGCGATGTGCCCGAGGATTTTTCTGTACGGATGACTAATTTGACTGATTCCTAAATGGATATTTCTTGATACCAGAATATTGGGGGAATTTAAAACTATTTGATCGTGTTCGGCCACGATATTTTATCATTCGTGATCAAAATCCAGTGTGAAAAGAAAGGCACGGTGGCGGCTGCATCTTTGACTGCCGTGTCATTGTAGGAGCGCTCGGATGCGAAAGTGGGGAGGTGAAAGAGGGAAAAGGCGCGACAACAACGGAATGAAATACGCAAATTTATGAAGCTCAACCTCTATGGTGTCCTGAGGGTCGACACTTCACTGAAATACGGGGTGTTTAGCAGCCGGTGGACTTCTTGGTGGCCAAGATCAAGGCAACGATCAACCCGTACAAGCCCAAAGCTTCGGCGAAAATCAAAATCAAGATCATCCCGACGAAGAGCTTTTCTTGTTGGCCGACAGCACGTACGCCCGCATCACCGACCACACCAATGGCCATACCGGCAGCCAAACCGCTAAGACCACAGCACAAGCCAGCCGACAAGTGGGCGAAACCAGTGTACGATCCGTAGACGGTGTCCTTGCCGTTGGGCACGTCGATGGAGCCTTGGATGATCACGGCGACAATCAAACCATAGATACCCAACACACCCGCCATAATAACTGGAATAATGTTGCGCATGACGAGTTCTGGGCGCATCACACCCATGGAGGCAATGCCGACACCCGACTTGGCGGTACCATAGGCAGCTCCCAAGTCTAGGCAAGCAGCAGATGAGGCTCAGCCCAACAGATGGATGGAGCGACCGACCGACGTCGAGAGCGATGCACGGATCCAATCAACTCCCGACACCTTTCGATTGCAAGTAGAATGTCACTTACTGGCAAAGACCAAGGCAGAGGTCACGCCCATGAAGCCGAAGAAAGGGGCGGACGTGGGGCACAATTCCGACGCAAGTTGGGCAAGCATGACGAAATTCACAGGGAAGAAGAAATTGCGAAGTGACTTATGATCCAAAAACAGAAAAACAGCCACAAACCACGCGTCCCATACAAATTCCAAGTCACACGTGGGGGTTTCATACGGAATGTGAAACCTCCCAAACTAAATTTGGATGCGGCCACTTCTCCACACCAAAGGGAGGGAGAAATATAGAGTTTTAAAGGGACCCTACCCCGCCCCCTTTCACGCGCACACCGACTAAGTGCGTTCTATGTCGCCATTAGTCATACTAATTCGGGTGCAGTACTACTACTACCTACTAAGCCCACGATGGAAGCAAAACTTTCTAGAGGGTTAACAATGCAATTCACACGAGGCAGACGCCACTTTCTACTTCTTCAACGCGACCATGGCGACGACTCCAATCACGACCACGAGGGCGCCAATGCCCATGAGCACGGTCGTGTTGTCTGGGGCAGCGGCCGGCGGCGGCGGCGGAGGTAGGTTCCGCGTCGCGGGTTTGGCGGGCGAGGGTGCAGTAGTAGGGGCCTCGTGGATCTTGCCCAAGCGTGGAGAGTGGCCCTCGTCGACCACGTCAACCACCAACGTGAGGCTCTTCCACTTGGACTCGGACGCCATGTGGACGGCCTCCATCAAACTCGAATCGGACGACACGACGGCGAGGTCGCCCTCGTCGTCTTCATACTTGAGGCGCACTTGCGCGTCGCTGGGCAAGTTCATCTTGGCACGCACTTCGTCCTGCAGCGTGCGCAGGCTTTCCGTGCGACAGCGAATGCGATGCACGTGGCCCATGTTGTCCTTGACCTTGAACAAAAACGTACCGGCGACGGAAATCGCCGTGCTTTGGCTCGCACTAATCACGGACACCGAGTCGCCTAGTTCCGAGTACATACTCGCCTGCATCGCGTTGTTCGCAGCAATGTCGTGGTGTCGGGACTCGGTGCGCTCAAAGTCTTCGATGGTCCCAACTGAACAATTGTCGTCGATGTCGTCGCCCGCCAAGTCCTCTTGCATGGCCATGGCCGACTGCCAAAACGTCTTCCACTCGCTCGCGTTCGGCCCGTCGGCGGAGGTGCTGAATTGCCCAAATGTTAAACACAGCACGTCCGCCATCCCGACCACGCGCCTCGACAGAGGGTCGACGATCGGAACAAACAGTTCGCGAGTCTCCTTCATCACTTGGAGCCCTTCCAGGATGCTCGCACTCGGCGGCATCGTGATCGGGTGCGATGTCATCACGTCGCCGACCCGAGTGGTCTCGGCGGACAGGGATCGTGCAATGAGTTTTTTCACCAAGTCCTTGGGCGTCACCATCCCAATCACGAGATGCCCGTCCATGACGACGGCCGCCGTACGCGACGATCCCATCATCTTGGCAGCTTCGCGAACGGGCGTGTCGATGCCGACAATCGGCGGTGGCATGTTCTTCTCCACGGCCATGGCCACCGTCGGTCGTTGCATGGCTTCAATCCACTTGGCTGCCGAGTCTTGATGGCCAAGGCCGCGCTTCAACTCGCTCGCAAACGCATCGGCCTTGGTTTGACTCCGCTCCATGACTGCAATCGCATCTTGCAAGCACTTGGAAATGTCCAATAGACCCATCACACGGCCGGACGGGTCCAGCACGGGCAAGTGCTTGAACTGTCCTTGGAGCATCAAATTCAGCGCGTCCGTGGCCAGGTCCGTCGTCCGCACACACGTCGGTGACTTGGTCATGACGGAAGAGACCAAGCAGTTGGCAGGGTTGATATCCTGGGCCAACACGCGTCGCGTCACGTCGGTCGGCGTCAGAATACCAAGGAGCGCTCCACTCGGATCGACGACGATGCACGCTTCCACACGGGCGCGGCGAAGTCGCGTGGCTGCCTCAGCGACCGTGATGTTGTCGGGCAGCAAGATGACTTTAGTCGGACGAAGGGATTCGACCGTGAGTTGGCGCTGAGGGATCGCCGCGGGGAGTTGTGGAGCAGCGATGGCCGGGTTCGACACAGCAGCAGCAGCGTCGTCTTCGGCCGACAAGGTCATGTCCCAGAACGTTCGCCACTCTTCGTCGTTGCCCTTGGCGAACGAGCCGTAGCTCAGCGACAGGACGTCCACGAGCCCGACAATCTTGGACGTCGCAGTGTGCACAACGGGCAAATTGAGAAAGTTGTTTTCGTGCATGATGTGCAGGGCGTCCAGAATGGTCATCGACGGATCGACGGCCTCGGGGTTCTTGGTCATGACGTCGGCAACGGTAGTCTTTGCAATGTCCAAGCCCCCTCCTACGACGCGGAGGAGGACGTCCTTGGGAGTGAGAATACCCACGAGCTGCTTGGACGCTCCACTCACGACAAGCGCGGCCTTGCGTGTAAACGCCATTTGCCGCGCCACCTGCAGGATCGTGTCGGTCGAGTTGACGAGCGGCGGTCCTTTGGTATCGACTTCAATGATGGATTGCAACGTTGGCGACATAAGCCCTTGCTTTTGCACCGCGGACGTGTCGAGGCGCCGGATCGCATCATACAGACACTTTTGGATCTTGAGCATGCCAACGACATGATGGTCGGCATCCACGACGGGCAAGTGGCGGAACTTGCCTTCCAGCATCGAGAACATGGCGTCCATGGCGCTGTCGCTTTCCTGGACAAACTTGGGGTTGGCGGTCATCGCTTCTTCGACCGTGATAAAGTCGGGGTCGTTTCCAAGAGCAACGACGCGACGAGTGACGTCTGTGTCGGTCAGGATTCCAAGGAGCCCTCCTTCTCGAGACACGACGAGGGCCGAGTCTGCCTTTTCTGATTTCATCGCCATGGCAGCTTCGCGGACGCTGATGGTTGCCAGCACGGTGGTCGCTGGCGTCGGAAGCAGTTTACTGACAGGGCGGTTGTCGCCAGACCGTTTGGTTGTCGAGTCAGCCTTGGATTTGGCCCCACCCGTCTTGGAATGCAGGCTGATGCCACTCGAGACGGACGCGGTCCCGTCGTCATCGACTTCGAGCGACGATTCCCAAAATGACTTCCAGTCGTTCGGGGTCCCCTTTGCAAAGGACCCGTAACTGAGCGACAACACGTCAATCAACCCGATCGCGTGGTGGTCAGTGGCCGAACGAATCACGGGCAGGTGCAAGTTCTTCGAGTCGTGCATGGCGTGCATGGCGTCCACGACGGTCGTGGTGCCGTAGACGCTCTGCGGTGCTTCCAGCATGACGTCGATGACGGCCGTCGTGTGGATGGGCTTTGCCTTGGCTAGCACGTTCGACAAAACTTCATCGGGCGTGATCAAACCGAGGAGCTGGCCGCGTTCGTCCACCACGAGCGCCGCCTTTTTGGTTTCCCCCATAAGTTTGGCCGCGGCAAACACCGACGTGTACGGGAGTACGCGGGGGCATGGCGTATCTCCATCAATGATCGATTGAACGTCGGGCGAGAAGAGGCGATGCACCATTGGCCCCAATCGCTTTAAGCGGGGGTTTTGCGCCAGTTCTCGGGCAGTCGACTTTGTCGTGGACTCGACCTTTCGAATCGCGTCGTACAAACACTTGGCAATGTGGAGCACTCCGACGACCATGCTTTGATTGTCGACGACGGGCAAGTGGCGAAATTTGCCGGCCAGCATCGTACAGAGCGCATCGATGGCCGAATCTTCGTTTGTGACAAACTGGGGGCGTGGGGTCATGATGGTTTGGACCGTCGTGTTGTCTGGGGACAAGTTTTTCGCCACGAGACGATTCGTCAAGTCCGACCCGGTGACAATGCCAGAGAGGGCGCCGGCTGCAGAAATGACGAGCACCGAGTCGGTCTTCTCCCGCACCATCGTCTTCGACAGCTCGCGAATCGAGATCGACTCGGGGACCGTGATGGCCTTGGACGGACGCAAGCTCGCAACGGTGCGCTCGACAGGCGCCAAGTACTTTGGCTGCTTGGGTCTGTCGATGGCTTTTTGGTCCACTTGAAACGAAGCCTTCCAGAATTCTTCCAGCTTTTCACGGCTGTCTCCATAAATGAGGCTGAACGACCCATAACTCATGGACAAGACGTCGACGAGGCCTGCCACCTGGCCACTCGCCAAGAGGACGGGCAGGTTCAAGCACCCTGATTCGTGCATGATCTGCATGCCTTCGAGCACGGGCATGTCGGGGTCGCCGAAGTCAGGGTCCAACAGCATCACGTCGCCGACAAGCGTTGTCTTGGGGTCCAGACCTTGAGCGATCACTCGCAGAGCCAATTCATAGGGAGAAAACAGCCCGATCAAATGTTGGCCTTCCATGACGAGGGATGCCTTGCGCGATTGCGCCATCGCTGCCGCCGCAGCTTGAACAGTTGTTTGGCGGGTCACTTGTGGGGCGACAGCATCGGTTTGCAAGATCGTCGACAAAGTGATCGACGTCGACAGCAGCTTGTCCACCATCGGGTTCACTGCAGACTTCAATTGGTTCGTTCGCGCCTTTTGCTCCAAGCTTTGTTGAAGGGCCTCCGTCGCAGCATTAGCCTGCTCGAGGCGCTGGATCGCGTCAAAGAGGCACTTGCCGATGCTCAGGATGCCCACGACAGTGCCTTTGTCGACGACAGGTAGATGACGAAAGTGGCCTTCGTGCATGAGGACCATCGCGTCCAGTGCGCTGTCGTTCGGACTCACGTACTTGATATTGGGCGTCATGACTTGAGCAACCTTGGTCGTAAAGGGAGACGAATTCGTGGCCACCACTCGCCGACAAATATCGTTGTCCGTCAAAATACCAGCCAACGACCCGTCGCTGCGCACGGCCAGGACAGCGTCGATTTGCTTGGACCGCATCACTTGGCAACACTCTTGTACAGTTGCGCTGTCTGAGATTGTTTGAGCCGGATCGGGGCGAAGGCTAGAGACAGGGGTTGGGGTCGATTTGAGGGCACCTGGCGTCGACGACGTCCTGCCGCCGAATCGAGACGCCTTGGACGCTTTCGATGCCTTGGAGATGTTGGACGTTGTCGATCCAACCGATGCGTTATCGTCAAAGTCGGTATCGTTCTGGAACGACGCCTGGATGAACTGACCGTAGTGGTCGCCGTCAGCCCCAGAAAAGGCATGGCACGCCAACGATAAGACGTCGGTCAGCCCCACAACTTTGTGGTTCTCGTCCACGATGGGCAAGTTGAGGAACCTGCCATCTTGCATAATGTGGAACGCGTCAATGATAGTAGTCGACACGTGGGCAGCCTCGGGGTCTGCTGTCATGACCTTTTCGACGGGGGTCGTGCCGAGCGGGATCCCGCCCGCGATGACGCGAACAAGCACGTCTTTGGGGGTGAAGATCCCGACAAGCGTCCCGTCTGTGTCGACCACAAGCGCGGCCTTGCGAGACTCAGCCATTTGGTGGATCACCGAGTCCAGCATGTCCCTGGGGGAAACAATGGGCGGCAGCGGCGTGCTCGACACAATGTCATGCAGAGTTGGCGACGACAGCTTTTCCAGCATCGGGGCCAAGATCGCCAGAGCCGCGCCACTCACATGCAGGTCCTTTCGCAATGATTTCGTCGATTCGTGCGCTTGTTCCAAACGGCGAATCGCCGCATGAAGACACTTGGTCACGTTCAGCAGCCCCACAACAGCCCCAGAAGCCGAGTCGGTGACGGGCAAGTGGCGAAAGCGGCCTTGCAGCATTTTTCGAAGGGCGTCCGTGGCTTTGTCTTCTGAGCCGACACAGCTTGGCTGGGGGGTCATAACAGACGCCACGCTCGTGGTGCTCGGGCTGAGCCCTTGTCCGATCACCCGTCGAGTCACATCCGTGTCGGATAAGATCCCTTCCAACAGGCCGGCGGGGCTCACGACGAGAATGGCAGCAGTTCGGTTTTTCTTCATCACGATCGCGGCTTCCGTGATTGTAGCGTTCCCATCGATGTTGATCACCTTGGCAGGGCGCAGTCTCGCCACGGTGCGAGAAGGATCGCTCTCGGCCTCGTCGATCGACGGCGCAAGGGTCGCTTTGGTTGCCGACTTGGCTTTCGACAGCTTGGACGACACGGAGACGGCTTGAGACACCTTGGACGAAACAGAAAACGCTTGGGAATGCGCCGACGTGGCCGACTCGATCGAGCTGCTTCGTGGTCGGCGACCGTCGGTCACTGCAACTTGGTTCCGGCGAGCACCAGGCGCCACCATTGCTGGCAGTGCGACAGCCACCAAAGGTTGGGAGGGAGCTGCGGCAACTGGGGCAGCGGCGATCACAACGTTCGATGGTGGTAGCACGACGGGGGACGACGCGACAGCTTTAATCGCAGCCACTGGAGCATTCGCATTTGTGACTGAAGCTCGCACCACGCCAATGGCTGGTGGGGCGACTTCACCAGCTGCCGCCGCCACGGGCGCTGCAGCAACCTGGGGATTCTCCCTTGCCACAGCTAACTGTGGCTTCTCCCGTCCCGTTTTGGCAAGGCGCTTCTGGAGCACTTCAAGTTGGGACTGGATTTGGCCGCACTTGTCAAACGCCTTCTTCTGCATCGCTTGCGTCAAAGCCATGTTCAAGTTGTGGATCTCGGCTTCGAGTTCTTGCGGTGTTTGCTTGGTCTTGCGCACTTCGATCAAAGCGTCCAGCTTTTCCTGCAGTTGGCCACAGAGTTCAAACTTGCGGTCAGACATGGCTTTGACGATTTCTTCATTCACGGCGCTGATGCGGACGTCGAGCTCGTGTGGGTCGAGCTCGTTCAAGTCTTCCGGCATGTTGAGGCGGAATTCTTGCAACGCCGCGAGCTTGGCCTGGACGACGGAGCACTCGGCAAACTTCTTTTGAGCGGCGAGAGCTTCCATTTCATGGATTAACGCCTCAATTTCGGCGTCCACTTCCTTTGGTGTTCGTACCAACCGCCGGGCCTCTTGCGTCGCATGCAAGTCCTTCTGGAGCAATGTGCACACGTCAAATTGTTTCTTGGACGCGGCAACTTCGATGGCATGCTCAATTTCTTTGATACGTGCATCGAGTTCCTTTGGGCCCATCCCTGCGAACGGGTGCAGCAAGTCCTTTTGCCGAATGATATACCCCCGCGCGATTGCTTGGATTTTGATCGCACATTTCACCTCAAGGCGGTGCTGCGTCACGAGTTTCTTGTACCGTGTACGCGCTGCATGGCCCCGTGCCATTTTCATGACAGTGTACGCAGCTGATCGGAGCAACCCCAGCTCCTTCTTGGCTCGCCATCCTCGCATGGCGCTCTGGATAATGATCGCGGCTGAGTTGCGCTTCAACACTTTGTGCCATCGTTGCAACGTTCGAACTGCCGACATCTCGCGCAAGACCTTGAGACGCTTCAATTTTTCCGCAACCGACCGCTTTAGGAAGACCTTGGACGTGCCCATTTGCCACTGATCTTTGCCTTCGTTGAGCATCTCCGAGATGGAAGTTACGAGTTCGCAAATGTCTTCCGACGCAGGTGCAAGCGCCAAGTAATCGTAGAAGAACACGTCGTGGTCTTCTCGGAGACCAAAGCCCTTTTGACGGATTTGAATAGCCTCCATCATCCCAGAGTACTTGAGCTGGCGGACGCACTGGGCGCCGTCTAGCGTCTGCGGAAGCTTTTCTTCGTTCGGCTTGATGCACCTGATGTACCGCGGCGTGGCCCGCGAGATCTTGGACATGAGTTCCTGGAGCTGGTACCGGAACTGCGCGCCGACCGAGATTTCGCGCAAAGTGCGCGTTTTTTTGTCGGCCGCTGCAACGTTCTCGGACGGTCGGCGGGATGCCGCCACGGGGCCAGCGGGTTTATTCGACGCCCGGCGGGAGATGGACTCGACCGCTTGCAGGTTCGAGTCGACCATGGACGGGAGCCACGAGTTGGTCGACAACTTGATCAAGTCCTTCATGTCGTCGTTCAGGTCTTCGTTGTTCTTGTCGTTGAACCCGCTGGCGTCGTAAATGACATCGCCAGCATAATGTCGAATGCCAAACGCGAATGCGGCGTCCACTTTCGGCTGGATGTATGACTCGTGGTGGGTCGCGCCAAACGTCGAGTGGAGGTAGCTGACGAATTTTCGATTCGCCTCGTCACCCTTCATGCGCCAGACGTCATCGAGCGCAATAAACACGCCGGGCTTCCCACCAGGCTTGCCTTCGAGGAGTTCGAGCGTACTCTGGTTGTCCTGGAACCGGATGTGCGTCCAGTCAATGCCTTCGCGCGTGTACTCTTCCTGTTCGACTTCAAGCATGTGCTGGTTGAAGTGGCGCTGGAGTTTCTCGTTGGCAAAGTTGATGCAGAGCTGTTCAAAGGTGTTCCAGTCAAACTTTTCAAACCCGTAAATGTCGAGGACCCCGATGAACCCCCACTTTTGCGCGGGCTGCGAAATCGTACGATTCAACTCGGTGACGAGCCACATAAAGAGCGACGAGTAGATCGTCTTGGCCAACGCGTCCCGCTTGTCCCGGGCTTGGGCCGCGTTTTGCGCTTGCACAATCACCTTGCCGCCGACAAAGAGTTGCCGCGTGCACAAGGCCGACTGGAGCGCTTCGTTCGGTACTTGCAGCAGCGACGCGACCAATTCAAGGCACGCTGTCGACGCCGCGTTGCTCGGGACACAGTTCTCGTGGACTACATCAAAGTCGGCATTGCCCAGGTGCAAAATTGCAGCCTATACGTGCCGAGGTTGGCGCTCTTCATCTACACAAATACTGACGACGTACGAGCATTTCAAACACGTGCATTTGCATGTCTTGAGAAATTCCAATCGTGGTCATGCAGTGTGTCGTGATGTTAAACTCTTCCTTGTCGTCTCTAGCCAAACATATGAGTGTTAGGCCATGGGCCACGTGACAAGGGAGGACGGACTTGGCAGGCAAGACGTAGCACCCGCTGTGTTTGAGGTACTCGTAATCCTGGGGCTTGGTCAAGTGCAGGCGCTCCTTCAATGCGTTGTCGGCGCCTGCGAGCAGTTGGTAGAAGATGTGGTAGTTGCGCTCGTCGAGGCTTTGTGTCACGATGCGAGTCTTCTCGAGGAGGAAGTTCATGATTTCAGCGCCTGCGATTTTTCCATGTTTGTCGAATTGGATCTCAATGAACTTGCCGAACCGACTCGAGTTGTCGTTGCGCAGTGTCTTGGCATTCCCGAACGACTCGAGCAACGGGTTCGAGTCCAGTACCTTTTGCTCGAGGGACACAACGCCATTGTTCGTGTGACCGCTCGTAGTGACGCGAGCCAAGTATTGCATGATCACTTTGGTCGTCTCCGTCTTGCCGGCCCCGCTTTCTCCGCTAATAATTATGCTCTGATCGCTCGGACTCGTTGCGCTCGACAAAATGAGCTCTTCGTAAGCTGCCTTCATCGTTTCAAACACGTGTGGCTTGTTCCCGGCAGCGTTGCTGTGGTACCGGTCCATGGTGCTGTCCGAGTACAGACCGTCGATGCTGCGGTACGGGTTAATACTAATCAAGATTGGACCCACGAAAGTGTAGATGAGGTCGTGGTCGTAGCGACTGTGAAGGCTTCGCAGGAGATTCTCCTCCGACAGATCCGACATGGTCAATAAGTCGTCAATCTGCCACGACGCATCTGCGCTCGAGGCCTTCTGTTCCTTGGCTTTCTTCAGGCGTTCCGACCGCTTCGTCTTGGCGTTGTGCATGTCCGCTCAATGTATCGACGGCGCCGCTCTTCCACCTCACGTCGCGTAAAAACACAAATCCCGTTCACCAAACGAAAGGGCGGTCGAAGTGCTGATGGACAACTTCCGTGTCTAGTACTACTAAATCCGACTAGCACCTAACACGACCACGAATACTAGTTAGTACATTCCCATGTTGTTTTCCCTTCATCCTTCCACCGTACGTACGAGGCGGTGTGCCACTAGTACATTTCGTGTCTGTCCGACTGAGCAAACGAGACAGGACTAGTATCTACTAGATCTACTAACCATAGCCCATCACCACCAGAGGCCGACACGTCTATGCGCGAGAGATGTTTGGGTTGAGGTGTGTATTCAAAATGTAATGGAGAAATGGAAGCGGTTTATGCGGGTCGGTGCTTGGTGTGCGCGGACGCTGTGTTGTGCGGCGATTCAAACGCCTTGTAGTCGTCGTTGTTCACGGGAGTCTTGAACGAAGACCGTCGGGACGCGCCGCGGGCACGCAGGAAAGAATGCGATCGCGACGCCCGCGAGTGGTTGAAGGCTTCGTCTTCTTCCAGGGCCTTGAGGGCCGCGCGCTCCTTGACCTTTTCCCCTTTGAGCTGAATAGCCCCGTGTTGGTTGCTCGCGCAGAAGAGCAGCAAGATTGCCGTCACAGTCAGCGCCACGGCAGCCATAATCACGTTGCTGATGAGGAACGACGGGCGGAGGACAAACACGGCGGTTTGAGTCGCATAGTACGCCACGAACGACAGCGCGACAAAGCGCAGTTGGAAGCCCGCTGGGAAAAGTTCGATCGACGACAGCCACGTGCACGTGGCTAAACTAAACGCGACCGTAAAGTACAAAATGAACAGCGCGACGTCCAGGAACGACCCGACAACAGGCGAGTCCTTTGTGTTGATCTTTTCCAGAGCCAAGGCCGCAATGGACATCCCACCGACGAGGGGCAAGATATCCTTCAGGAGCGTCTTGCGACGGAGTCCATCGATGCTAAAAAGACCCATCATGGAGCCAAGCATGAGCATCAAGCCAAACTGCCATTGCCATGGCGAAGCCGGTAATCCAACGCCCTTGTTCTCGACTTGGACGAGGACGCGCTTCAAGATCGAGTTGGACATGGCAAGACCGTACAAGACTTGCAAGGCGACCGTGAGGAGGACGCGAATGGGGATGTTGGGTGTTTCTTTGGGCCAGATCGCGCCTTTCAAATCATCCAATTCCACCATCACGTCGTGCTTTTGACGCAAGCGGACCAGCGTCGCCTCGGCCGCTTTCTTTTGCTTGCGGCGGTAGAGCCAAACGGGGCTTTCGGGAAGGAAGAACGCGACCAGGACCAACGGAAGAAGCGGAATGGCGCCGTAGAGGAAATGGCCTCGCCACACATTCAACGGCTTGGACTTCCAGTTTTCTTCGAGCTGGGTGTAGTTCATCTTGTACAGCAGGAGCGACTCGACAAAGTATCCGATCGCACTGCCAAACACAAAAATCACAATTGACTTGCACTTCCAATCTTGCGTACAGATCTCGTAGTTGTACAGACATACGCAGATGCTGAGCATGGCCACCCCGGCGGTCGTCAAGCAAATGCTCACAATGAGCAGCACACCCGCACCAGACGCTGCCCCGACGATGGCGACGCCCGTAATCGTCAACAGCGACGACGTGATGATGGTGAAGCGGCGACCAATGAGAAAACACAGCAAGCACGCCAGAGCGACGCCAACCATGGACGCAATGCCTGCAAACGTCGACAGGTTCTTCATGAGGAACTCCCCAGAAATGGACGCTCCTTTGGCCACTTCATTGTCGAGGAAATACTTGAACGACTCGTTCACCATGTTGAACGACTTTTCGTTGAGGTACCCGAGCGAAAACGCAGCACACGTCATCCAGCCGTGCGTGAACCCACCAAAGAGACCGGTAAACATGCTGATCGTGGCGGCAAACTCCCCGCCCGTCGACAGGGCTTTCGAAAAGCCTTCGTTGTACATCATGCGGGTTTGGATCGTGTGCATGAACGGAATCGCCGACAGTACGATGAGCGGCACGAGCAGCATCAGACCCAACAACGAGTCAAAGAGGTAGCCGAGTTGTTGGACGAGGCCCCACTTGGACAGAGGCAGGCCGACGACGCCGTTGAAAATGATCAGGTACTGAAGCAGGGTGTACAGGCCGGCGTACGTCGAGATGAAGAAGCTGAGGTACATTTGGCCATTCTTATCCAAACTTCCCCAGTTCAGAATCATGCCGACAAGGATCACGCCACCGATGGACAACCCAATCACGACGACGACGTAAATCATGCCTCGGTACATGCGCGCCTTGTTGCCAAAGCACATGGTCGACACAGATCCCACGATCCACAGCGCCAATGAGACCCCTCCAACCGCGGCAGCCACAAGCCAAATGTCTTTGAGCTCAAAATCGCGTGTAAAGATGTAGTACACAACAAGGATATGGCGGAATTCCCGAATCGAGTACGACAGCCGGGACGTCCACGAGATTGAAGAGTACAGATCGACTTCGGATGTCCACCACGCCAGCCACGAGTCCGAGTCCACATTCAAATCGTCCGACGGGATGGTCGCGAGCCACGAAAACCAGTTGGTTACGTCCACGCGGGTCTTGCTAAAGTCGAACCCGTCCGTGTTGTACAAAAACGGCGCGAGCATCCAGCACACGACGAGCAGCCACACAGCAAACGACGCCACACCGTACGACTGCGGGTTTACGGCAAACGATTCCAAGTTTTGAATATACAGCGGTTTGTTTCCGAGGCAGTCGTTGTCCTTGTTGGCGCAGTAAGCGGCTTCGGCGCCGACGCCAAAGTTGAACGTGCCGTACAATCCATAGATGATGATCAGCGCCATGAGCTCCATCGCTTTGCGGTAATGGGAAGCTCCGTATTCCTTGAAAAAGCTCACAAACGTGTTGCGAGTGATGGCAAAACCACGACCAGTGCCGCGGTACTTGGAGCCCCCGCGCTGGATCGCCACGTCGTAAAAATGCGCTTTCGTGCCCGTCTCGAAGATGTAAAACACCGGACCAAGGGTCACGAGGAGCTCAAAAAAGTTGATGGCCGCTTGACGTAAGCCGACTTCGACAATCAATGTCGCCATGAGCGGAATCGTCATGAGCATCCCAAACTGAAAAATGAACTGGGTATTCAACACGTCGGCCAAGTTGTCGAAGTCGGCAGACACTTTGATCACTTCCAGCTCGACTTCAGGGTGGAGAGCCACGTACAGCTTCGAGTACGCGTACACGTACACGCAGACGACCGTCATGAAGTTGGCAATGTAAAACCCCATGTGCGAGTAGTACATGGCGTTCAGGCGGAAGAAGTCCATGCCAGTCCCCATGCGATGGGCATCGCGGGTCAGCGAACTTTCGGCACTTCCGTTGGCGAGCTTGGCTTCGAACGCGTTGATCTGACTCAGCGAGACATCGCGCCCCTTGCCGCACTGCATGAATTCCAAGTGAACGACCTTGCCGCCGCGGAGGGCGCAATTGTACCCGGCAAAAACATCTTCACTCAAATTGATTCCTTTTGACGCTTTCGACACGCCCCCGTTTGTCATGACGTACAGCTTGTCAAACACATCAGGATGTCCGTAATGCATACGCGTCTGCAACGGGTTCGCCATCACACGCTGGGTCAAGCTCACAAACACGAGTTCTTGGAGCGTCATGAACCGCGCGAGAGACGACGCCTTGGCCGTGAAAATGTGCTCCTTCATCCCGATAATCTGCGCCCCCTGGCCCGACGCCAAAAAGTTGGGCATCTTGAGCGCTTCTTCAAAGTAGTGTTCTTGATTCATGTCGATCGTTTGGATGTACTCGCCGCGGGTGAACGGCAACGCAATATTTTGGTTCTCGGGTTTCCCTTCGCCAACGATGGGGTGTCCTGGTAATTCGTACCGGTAGACTTCGACAATTTCCTCGCCGTCCGACTTGACGAGGACGCAGTCGTACCGGTCAGGCTCGCCGTGTTGACCAGGCACAGCCTCCATGAAGCTCACACGCCAGTTCGTGTACTTGCGCATGAGCAAATCAATGTCGGCGGCCCGCGGGTCGTTTTTCTGGCATTGCTCCGAGTAAATCTGGCACGACGTAATGTACGAAAACTTCATCCCGACAATGTCGTCCATCTGCTGAATCTTGTCTTCGTGGGAAATCGTTTGGTCGCTTCCGATCTCGAGCCAACGGAGCATCTTGATTGCATCTTCGTACAACATCATGCCGTGGACAGTACGCGCCAGCGTTTGACCGCGCATGGACGCCCACAAACGCACTTGGATCGGGGACGTCGCGAGCGCTTCTTCCATAGTCGTCGCGTTCATGCGCTCCAAAAAGTTCTCCCACTCTTCGGGGTGCAGTGTGATGAGGTATTTGAGAATGCTCAAGTCGGCGCGGCCAACCTTGTTCTTGGTTGCCTTCTCTTCAACTTTGCGAAACAACGGGTTGAGGTCCACGCGACCATTCAGTTCCTCCAACGAGTACAGCACGGCTTCGTTGTAGTAAGGCGTCACGACTGAGAACGAATGCATCGACTGGATCGCGTCGACTTTGGCAATCTGCATGTTGAGCGAATTCAAAAAGAAGCTCATGCGACGCTGAGCTTCCGCGCACCGAGGCATGGCATCCGCAATGTCCAACGTCAGCAAAAAGAAGAGGCGCGTGCAATATGCCATGGTGCTGTCCGCAGACGTCACCGACACGTTCGACATGCGCTCGCCGTCTTCGTCCTGGGGATCGGCAAACAGCGCAGCCATTAAGTGCAGCTGGTACGTTTTGTCCGGGGACGAACGGATGAATGACGACGACTGGAGCTTCTGCACCACCCAATCGATTGGAAGCACTTGCTCCAGCGTTGAAAACAAGTGCTGGACTCGTTCGATGACGATTACCACAAGTTCCCGGAGCACGTCGATGCCGCCGTTTTCATCCGATGGCTCAGGCATGTCCAAAAGACAAGCCAAGAGGTCCACAAAGTTTTCCCGCAGTTGAGGCACATGCGTCAAGTTGGCACGTTGCAACGCTTCTTGGGGTTTCTCGCTCAGGAAATGCAGCACTTCGAGCGCCGAGTCGTGGTGGCCAAGCAGTTTCTGGAGGATTTGAATGCCAAGTTGGGCCGAATTGAGTGCAACTTCATACAGGCCATCCTTTTCAAGCGTCTTTTGGAGCTTCGAGTTCCACTTGCCAGCACGGCCAACCACGTCACACGAATTCGACGCCTTCCCAGCGAGCAAGAAGATCGGGTCGTCCACTTGACCAGCCGACGAAATTTGATACTGCAGGATTGCCGACTCGCGGTGATCGATCAGATCCGACAGGCGAAAGCTGCTCACGCACTCATTCCACACGACTGAAAAGCGCAGACGGGCCTGGGTCTCCGGCGAGCTCAGCTTGGCATCGCCGCCAGTCAAAATGCCACGCGCGACACTCGACACGATCTTCTTGTCAAAGAGCGACGGGGCACCCTTCAAGCGGTCCATGAATTGAATCACACGGGACGAGTGGCCAATCTTCATGCGGATGCCCATGTACCCACTGCACAAAACCAGTCAATCACGTGCAAAAATAGGATCAACAACCGTACCCGACAATCGATTGAAAAATCGCGAGCCAAATCTACCACGACCGTGAAAACGACTTGCATCAAAGTGCACACGTCACCTGGGTGTCGTATAAGTACACCAGTATCATTGGCGCCCACAGCGCAATGATAAACGCCATGTTGTGGTAGCCCGCGATGAGTCCCTTTTTCTACACGCCAGCATGAGTCGACAACGCCCGTCTAGCAAAACCAAAGTACCTGCACAACGTCCAGGTCAAAGAGCTCGATGCTTGGAATGACGAGCGGTCGAATCATGAGCTCAATGTTGAACAGAAACTTGAGGCCAAAGAGCAGGACCCAAAACACACTGTACTTCACAAAGTCGCCAGCATTTTGGCCCATGTCGCGGCCAATGTACTGATCGCGGGACCCTTGGAGTACACGCAACCACGACCACTTGGACGTGAGGCTCTTGCACATGTTGAGGATGGCGGCGAGCACAACGGGCAGGGCGTAAATGCCGATGATGATACCGCCCGCGTCGAGGAATTTCATGTTCAAAACCGGCACATTCTCAAACGGGGATGTCACGATGCACGAAAACACACCAAGAAACAAGGCGTGCCAGAACAGGCGGCAGTACAACGACAGCGCGTACGCCTTGTGGCTGAAGATCAGGACGCCGTCGATCCACACCTGCAGGATAACTTTTAGCACCGATAAGCCCGCGTACGTGATCCCGATGCTGAGCAACGCTTGGTTGCGTAGGTTCGCGATGGCAGGGCTGAATAGTTTGCTGTACATGGCAAAACCCTTTTCGTTCTGCGGGCGGCTCTTCACGGCCACATACGCGATTGCAATCAGAACGTGAAGCATAACCAGAAGGAAGAAGAAGATGCGGTAGAACGCGAGGAACGGGTTCAGCAACGATCGGCGCTCCTTGAACGTTTTAGCCTCGCGATGTTCAAAAGCGCGGGCGACGGTGGTTTCATCGAACCGCAGACACTCTGGCTTCCAGAAGAATTCGTTTACATCGTCGTAGTTGGTTACGTTCTTGTGGTCGAGGTGCGATGCGGCCTTGGACTTTTTCTTCTGAAGACTTGGGTTCATCTTGGCCACGACGTTGTACATGGGCTTGACAACGAAGTTCAGAAACGCGTTGTCGGCAGGGGCAAACTCGGGTTTCTGTTGGGTCGCGTCAAGCTTCTCGAGACGGGACGCCATTTGGTGGTACAAGAAGCAAAGACATTCGGGCATGAAGCGCAAGTTCCCTGCTTCGCCCCAGATCAAGAAGAAGAGCGCAGCCTGCGTTTCCATGTCGGAGACCCACTTTGGCTTGATTTGGAGAAAGCGGCACCACTTCGTGTAGTTCAAGAAAACTTGCTTGTGCAGCTGCTTGAGGGCGTCGCCAGACGGGTCCGACGATCCCTGTTGAGCTAACCGAAACTGCTTGTTCGCGAGGAGCACGGCCATGTGCTCCTTTTGGTTTCGCATGCTGGCCGATTGGAACCCAAGTAGACGCTGGAGGCGTTCAAACACACCGCCGTTGTGGCCGTTGTCTAGTCGCATCACGCTACGACGTAGGTCGGACTGGAGCATCCCGTGACTCGTGTCATCGTCGCCGAAGCTTTGGATATCGAAGTAGTTCTCCTTCGCAGCTCGTCGCGACGAGCCTTGTCTCTGGCTCGTTATCCGAGACTTCTCCCGCCGTTGTTGAGCTGCCATCGTGGTCGTTCGCACCTCCACCCAGCACCTTTCGGGAACTACCTTACTATGTCGAACTAAAGGATTCTTGCCAAGCCGCTGCATCCGGATGCGGCGAGTCCTGTGTAACTACATCGAAGTTCGAAGCAAAAATACATACAAATCCCAAGATTCGACGATTTCAGTTGCACATCGCAACGCGTTACACTCGAATGACTTCGGTCGAAGAAACGCCACTTCGAGCCAACCTCACTTTTGACTTGTTTTCAGTATGCAACAACGCCTGAGATCACGAGTTGGCCATCCGGATAACGGTGACTCCGCTACAAGTAGCAGATACTACTAATTCTACTAGCACGCCCACGGCAGCGTCTACCGTGCACTGGACAGTTGTCCTTTCTATATAGTATTACTAAATAGAAGCCTCCAAGATACTAAAGAGAGCCGTAGTAGTACTAGTACTAGACATCTCCTTCGCAAGCTTTCAGGCGCTTCGCCATGGCCGCCATCATCCCTCCGTTTCGTTTCACGACAGTCGAGAATCGCTTGTACCGAGGGGCGTACCCCACGCTCCCCAACTTCCGCTTCCTCCGCAGATTGAAGCTGAAGACTTTGATTAGCGTAATCCCTGAGAAGCCTACGAAGGACTTGGTGGACTTTTGCATGCATGAAGGTATTGCGCACCACACATTTCAAGCAGAAAAGTACTCGAGCGACTCGGTGACAGTTCCGCCCGCGACCGTGGCTGCCATATTGCATGTGCTCTTGAACAACGACAATTTACCGATCTACATCCACTGTCTCGACGGTGCCAATGTTATTGGGATTGTCGTCATGGCTCTAAGGAAGCTTCAAAACTGGACAAAGCTGGCCACACTGCAAGAGTTCTGCCGCTTTACACGGGATCATTCTGTTGAAAAGGATGAAAGCGAATACTTGTCGACGTTCTCGGCCGAAATCACGCTGCCTCATCATGTTCCCCGATGGCTGTGGAATGGAGTACGCATCCAGGTACGCTGCACCAACCCGTCCCTCCTGATGGCTTGCAGAAACACCCGACAATGCTTGTGAACAATCCGACTTCAAGCCAAGCCAGTCAAGTGCCACCTGTCGAAGGGGATGTTGGTGCCCAAGTTGTGCCAAGCCTCACGACGCCCATGGGAGCGCAGGACAGGAACTTTGAAGGGCCCACGTCCATGTCCGCTGCAATTTGTCTAGCGTGTCTGATCACTTTTTTAGGACCTACGCCCCTGATGCCGACAAGACAGACCCTGTGCGGCCATTCGACGATCGCCGAGAAGACCGCGGAGAACCTGTCATTTTCCAGGAGGATTTGGATTTCTTGTATCACAACGACGAAGGGTCGGACGTGTCCATCCCTCGGCACTTGTCCGCCCTCGATTTGGCAGGAGTGTAAATTTCCAATTTTTAGTAGTACCTTTGTGATCATCAGTAGTAATACTAACTACACAGTGTATCCGGATAAACGCACGTTATCCGGCGGTGGGGAATGCGGCAGTGTTGCGCGTGTGGCGAGCGAAGATCTCGCTCGAGACCGAGACGAAGTTACGGGACGCGGAGCCGCTGGATCGTCAACTCGCAAGGTTCCAACCAACATGAGTACGCAGGACGAATGGTCGTCTTTCAAGCTTGTGGATAAGCATTTGACGTCAATCGCACCAGAGGCAACATTTGATGCCGCGTCCGACGAAATCAAAGAAGACATTCTGCGACTGATTGTGCAATACCTCCAAAACGAAGGGTACACGAGTGCGTCGGCAACTATCCTGGACGAAGCGAATGTCAAGTTGATGGAAAAGCATCAAGAGAGAGAGATGGTGCGAAAGATCAGCAAAAGCATCAAGGAAGGTGACTGGGACTTGGTCGCGAAAATGATTCACAAAAATTCCAACTTGCGCAAGGTTAAGTTTCATACGCAGCAAGGCCTAGGCTTTCTCTACGCAGTGTGCAAGGAAGAGTACTTGGAGCTCATCGACCGACAAGAGTACCAAAAGGCATTCACGTACTTGACGACGCACTTGAAACCGATGGAGAAGATCAGTGGGCGGCAAGAGTTTAAAGACCTGTGTTACTTGTTGACGTGCAAGTCTATCACAGAGGTGGAGTCGTTCCGGGATTGGGAAGGTGCATTGCGTGCTTCGATAATCCCTTCTCCGATTGAAAGTTGTGGGCCTAGGCGTTGTCAAATCGCGTGAAAAGTTGGCCGAGCAACTCAAGGCGACGTTTGAACTGGATGCAGTACCCACGGAGCATATCAACATTCCAGACAACCGATTAGTGAATCTACTTCATCAAAGCGTGGCATACCAAATGGAGTTCAGTCGCTATCACCCCAAGACAGTGCCCAAGGTGTCGACGCTCCTGAGAGATTTTGAATGTCAAGTGCTCCCAAACGCTGTCAAGACAACCTTTGTCGGGCATAGTCAGAACGTGAAGGTAAGGATCGTTGTTTTGACCGTAGTGATGGCTCACTCGATCGCAGTGCGTAACCTTTGTGGGCCGAGAGGGCACGTACATTGCGTCGGGTTCGAGTGACAACTTGATCAAGCTGTGGAGTACTGAGCCCCGGCATGGAAAGACCGTGAACACAGTACATTTTTGCGTTGCAGCGTTCAAAGTCCCTAAGTGAACCCGCAGGTGTCGTGGGACTTCCACGGCCATTCGTCTCGAATTTGGTACTTGAGCGCCAACAACGCTGGGGATCAACTATACTCTGCATCGGGGGACGGCACAGTCAAGATCTGGAATATCAAGAACGCGATCTCGTATTTTGGCGAAGTCGACGGCAACCCGAGCCCGGGCGCCAACCCCCAGAGCACATCAGACTGCATTTCGACCATGACGGGGCATGCCGGCGACGTGTACACGGTAATATTGCCCGGGCCGCGTCCACCTCATGTTTGTTTTGGCGCAGGTGAACATTCATCCAAACGAAACACACCTGGTAACGGGTGGCTATGATCAAACGGTGCGGCTGTTCGACATCCAGACGGGCGCAGTCGTCAAGGTATGCGTAATTTCAACTATGCGGGCACTTCACGTGCGATGACAGACTTTCCTTGGCCACAATGCTTCCGTGTGCGACGCGCAGTTTAATCGGCATGCGAATCTGGTCGTGAGTGGCTCCAAGGACGGAACGGTATATGATCCAGCGTCCTCAAAAAGGATTCAATGGTGTTGTAGGTTCGTTTCTGGGACATTTTGAGTGGCCTTTGCGTCCACACTGTGCGCCAGACGTTGGGCGAAGTTACGTCGGTGTCGCTTTCGTCGAATGGTTTATTCCTCTTGACTGGGTCGCGAAACAACAGCAACAGGCTGTGGGACATGCGTATGTTGACGCACCCTCGGTCAACCCTGCAGTCGTCGTCGAAAGATCTGAAAGCCCCAGCGCAGGCGCCGCCACTTTCGATGGAACAACGGCCGTTGCAACGGTTCAAAGGCCATCAAAACACCGCCAAGAACGTTGTCCGTGCGTCGTTTGGCCCGCGCGAAGCATTTGTCCTTGGGTACTCTCGTTCTCCATTGCAACGACATCTCATGGTTGGCTTAGGGGGTCTGAAGACGGCGCTGTGTATGTGTGGGACGTGGCCACAGGCAAATTGCTAGAGAAATTGTTAGGCCACAGCGGTGTCACATACAGCGCCAAGGTTAGTATACGGCACATGAAAAGGTCACGGCTGAACGAATTTTGTAGTGGCAAGAAAAGCAGGCGTTGATGGCATCTTGTTCTCATGATGGCACAGTCAAGACGTGGTGGTGGCATGAGCAGCAAGTGGCTCACGCTCTGGGCAAAAAGAAATAGAATAGGAGGGTTTATCGGCGGGAAGGACTCGATCGACGGTGGCCCACTTAGTGAGACGAGCTGACATGGTCAAGGCTATCCATTGCCACGCGTTCTTAACGGGCTTTAACCAACAGTCGCTTGGCTGCATCTGTCGAGCGCCAGAAAACGCTGGCACACCGACCGCTTGCCTCAGCAAGGAGGCATCGCCTTGGCATTCCACAACCAAGGCTAGTACCTCCAGTAGTAGTAGAAAAAGTAATACTATTCTGTGGAGTGCATTTTATCCGGATATGTACGCTTGGTGAAATGAGCGACGCAGAAGATGGAGGCAGCTCGTCGTCGTTCGACAGTGACCATGACGGCGACTTTGGGGAGGAATCGATGGAAGAAACGGATCAACAAAATCGAGTAATGCAAGCCGTTTGCAAGAGCTGTGAGAATCCCAATGACTACAACCTCCACCTCGCTGCTATTACCGAGTTGTCGTCCAGTCCAGTGTTCGCGTCGCAGCTCGAGCAACAGTTTGAACGATTTCACAAAGCATTTCCGCTTTCTCTGGAGTTGTGGTTGCAATACATTGAGTTGAGGCCAGAGAAACTGGTCGAGTCGTTCGATGACTACCTCCTGCCAGCATTGTACTACAAGTACGTGGAAGACGTGGAAGACGACCCGCAAGGGGAAGAACGATGGTCAGTCGTTCTTCGTGCTCTGGGATCGCACTGGAGTGAGTGCGAGAACGTCTATCAATTGTATCGGGATTTCTTGAAGAACTCGATTTCCGACCCGACGACGTTGAATGCCCGACTACGAGCGAGCTATCAGGGGCAACTGGCGAGCCCGTACTTTGAAGGAAGTGACCGCGTGTTGTCCGAGTATCGCGCATGGAGCCAATATCAAGAAAAGCCAACCGATTTCACCAACGAACAAGACTCTATCCAACGACGCCTCCATGCCGCAAGTTCTCTTCTCGCCAAGATGCAAAGGTTTGAACGTGACTTGGACAGGGTGAATACTGCTGATACCAGTGCGTTGCAAGCTCTGTGGTTCGAGTACGTCGGCTTTGTCATTTCTCGAGTGACTACGTTGGGATGTGGCATTGTGATCTCGGTGCTTGAACGCAGCGTGGCTGCTGTGTGCATGAGCGCCGACTTGTGGAGCCGGTACTTGGCCTTTCTCCGGGACAAAAGAATGAGTACGCTTGCGGTGGCGAAGCGAGCCGTTCGAAACGTTCCATTTGCTCCAGCGCCGTGGGTGGCGCTGTTTGTCGCGATGGAATGCGAAGGCGCATCGGGGGACGATATTTCCATCGTCGGGAACGATCTGTGTCAACGACAGCCATGTCCGCTGCAGCAGGATGCACTGCTGGACGTGCTGCTTGCTTACTGCGATGCCGTTCGACGACGAACCGCCTCGAAGGCATTGCGTCAAGTTGCATTCACGTCGTGCAAAGTACGACCATACCCTGGCAGCATCATGGAGGATGTCATGTGTTGTGGTAGGCGGCTGTTGGGAATTGGACCATGGGACGATGCTGCCTGCTGATGTACGAGTCCAAGTGCACCTTCGACGTCCTCAAAACAGGTTTACACCCAAAGTGGATTGAAATCTGGGACGAGATCTTGACCCATCGAGGCCACGAGTGGACCTGCTGGCAAACGTGCATCGCGGAATGTGTTCGCATGGGCGGAAGCGTCGCGGAAGTCCGATCGTATTATTCGCGTGGTGTGACGGAAGTGAAAGACTACCCAGTAGCGTTGGCCGAAGCGTGGGTCTTATTTGAACGTGAAATGAGCGAACACGTCCGGTTTTGGGTCGAGGCAAAGGGGATTTACGACAAACTCGTCCAACAATACCATGCGTCGGTGTATGTACCTGCCCATGCACCGGAAGAAGCAACGAAACCAAGCAAAAAGCGGCTGGCAGACGGTCCGGCGGTCGGTGATTTTCCCAAAGGAAGGCAAGACGCCGCAACGAAAGCAGCCAGGCAAGTCGAGTACAAGAAACAGCGACTGTTGGACGACTCGAACCACATGACCGTATTCCTCTGCGAACTGAACAAGGCTGTTACAAAGGAAGACTTGCTCGAGTTGTTTGCCCCTGTACGTGCCGCTCGAAGCGTGTGCTAACGAACTCAGATATCTCTAGTGCGGCAACGTAGTAGATGTGCGCATGCTCCTTCGCAATCGAGAAAGCCAGGCATCGAGGGGCATGGCGTACGTGGAGTTTGACACCGAGGTACCAACTGCGCTCTCAGAATGGATGACTGTGATGTGTATCGACTAGACTGCGGTTGAAAAGGCGCTTAAACTCGACAAATCTCCCTTTCACGGGCACCCCTTGAATGTCAAATTGTCGAAACCAACTGCCCCCGCTCCAAAGTACGTTGCGCCACTGCTGGGACGACTCGAACCGCTCTACATAGGCAACCAGTCGTGAAAGATGGGGTATGGAAGACGACAAGCTCGACCATTTACGTGACGGGATTTGGGGACAACTCGACGGAAGATTCGCTCAAGACTGCTTTCTCCAAGGTTGTGGACAGATCTTTGCATGCTCTACCTAACCAGTGTGTGGTCAGTTTGGTCTAGTGCATGCTGTTATGATTTTGGGTCGAAAGCAAAAGAAGAACGTGTATGCCCTCGTCGAGTTTGCACCGACGGTAACGAGTCCATTTCGGTGGGCATTCGCTAAGGTTTTCGCAGGAAAATGTCGACAACATCCTGACGGCAGTTGAAGGCAACGGTCCTGTCGATGGAGCAAGTGTCCAAGTCAAGCGTGCGCGCTTCAGCGTTGAGGAAATGCAAGCGCAGCAGGCCAGAACAAAAGCGACCCAAAAGCCGCATGTTGCACAACCACAACGAGAACCAAGCACCCATTTGAAGGCAGAGAAAGACAAGAAACCAGTCGAAAAAATCAAGGACGTCGAGGCCCACGAACACGGCCAAAAACCCAGGTAGGCAACATGCATCGAAGGATGCATGAAGAGTGAGCGGTAAACATGTTGCCAGAATCGCGCTATCCCTGGTGCCGCGAAGCCTCAAGAGCTCGAAAGACGCCGGAAAAAGGCCGTCCAAGATGATTGCGAACGATGCGTCGAAGGTGAAAGAGACGGCGGGGGTCGACACACTGAATCCAGCGACGACCTCGATGAAGTCGAACGCCGACTTCCGCAAACTGTACTCGTCCAACTAACAAACGACCTGATTCAATGCAACTAGTTCGTTAACGGATGAGCTTGCAAGAATTGAAGGGTTTCTTCGTGGCTTGGCATGGTCGCGCCGTCCTTTTGCACGCAGAGCGCACTGCTCGCGGCTGCGTATCGCAGGCACTCGGCGAGTGTGGCCTTCTGCGACAACTTGGCAGCAAACGCCCCGCGAAAGCAGTCACCCGCTCCAGTGGTGTCATGTACGTTAACGTCGAACGCAGGCTGGCAATGTACACCACCTTCCCTGTCGATCAATACAGATCCGGCACTTCCGCGGGTCACCAACACCGAAGACGCCCCCCGTTGCTGCAACTGTCGCGCAGCGTCCAGCACTTCGTCGAGGGTGTCAAGGGACTTGGTAGACCCCACACATCGGCGCAGTTCTGTCTCGTTGGGGCAAACAAAGTCGACATGGCGGAGGAAATCGTCGTCCACTTCACGATCTTCGCCACCCAAATCCCACATCACAGTGGTTCCGACCGCCTTGGCCTCCTCTGCGATCAAACGGTTCACATAGGCTGGTATTTCGCATTGCAGGAGCACGATAGATGCGCATTTCACGCTTTGCTTCATTTGGGGGGTCAATTCGGTCGGCCACACTGCATTTGCACCCGGTAATATCACAATCGAGTTGTCGCCCGTGGGAACCAACAAAATGATCGCTTGCCCAGACACCACTTGTGTATGAACTTTGCTGGATTCGTCAATCGTGACTCCAGCTTCGGCAAGGTATTCTTGCATGAGGTTGGCGTGATCGTATCCAAACTGGCACAACAAACGAGTTGTTACGTTGGATCGGCTGGTCGCAACGGCTTGATTCGCTCCCTTTCCGCCAACTAAACACCGTGATCCTGTAGCTGCCAGCGTCTCGCCAAGGAGGGGGATTCGAGCAACGTCGAGGAAGATGTCGGCATTGATGGAGCCAACGACTAATACAATCGGCGACGCCATTGCGCTCGACTGCGACAGGGATGTGTATCTCTCGAGGATGCCTACTAATAGTAGCATTGGATTCCTCCTACTAGTACCATGGCATGCCTACTAATAGTAGTGTAGTACTGTGTAATACATATCTATACACAAAATTGTTACTAATAGTACTCTACTAGAGGATGTGCGACAGGTACGGATAAGCTAACCGGTCATGTTTCTCCCTATTCTCGGCAGTAGATTTCGAAGTGAGCCCAATGATGAAACCAACGGCCCTCCTCCTAGCGCTTGCAGCCCTCGTCTCGTCGTCCGAGGTCATCGTCAAGTTCAGCGACTCGAACCTGGTGAAGGGGTCGCAAGACACGTTGATTGAAGCGAGCACGATGTCGCTGGCTCGCCTCGCGGTCGAGTCGCTCGCCCTCCCTCAGGCGGTCGTCAGTCACACGGACGAATTTTCGGTAGTCGCCGACTTGTTTGCGCACACAAACGCGTTCGGTTTTGTTGTGCTTGAAAACGCTGCAAAAGACTTGAACGTGGAAAGCGGTAACTATGCGTTCGAAAAATCGGTCACCTTGCAAGATGCGACTCTGAGCCAATTGCCGCAACTTATCAACGCGATGGCGGAAGGCCTGAAGCAAAAGAACGCCGAGAACGTCGTTTCATGCTTTGGGGAATTCTGCTCCTCAACGAGTGAGTCGCTTCTCACTCCCGTTGCTGCGTCCAAGGAAGACGGGATCTGGAGTACGCTTGACATGCTGGAACATAAAAACGCCGCCGACAAGAAGTTTGTCCAAGAATTGGCGCACCTCCATGGCATCGTGGAAAACCTCCAAGCCCATCCTCGTGATGCTCAAACCAAGGGCATTTTTGTGGCCTCGGTGGCTGGCTTGTCTGAACTGGACACCGGAAAACAAGCATCCGCACAAGCCGCTGTTGAAAAGTCGGTCGCAGCTTTTCAATCCGCATTGAAGACGGCATATGGCCCCGTGGGCTTTCAAGTTTTTAAGCTTTCTGGGTCTGTTCAAGTGGACCCGAAGGACTTGACCGCGTTTGTCCGTCAACTCTCTCAACTTGACGTTTCCCTTGCTGCGAACACAACGAATGGCACCCTGCCAAACCCGCTGACCGTTGAAAGTATTGCAGAGTACCAAGTGATCTTGTGGACGTCAGTTCTACTTGTCGTCGTCGCTTTCGTTGCCGTCTCGATGATGGGATCGATTGATGCCAGTCGCGACAACCTGCTCTACGCCAAGTTCCTTACCGACCCCAACGGCCGCAAGAACGATTAAGTCCATGACAACCGCTTCGCCGCATGCCCTCGTAGCTTGGCTAAGCGAAAAAGTATATTCATGTCGTTGAGCTGTGTGCGTGCTGACGGTGCTGGACAATGACCAAGGTGTCGTTGGTATTGTCGTCGTCGGTGAGGGACGTTCGGAATGAGATGCGTCGAAGTCAATAGTAGTACTACACCTCCCTCTATAGAAATTCAAAGGATTCATGATAGTATTACTATGCAATTGCACACAGATTGTAGGAACGTGATGATTCGGATATCGGAAGCTGCAGTGATCGACCACGAGCAACGCATAGCCAAGGAACGACAGTCTGGCGAAAGCATTGACGTCGGCGCCGGATGAAGTTTGGGAAGCAATTGGAGCTCACTGCAAACGTGCAGTGGCGCCAGTACTATGTGCAGTACAAGAAGCTGAAGCGCCTCATCAAGCGCGTCGCGTTTGAGGTCGAACGGGGCCAGCGAAAGCAGGAAAAGGTCGAGAAAATGTTCAAGACGCAAGGCATTGCGGACTTGCCACGCCCGCCAAACGTTGCTTCGTATTCTTCTACTGAATCGTTGTCGCTCACGACCAGTGGGATGAGCAAGGCGAGAGTTGGCCAAGGGGAAGCAAACGAGTCGACGCCGCTGCTGTCCCCTCAGACGGACTTGAACCTTGCCAACATTGAGGATGCCAAGCGCGAGTTTTGGGAAATGACCAACGCCAACATTGCCGAGGCCAACGCGTTTTACCGCAGCAAAGTGACGCACCTGGCCAAGATTGTGAAGGACTTTGAGAGCATGCTGCGCGACGAAGACAAGGCGACCCATGGCCACGTCAGCTCCAAGCCACGCACGACGTCCCACGAAGTGGACCGAGGGTTTGCCGGAATCCAAGATTGCTACGACACGCTAATCGACTTGAAGCAGTTTGTCAACTTGAACCACACGGGGTTCCGAAAGATCGTGAAAAAGTTCGACAAAACAACGGGCGCTAGCACGCTTGACACGTTCATCAAGCAACTGAATCACGAGGACTTTTACTCTTCGAATGACATCGACGCCCTCTTGGATCGTCTCTTTGCCATGACGTCCAAGTACGCCGACCTTGGTCGCTGCTGAGTGGCCGCACTCACGTCGCGAGTAGGGACAAACTTGAAGCGGGCAACTTGGAACAGCGCATGAAGCGCCAGCAAGGGAACCAAGACTCCCTTCTCCGAAAGGTACATGCTTCAGCTACTTGCATTGGGATCGATTCATGTGTGGATCACTAGGTGAAACTCATGCCGTTTTGCATTTCGTGCGTGATATTCGTGCTCTTGCTGGCCGTGCCTATTCCCGGTCGTACGTGCTGCGCAGATGGCTTGAAGGGCCACGCGTCACTCGTCTGCTTGTAGAAAAGGAAGTGCAACAGCGGTGCTTGGCTATGCTCGTCTTCATCACGTCGTTGTGGGTGTCGGAAGCCCTGCCTTACTTTGCCACGTCGTTGCTCGTGCCCGTTCTCGTGGTGTTTTTGCGCATCTTGAACGACAAGCAGCACCCAGCGAATCTGTTGGATGCCAGTACGGACGGCCATTCTGCCGTCGCGGGTTCCAACACATTTTGAATCGTTCTAGAGGGCGCTGCCAAGGAGGTCACGTCGCTGATGGTGAACCACACAACCATCTTGATCATGGGAGGGTACGATGTGCGAGTACGTGGTCCATGGTGACGGGCCGCACGCAGGTTTTCGATTTCGGCGGCGTTGTCCAAGTGCCAAATTGAGTTGTACATCGCGGCTTTTTTGCAACGCCGATTCAAAAAGAGCCCGCGGCTGTTTTTACTCGCGATCATGCTCATGGGCCTCTTCCTCTCGATGTGGATCAACAACCACACCGCCCCGGTGCTCTGCGTTTCGGTACGTCGACGACCGTGGTGAACGACTTGGACAGCTCACGACGACCAGGTGCTTCTTCCGATCATCCGAGATTTCCCGCAGCACAGCTCGTACGTCAAGACATTGCTCATTGGCCTTGCCTTTGCGTGCAACTTGGGTGGCATGATGACTCCCATTGCGTCCTTGCAGGTGACCACGACGTTGATTGCTGAGATCTCACAAGGCTGTAGAACACACTGGCGCAATCGTATCTTGAAAAGGCGGGATATGTCGTCTCGTTTGGGCAGTGGATGATGATAGCTGTGCCATTTTGCGTCCTCTCAACCATCTTGGTCCGATGCATGCAACACGCCACGGTGATTCTGAAGTGTTTTGATAGTGCTGGTTCTTCCTCCTCTGGGCGTTCAACCCGGCGGACGTCAAGTACATTCCCCAAATCGTGTACGATCAAAAGCAACGAGTGAACCAAGTCCACGTCGCTGTGGTGTTGCTCACTGTGTCGACCATCGTGCTTTGGGCGCTGTTTACGTTCATCGCGCCAACTGTGGGGGACATGTCGATCATCTCGCTCATCCTGATGGTGCTCGGAACACGCGTGTGCATATCGTGTTTTGACGTGGTTGTGTGTAGGTCACCCTGTTTGGGACTGGCATCCTGAGTCAGTTTGACTTCAACTCGTTTTCGTGGCACATCTTGTTTCTCATCGGCGGCGGCAGTGTCTTGGGCGAGGTACGAGGTGCGGTGCGTTCTATGTTGAATCGTCGGCGTAGGCTGTTCAACGATCTGGCCTGCTGGAGACGTTGAGTCATTCGCTGATCCAAGCACTTCCCAGCGGAAGCGTGTGGCTCACGACGCTGTTGCTGTGCATGTTGGTTCTTGGACTCACAACGTTCATTTCGCACACGGTGGCGTCGTTGATTCTGCTGCCCATCATTGTACAACTCAGCATCGAAGTTGGACAACCTCATATCCCTGTGATCAGTTGCGCTCTCGCCATATCTGCAGGTAAGACGATGGGCCGACTTCCCCTTGTGTGATGTTGAGCTGTGTAGCCATGGGTTTGCCCTTCGCATCGTTTCCGAACATCAACTCTTTGCTGGTGTTGGACGATCATGGCGAGCCCTACCTGGAAGTCCAGGACTTCTTGAAAGTCGGCCTCGTTTTTTCGCTCTTTACAGTGGCTCTCATCGTGTCACTGGGGTACTGGCTCATCCTTTTCGTCCTTGGAGCGAGCATTGTACCCGTCTAATCCAGTGGATTTGATCGCACACACACCATGATAAGTCTCCGGGCATGAGCTGTGGAATGCAATGTTGTCGCTGCGTGGGAGAATTACTTGGACAGTAATGTGCTCTCTGTACATCGTGTGTTGTGTGTGGATATATGTGTGACGAGGCATATGAGACCCCACTGACGATAAACCTCCACAGATTTATATAAGACGCCAAAGAACAGAATTCTCTAAACCCAAAGGTTATAATATTGCACAGTATTGCTGAAGTAAACACTCCTACGGATGTTGAACCTAGGCGATTGTATTGATACAGAGAATTATTGTGAGAGCAAGTCAAAATTGAAAGATAAACAGGGCTCACACGACACTTCGAAGGACAGACATTATTTAGCTCACTGTTCAATTTGCCTCGTCAAAATTATCCGGATAATTATCCGTACGACCTGTTTGTACGCCATCAACCTCTCTGCCTCAAGATCAAGGGCTTTGCCAACGTCGTGCCCCATGGGGAGCAGCGTCAAAAGGACTGCGCGCAGTAGTCACGGGACCGCCTCGGCCTCGCCCACTAATTTGCTGCACCGGATGCGGTGATGACATCGTACCTACTTTCTGGGCTACTTTTCTATTATTTGCTGAAACGCTTCAATTAATTCACCAATCACAGATAACAACAATGAGGATGCTGGAACCTGGACGGTCCAGATGGCTACAACTACGGCTGGGCCGACCGATGGGGCGACAAGAACAATATTCCAAGCGCCAGAATGGAGGTGGCTGGGTCATGGTCTGGAGTGGTTTCAGCAGCAAGGGCAAGGCTGAGTTGGCGAATCTGGATGGCAGACAAGATGTGAAAGCCTATATTGACACCATCTCGAACTTCATGTTGCCCTTTGCCTACTCCAAGCACCGCAACGATTACAAGTTCCAACATGGCAATGCTTCTTCGATCCACAAGGCTCCCATGGTTTTGGACTGGGTCAAACAACCGTAAGTGACAGTTGACGATATCAATTGGCTGTTGTATCTCCCGCCTTATCGCTAGTCGGAAGCTCTTTGTCCGGAGGTTGATTCCAATCGTAAAGTGACTTGAATTCATACAACTTGGCTGGCCTTAAGTCACCAGTGAAAGACTCTCGTTCTAACCACCCGCCTGACCCGCATACTCGACTGTACTCGATGCGCCTACTAGCCGCCCTAGACTCTTCGCTAATGCGAACCAACCCTTCGCGATGATCACAGAGGACTACGACATTGAACTCTCCCCCTTTAGAAAGTCTATTCCTCCCACTGCAACGAAACTCCAAAAGCCTCATTATTTCTTGCTTGCCCGCCTTCTCCCAGTTCGCGTGGGCCCGACATCTCATCACGACCGGCACGTCCGCCTACAACTAGTCGACCGGCACCCAGAAGGCTTCGAACCGTCCAGACCGATCCAGTGGACCAGAATCTGGTACTCCCCATCCACTTTCCGCAGGCCGTCCAACTTGGCCACATGGAACCCTTG